AGAGTAAAGGTGAAATACGGACCACCCATGATATACGTAAATAAATGCTTCATTTTATTTATTGCCTGAGGGCCTACTATGAAAAGTTTTCCGAAAATTCGAAGTCAAACAAAACAGAAATTTGATCTTAAAATTACATAATACATGCCGTTTGGAAATATTAAAAATGTTAAAATATTGTTTCTTTGGACTTTTATGACAGGATATATGACGAACGAAATGTTAAACTCCACTTATTGGTCCGATTTTGGTATAAACAAAAACACGAAATTGAGTCCGAAATTTCGGAATTTCATTTCATGGTAGACCCGCTGGTCACATTTAAAGTTGAAGCATGTACGTCAATCATTACCATTTTATTTAAAAAAAAAAACTTTGTACAACACGTGAGAGGAAAGATACCTGCTGTTAGTAATAACCAAATTGATTACGATACATTTTTGTGTGATCAACGTAATATTAAAAAAAAATATTCATTTATTCAATGTAAATCAAAATTATTGCGTGACAAATGTATTTAAAAAAACTACCAATATTTTGTGAAAGTATTTTTTGAGATCTGTTTTTTTTTTTAAGCGCCACCTACCTCATTAATTAATATTAATTCATTCATTTATTCATTAATTCTTTCTACCCAAAGGTTGTCTGGAAGAGATTGCTTAGCAATAAGACCTAGCCTTTTGTACTACACTATACTTATAGAAAATTCTTCAACAAATCCTATAATAGGGGGGAAAGGGATTGTTAGTAATGGAGACTAAGAATCCCATTGCTAGCAATATATCCAACCAGGTCGACTTCCTCGCGGTTCCCCCTGGAAACTATCATGGTTAATTCCTGATGAATTCATCATGATGGGCTAACTGGCCTGTTTTCATCCTCATCGATCACCCTTCACTGGTGCCCCGCCAGCGTATCCCATTAGCGCAGGCGGGGTAACCACTCCATTTTCATCCAATAAAAAAAAATCCTATAATATGGGGGGAAAGATTGTTAGTAATGTGGAGTAATGGCATCATTGCTAGCAAGCCTTGTTAGGTCGACCTCCACGCGGTTCCCCCTGGAAACCATTATGATTAATACTTCTTGCATTCGTTACGATGAGCTAACTGACCTGCTTTCTAACTCATCTATCACCTCTCACTGGTGCCCCGCCAGTGTATACCGATAGCGTAGGTTTACCATTAGCGGAGTTACCATTCCATTATCATCCATTTAAAAAAAAACCTATAATATTGGTGCAGTAAAGAGTTAAATAATTAAAAAAATAAATCTATATATATATATATATATATATAAACTAACATCTAAATTGGCATTGACGCATGTATATTAACTTCCTATCAATATAATTTTACTATTCGTGTACTTACTTGGTTGCTAGTAATTGACTCGTTAGGCAGGCGTGTTGGCATACGCAGTAAAATTTTTGGTGTAGTTTTAAGAGAGGGGTAAAGAGATTTCTTCAGGGTCGGCAACGCACGCATGATACCTCTGGTATTGCAGGTGTTCATAGGCTACGGTAACCACTTACCATCAGGTGGGCCGTATGCTTGTTTGCCACCTCAGTGGTATAAAAAAAAAAGAGGGACACTGCTGCTCATCTCTCGACCTTTAAATGTTCTAAATGGCCTCTTACGACACCCACGGGAAAGGACGAGGTGGACCATTCTATGCTGGGACCACACAGCATAACTGGAGAGCACCTTAAATCTATACTAATACTAAAGCAAACCTTTATTTGTTTAAACACCCCCATCTAGAAGGGAGAGGAAAATACCAGAGGGAGACTTTGTACAAAACTCGTTTGCTTGGACACCTCTGTCCTATTCGTGTTTTAACCGTAAAGCAGTTGTGTTTGCGTGGCTGTGTTTCGGTTTGAAGGGTGGGATATGGTATGAATTTACACGGTACAGAGGAATAACACCTAAGTCCTCAGGAATGGCAACGCATGGGGAGTATCATGGGCGAAACAGTATACTCTGTTATGTCCATGGTACTGCTCATGTCTATAGGTGACGGTTACCACTTTCCATCAGGTGAGCCGTCAGCTTGTTTGCCATTCTAAGTTGCATAAAAAAATTATCTGGAGATACCGGTCGGATTTGTAAAATTCTTCTTGTGTTTGACAACTCACTACTACTACTACTACCACGGGCAAAGCCGCGGGAACATGTAAACTACTATTGTTTACGTATCCACCTGATGAAAGTTACACGATTGCTCACATGCGCATAAATTGTAGTCACTAATTATTATAATGCAGTGGTGCTCAACCAATTCGCTCTCGGGTCGCAAACACATATAATTTTCAACCGACTTTAAAAAGAAAAAAGTTCTCAATACTGTTGTATTGGGGGGAAAGGGATTGTTAGCAATGCAGTTTGAAAGCCCCATTGCTAGCAATATGCTCTATTAGGTCGGCCTCCACGTGGTTCCCCCTGGAAACCATCGTGAACAATTCTTGTTGAATTCGTCACGATGGGCTAACTGACCTGCTTCATCCTCATCTTTCATTCTTCACTGGTGCCCCGCAGGCGTATACCGATAGCGCGGGTGGGGATACCGTTCCATTATCAACCCTTAAAAAAAAATACTGTTGTATTTTTCTTCTATGTTTATTACCTTATAACTCCGTCAGTTGTAAAGCGATTTGAAAAATTCTTTTTTTATATGAAATAATAATAATAATAAATTTATTTGCATTAAATAGGGTAGTTTTCGGTGGTCTTATATTACATAAAGTCTCGTGCCTATTTAGTCATTACAGTATAGCATGCGAATGTCCCATTTTGTTAGAAACTGATTAATTTATGCATCGACAACTGTACTAGATATTTATCTATTCTGTTTTGAAAAATTCATCTACAGGATATACTTACAGATTGGTCCCATAATAATTTTATCAAAATCGGCTTAGTAGTTTAGTTTTTAAATCAAAATAACTGGTTTTCTCCCAATTAGTTTTTTTTTTTTTTAACAATCTTTAATTTATGTTTGTTACCTCATAACTGAGCACAAAACAAATGCGGGAAACACGCAGTATCACTGAAAAAGTCCGTCTTTCAATACCTTATAACTCTATCATTTTTAAGAAGATTTGAAAAGTTCATTTTTATCTGAAAAGATATTCTTGCAGTTTACTTCCATAGTAATTTTATCGAAATCGGTTCAGTTGTTTCGATTTTAAATTATAACTAGCTTGGTCATAATTGTAGTCGATTATTTTTTGTAAATCAAAATTTTAAATGTCATGATTATTAAATATAGTACAGCAACGCGATCCCCTCCCGGTTGAAATTTGTAACGATAAGCCAGTTGAGCTTCACGGTTGAACCAACCAGAGGTACCCAAGCAATACCTCTTAAAACATTCGTCAATACAACCTACGACCCGCATGTTGAGAAGAGATGATATGAAGTAATTTATGAGAATAAGAAAGTAGAAACTAGGTATTATCACTAACAGACGCACCTTCAAAATATTTTCGTTCATTCGAATTAATGAATGATAAATAAATTACATGCGGGTAGTGAAATGCTTGATATTATAACGATGATAGTGATTTTACCAGAGGGAGACTTTGTACAAAAGTCGATTGCTTGGGTACCTCTATCCCATTCGTGTTTCAACCGTGAAACAGTTGTGTTTGCATAGCTGTGTTTCGGTTTGAAGGGTGGGATATGACGTGAATTTACAGGGTACAGAAGAATAACACCTGAGTCCTCAGGAATGACAACGCATGGGGGTATCATGGACGAAACAGTATACTCTGTTATGTCCATGGTAATGCTTGTGTCTATAGACGACGGTTTCCACTTAATCCATCAGGTGAGCCGTCAGCTTGTTTGCCATTCTAAATTGTATAAAAAAAAATTCAACGGTGGACTGTTAACCGCTGAAATGATGATGATGTGCGGCGGGAGGGCAACCATAGTTGGGAACCAAGAGATGGGGGGACAGGGACTGTTAATAGTGAGATCCAACAGACCCATTACTAGCAATACTACCCTAACAGGTCGACCTCCACGCGGTTCCCCCTGGAAACCATCGTGGTTAATTTTTGATGAATTCATCAGGATGGACTAACTGACCTGCCTTTTCATCCTCACCTATCATCCTTCATTGGTGCCCCGCCAGCGTATCCCGATAGCGCAAGTGGGGTGACCATTCCATTTTCATCCATTAAAAAAAACATACCTAAGCGTTGGTGATATTTTGAGAGAAACGCTGCTGTCCACCCCTCGAACATTTAATTCCCTTAAACGACACTTACGGGAAAGGAAGTGGTAAACCATCCTATGCCGGGACCACATGGCCAAAACATAACTTAAGTAAAACATAACTTGAGATTATATAGATAGAGCATCTAACCTCAAAAACGGGTCAACTTTTTGCCAATTAGCTGACTCGTTTTGTCTATTAATGGTCTATATACTTACGCACACAATGTACCTTGGTGTATCTATATTTCATTATTTAATAAATAAAATTAGTTCTTGTGCATTAAAATAGGCGCAAAATGTATAAAACAAAGTATGAAGGAATCACGCAAAATTGTATGAAAAAGTTGACCCGCTTTTTTCTGAGTATTTGTATGGTGACACTCTATCTATATAATCTAAGAACATAACCTAGATTAATAGGGGGGGAAGGGATTGTTAGTAATGGAGACTAAGAGTCTCATTGCTAGCAATATACCCAACCAGGTCGATCTCCTCGTGGTTCCCCCTGGAAACTATCATGGTTAATTCCTGATGAATTATCATGATGGGCTAACTGGCCTGTTTTCATTCTCACCTATCACCCTTCACTGGTGCTCCGCCAGCGTATCCCGTTAGCGCAGGCGGAGTTACCATACCATTTTCACCCAACAAAAAAAAAACCTAGATAAATATAAATATAAGTTACTTTTAATCTTAATTCACACTAGAAAATCCGTACAATTTACCTAATATATAATAATCAATAAATAATAATGTCTTTTCTCTCATTTTCAGATAAATTTATTTTAGAAACACAAATACTAAACGCGCGATGTCACATTACAATAGCACACTAGCGACATGTCAGCGGTGAAAAATGGAAACTCGATATGGTACCAAAGACACCATAGATCGAATGCAATCTACACAAACACAGATAAAGTACTAAAAAAGAGGAAGAACTGTTTTTACAATGGTAACATAAACAAAACAAAATGGCGACGGAAATCAAAATGGCGGCTGGGCGCTGTTTTGATACCGCTGATTGTTTTAAACTTTGTTGGACAAGTAAATACGGAAAGTAAGAAAAATTTTATTTTTATTTTACAAAATGCACATCTTCCATCTTAAAGAGAAGAGATGGAACTAATCGTCAAATCATATCAGACTTTGAATTGTCCAATACTGAATATGATCCCTATAATCCCCTAGGGGGGTTTCGCTAGTAATTGCCACGCTTGAAAAACTAATGTTCGACGGAAATTATATTATTGTACGGTTTTTTACAAATCATTTAATACACTTTATTGATACAAAAAAATAGTAATAGGAATTAATTCTATATTTTTTTAAATAGATAATAATGGAATGGTAACCCCGCCTGCGCTAACGGTGGACACTGATGGGGTACCAGTAAGGGATAGATGAAAATGAAGCAAGTCAGTTTGCCTATCATGATAAATTCACTTAGAATTGAACACGATGGTTTCCAGGCGGAAACACGAGGGGGTCAATCTGACAGAGTATATTGCTAGCAATGGGGCTATTCATTCCTTTTATTAATATTATTTTCTAATCTCTCATCCTCCCCACCCCTCCCAATTAATCCCATTAATGTTAGGAAAGGTTGTAATCATTGTAATGATGATACTCTTTCATGCAAAAACTACTGAACGGATTTGTATAAAATTTGTGAACATTTTTTTTTATACAACTTAGAATGGCGAACAAGCTGACGGCCCACCTGATAGAAAGTGATAACCGTCGCCTATAGACATGAGCAGTACCATGGACTTAACAGAGTATACTGTTTCGCCTATGATACCCCCCATGCGTTGCCATTCCTAAGGACTCAGGTGTTATTCCTATGTACCCAGTAAATTCACGTCATATCCGACCCTTCAAATCGAAACACAGCCATGCAAGCACAACTACTTTACGGTTGAAATACAAATGAGACAGAGGTACCCAAGCAATCGACTTTTGTACTATTGCTTGTGTACCTCTGTCTCATTTGGGTACAATTTCTCATGTCTATAGGCGATGGTTACCACTTTCCATCAGGTGGGCCGTCAGCTTGTTTGCCATTCTAAGTTGTATAAAAAAAACTCCTATTTCCATCAACTGTTTCGGTTTCATCGTATTGTTTGCGTTACTGCATCTCGTCTTGCCGCGAAGCGCTGTACTTTCACTGATGAAGACTTCTTTAGTATGTTCATAAAATTACCATTATACATATATATTTGCATCGTTAAAAAATTAACAGGCGTTTTCAAAGTGAATGCCACTTCGTGCTTCGCAGTGCAGATCACATTTTTTTTATACAACTTAGAATGGCAAACGAGCTGACGGCTCACCTGATGGAAAGTGGTAACCGTCGCCTATAGACATGAGCAGTACCATGGACATAACAGAGTATACTGCATAAGTCACGTCAGAGGCCTTCGTTTAAAACGAAGGTGGCCTAAAAACTCTTAGCTTCAAAGGGCGACACTCTCGCACGTGTAACAATATCATCATTGGCATATTTTATTTCAACAGAAAATTTGTATAAATATAGTTAATTTTAGACCTTCGCATTATTTACACATATGTATTTTAAATACACAAATACAAGTACTTACATACCTGCTTCTTTATTGCCGACATACACACCGCACTTTTCGACGTGGTGTAATCCACGTCGAAAAGTGCAGTGTGTAAGGTGGCTCTAGATAGTAATGGTGATAGTGCAAAGATACCAAAAGAGTATGGTCGGGCTGTCAGATAAAGACACCGCTCACTTCAGTCCTGTCGTGACCACGACGTAATGCAATCCACGTCGAAACGTCGGCAATAAAGAAGCAAGCATGTAGGTACTATTTACTTGTAAAAGTTTTTACATCGCGTTAAGATCCGATTGCGTATTTAAAATATTTGTATAAATATATATTTAAAAACTTTTTTCTCAATTTCCAGCTCTGACCAGCAGAGTTCTAGCCTCAATATTCGGGTACTCCCCTACTTGTACCATTGGAACAGAGGTCAGGCCATGCACTCTGTCCTTGACTTGTTGGCTTCAAGGTGGAACGAGGCTCAAAGGCTGCGGAACCAGCTGGTTATTCTCATGCTGCCTTCCTCCTAAAACTGGATCTAGTGAAGCTTTTGATAATAGGTAAGGAATTTGGATAGACGCTATTGGCACTCAATCCACTCTGTCTCTCCCGCAACGGACTGAGCAAGAAGATAGAATAAGAACCCTAGTCAAATGACACACACGAGACCACAAACCCAGAACTGCCAAATACATACATACATATCTGTCACGCCTGACTCCCATTAGGGTTGGCGGAAACAATGGAATGCCAAATACTTCGATTCAAACAAACCTCTTTCGCTTCTTCCACATTCATCAATCTTTAAAAATGTATAATAATTTCGATAAATTTGTTTTTTTTTTTTACTAGTTTATTTTTTAGTGTTGTCCTCGTCGACCTATTGTTTGTGGAACATATTTTTACACATATTGCGTTCATTCCCAGTATACCATCATCAGAGTGGATGTACAACAAAGCGCCGCCGCAGTTACGGTACGTTCCCCAGCGTAGCGTGGTACCGGCCAACGTGTTCAGGAGGAGGGTCGACGATGATGCAGCTCAGGTCAGCATGATGCTTTTACAGTGATTATAATATATTATAACAGTGAGTAGGGATATATATTTACATTATTACATGCCCATATTTAGAAATAATAGGATCTTCATCGTGCCTCCAATCAAACTGTTCATCCCAATCATCTGGACGAGTGACGGTCTTCCACCGTGCGTTTTTCAAGGCACTTTCTTCCACGCACAACCATTCTTTGGAATCTACTTCCAGCAGCAGTATTTCCGAACCGATACGACAACATAACCTTCAAGAAAAGAGTATATTCCTTTTTAACAGGCCGGCAGCACACCTGCAATGCCGCTGGTATTGTAAGTGATCATGGGCGGCGGTAGTCACTTACCATCAGGTGAGCCGCATGCTCGTTTGCTCCCTGTGTTGTAAAAAAAAAACTGTTTATAATTACTCCTCTCTATCCAAAGGTTGGCTGGAAGAGATCGCTCTTAGCGATAAGGTCGCCCATTGTTTTCTCACTGTGATTATTTCTTGTAATTGTTAATATTTATAATAAGTTTACTATTGTAATCTTTTGGAGGAAACAATAAAGAGTATCTATCTATCTATCTAAGTAGACAAAGAAGACAGGAAAGACGTTTGACACGATGGGTTACAGATATAAAAGCAGTTGCAGGTGCACTTTGGACAAGGATAGCCAAAAACAGAATAGAATGGAAGACTTTGGAAGAGACCTTTGTCTTTGGACAAGAGAGGGGTGACAGAACAGCTACTGATTTTTTTTATACCACTGAGATGGCAAACAAGCATACGGCCCACCTGATGGTAAGTGGTTACCGTAGTCTAAGAACACCTGCAATAATAGAGGTATTACGCATGCGTTGCCGACCCTGAAGAAACCTCTTTACCCTCCTTTTGAAGAACCCCATGCTGTAGTCTCTTGGGAAAACCTCGGCAGGGAGCTTTATTTATTACATTGAATTGTTTATTATGTTACTTCTTTAATAAAGGCTTATATTATTATGAATACGCATTTTCAGGCGGATTGCGGTCTACCATCCTCTAGGATATTACAGAAAAGGATAATAGGAGGGAGGGAGGCTCGATTCGCTGAATTCCCCTGGCAAGCACATGTAAGGATATCTGAATTTCAATGCGGTGGTGTGCTTGGTAAGTATTAACAGTTAACTTTCTAGATACCAGAGGGAGACTTTGTACAAAAGTCGATTGCTTGGGTACCTCTGCCCCATTCGTGTTTCACGGCCCACCTGATGGAAAGTGACAACCGTCGCCTATAAACATGAGCAGTACCATGGACATAACAGAATATACTGTTTCGCCCATGATACTCCCCATGCGTTGCCATTCCTGAGGACTCAGGTGTTATTCCTCTGTACCCAGTAAATTCACGCCATATCCCACCCTTCAAACCGAAACACAGCCATGCAAACACAACTGCTTCACGGTAGAAACACGAATAGGACAGAGGTACGCAAGCAAACGACTTTTGTACAAAGTCTCCCTCTGGTTATCGCGTTAAGTCCCGATTGTGAATTTAAAAAATGTGTAAACAATGGCAAAGTTTAAAATTAACTAAATGACTGTTTGTTGCAATAAATAAATAAAGTAAATAATCCCCCCCCCCGCCCCTCTCGGGGGTGGTGCGCACGCGCAGTGTCGCGGCAGTACGTGGCGACGGCGGCGCACTGCGTGTGGCGGGCGCGCGCGCGCGACGTGGCCGTGTGGCTGGGCGCGCACGACACCGCACGCGCCGGCACGCGCGCCGCCACCAAGCTGGGGTGAGCCTTTATAATAATAATAATAATAATAATTCTTTTATTATAGATTACAAAGATCCATTCTTGTTTTTTTTTTTTTGTTTTTAATAAGCGATTTCTGTCTCTATCTTTGAGGCGACAACTTTCCAATCTGTTTGTATTTATATCTGTAAATTTATTACTGTGTATTTTTTTCCTGTATATATATATATACGACGACATCGGAACTTCTTTACGTAACACACAAATTTCGTAACACTTAATTAATATTAACAAATGTAATAGTTGTTACTATTATATTTATTATTTTTTATGACTTTAATAAATATATGATTATAAAAATGTGGTCACGATTTTATATATATGTATATATATATATATATATATATATATATATATATATATATATATATATATATATATATATATATTATATATATATATATATAAAAATTAATGCCACTTTTCGTTTTAATTTTATAACTCAAGAACGGGCTTACCTATCCAAACCAAATGTTTAGGCTTTGTTCGGACTATTTAGTAGATGGTTTATGTGAAGTTTGCACCAAGTCGGTCGAGCGGTTCTTCATTATTAATGGGGATTTTTGTGTCAAATTCAGATATATATTCAATTCAATTCAATTCAATATATATTCAATCAAATTCATATATATATATATATATATATATATATATATATATATATATATATGTACATTAACTATAGTAAAGTCCGAGTTATGTATTTTGTCAATCCATGTATTTAGTGCCATTCTCCTTCCCTATTACATACTTTAAATATCATTTTAGCGAATTGTATTAATTGGAATCTGCTGGAATCGTATTCAAATATATTTTTTAAGTTTTCTTTTGTTATATTAGTATTTGTCCTAAATTCAAAATTTAATCTTTTATATAAAAAAATCTAATACATTCTATAAGGAGATACATAATAGTTCGCGGAGTTTCACCATCACAGGTACAATTTGGTGAATCGATTAATTTAAATCTATGCAAATACGATCTATTTCCCCCGTGTCCAGTTAATAGACGAGTAATTGTATTGTCTATCCTTACTGCTTTTGATCCATTCTTGTTAGTAACAATTGACTTAAACTATGTTAGTAGAAAAAAAAATACACAATTCATTTCATGGCCCCTATAATAATTTTCACCCACAATGAGAGGATCGGGCTATCGTATTTATTACACAATACCCTCAGAATGCTGTCACTGCTGCCACGCAATCGGTGTAAAAGAGACGCGATCCGTTTGCGTCTGATGGCATAGAAGTCATCTGTCCACGCCGCTGCAAACATTGTGGATGCAGTACAGAAACGTGGCAACCGTAACAACACCCTGAAAACATTATTGTATTGAACACGCAGAGCGCTGTATGCCCACTAATGAATGATGATAATAGAATGGTAACCCCGCCCGCGCTAACCGTATACGCTGGTGGGGCACCAGCGAGTGTCTGACATTTTTTAATGTATTTTTTTTTATATATATAACATTTCGAATTTTAATGACTCCTTTAACATTTATACTTTTTAAGTTTTATTATTTGCATGCCTAATTATGGCGAAATATGAGGACTTATACTTATTGTAACATCTATACACTTACTGTGTTTCTTTTAATAAATAAATAAATAAATAGACACTAACAATGGCGGATGTAGGATTTTTTAAACGGTTGTCTATGGAATAGTAGCCAGGTATTTTGTTTTAATGGATGAGAATAAAATGGTAACCCCGCCTGCGCTATCGGTATACACTGGCGGGGCACCAGTGAAAATGTAGGTCAGTTAGCCCATCATGATGAATACATATAGAATCCAGCACGATGGTTTCCGGGTGGGACCACGTGGACGTCGACCTGACAGGGTATATTGCTAGCAATGGGACTGGTAGTCCGCATTACTAACAATCCCTTCCCCCCAGCTGGGGAGAGCCGCCGCGTTATCCCTTCTTTGTATGATTTTTTTTTTTATTGGTGAAATAAATAGGTGGTGATCTAATTTATGTTCAAAATTAAAGGAAAAATGGTTAAAAAAATAAATTTGACACTTATGTTTTTTTTTTTCTTCAATGGACATTAAAAAGGTATTCAACTTGAAGTGAACTTGGTATTTTATATAATTTTTAGGCATTCAATGTTATGATGGAAATTTTCACCATTATGCAAAGAAGGGTTAAATCATTAGCGGGCACGGCAGCAAAAAGAAATTAAATCCCATTAAAAACATAAAATGTAAAAAATTACAAGTCTTGCAACACAGTTCTTCCGCTACACAAAATTGTGAGATCTCATGTAAAACCAAGTCAGTCGTTTAGTTAATGTCTATGGTAACACATATTCAACAACTTTGTTATAAATCATTATCTATTTAATTACCTATCAACATTTATAGGGACCGTATTAAACATCTTTATTTATATAATAATTGTATTGACTTTTCGATTGCACTGCAAAATCTGTTATTTCAATTACTAAGCATCTCTAATGTCATGTGAAGAGAAAAAAAAATGAATGAATCTAATCAGTACATTTAATAATAAAGTATTGTATTAATTTACACTAATATTATAAAGAGGAAAGATTTGTATTTTTGTGTGTATGTATGTTTGTAATGAATAAACTCAAAAACTACTTTGCCGATTTCAAAAATTCTTTCACAATTAGAAAGCTGCATTCACCCTGAGTAACATAGACTATATTTATTGCTAGAAAAGATTAGGGATCCTTACTAAAACTTTAGTAACGTAATTCAAGGTGTAAAAAAAAATATAAAATATCTTTGGTCGCGTGCGCTGCGGAAACTATTGATGATATAACAAAAGTATGTTCTACAATATTGAAGAAAATATCAATAACTACAAAAAACTTGTTGATACTATATGTCCAACTATTATCGTTATGTCACAATAACCACTTTTTAAAATGTTGCAAAAATGTCCACACGTGCGAAGCCGGGACGGGCAGCTAGTAAAATATAAAGCTATTACGAGTATATTGCAGTCAATTAGTTATACAAGATCCAAAATAGAAAGCTGACATAGATTCTCTACATATCTAATAGTTATAGACATACATACATACTTACATACATGCTGCTGCTCATCTCTCACTATCCCTTAGTCGGCTCTTACGACACCCACGGGATAGGAAGGGGTGGCCTATTCTATGCCGGGATACACGTGGCAATTTTTTTTCTATTATAATAAATAAAATACATACATTTTTCTCAATTTATTGCAGCGTCGTCCAGAAGATCCTGCATCCACTATTCCAGTTCCGTATGACCCAACCAGATCGTTACGACATCGCCCTCCTGAAGTTGTCCAGACCCATCACGTACATGAGCCATATCCTGCCCATCTGTCTCCCGGACTTCGACCTCGAGCTGCAGGGAAGGTCCGGAGTGATCGCCGGCTGGGGGAAGACCGACGCCAGTAACAGTCATACGGGGACCAATCTACTGAGATCCGCCACAGTGCCTATACTGAGTAAGATTTTTTTGCCTACCCTAATGGGAAACAGGCGTGACAGATATATATATATATATATATATATATATATATATATATATATATATATATATATATATATATATATATATATATATATATATAAAATATATAATATATATGTATGTATATTTTTATAAAAATCGACGACCTTAAATTATATAGATAGAGCATTGAGCCTCAAAAACGTCTCAACTTTTTGTCAGCCAATTGTCAAATTAACTTACTTGTTGTTTTTTGGCAGTATTCTATATATTTACGCATAAAATGTACCTTGACCGTATTGTTTAATAAATGAAATGAGTGTTAACGCATTAAAAAGATGCAGAAATTATAAGACAAAATAAATATTATTATATAAAGTTACTAACTGATCCCGTAAACGTTATTTTACCACTTATTGCGAAATATAAAAATCGCGATTAAAATACAGGGCTTGATCGTAAAACGATGAAAATTTAAAGTTGTATGTATTTTTCTAGACTGAATTATAATAAAATAAAAATAAAAAAAAATTGTCACAAAAATTAAAAAAAAATTTTGGGTTGGGTCACCCTTATCATTGACAGGTATGAAAAATAGATGTTGGCCGATTCTCAGACCTATCCAATATGCACACAAAATTTCATAAATATTTGGTAAAGCCGTTTCGGAGAAGTTTTGGTAACAAACATCGTGACACGAGAATTTTATATATTAGATAATGGAATCACTCATAACTATTTATCACGCAAAATTGTATGAAAAAGTTGAGCCGTTTTTCTCGAAGCATTCTTATAGAGACACTCTATCTATATAATCTAAGCCGACGAGATACATTACTGTCTACCTAACACGTCTAACTGTGGGGAAAGGAATTGTTAGTAATGGAGACTTGGAATTCTATTGCTAGCGATATACCCAACCAGGTCGACCTCCTCGCGGTTGCCCCTGGAAACTATCATGGTTAATTCCTAATGAATTCATCATGATGGGCTAACTGGCCTGTTTTCATTCTCATCTATCATCCTTCACTGGTGCTCTGCCAGCGTATCCTGTTCCAATTTTTTTTTTAGTATATGTACTGCCGAAGCAAGTACCAGCGTATCCTGTTAGCACAGGCGGGGTTACCATACCATTTTCACCCATCAAAAAAACACGTCTAACTGACTAAAGGGGGGATTGTTAGTAATAGGGCTTGAAATCCCCATTGCAAACAATACCAAGTCGACATCCACATGGTTCCCCCTAGAAACCATAATGGGTAATTTGTATTGAATTCGTCATCCCTTACTGGTGCCTCGCCAGCTTATACCGATATCGCAGGCGGGGTTACCATACCATTATCATCCATTAAAAAAAGCCATTCTTCATTCGTAATTCTTCTTTCTCTCTTTTTTCTTCTCTGATCTTTAATTTGGTTTTTTTTGCCATTGCTAAGTATTAGAATATGATATCTCTGAAGGGTGGGATATGGCAGTGAATTTACGGGGTACAGAGGAATAACATCTTACTCCTCAGGAATGGCAACGCGAAACATTACACTCTGTTATGTCCATGGTACTGCTCATGTCTATAGGCGACGGTTACCACTTTCCATCAGGTGGACCGTCAGCTTGTTTGCCATTCCGAGTTGCATTAAAAAAAATCCAAATCGGCTTACAACTGACAGAATTATTAGGTAATAAACTTGAAAATAAAACTCAGAGACAAAAAGTAAATGCAAACAAAATTACAACATGATGTTATTAAATGTCATTTTTGACAATTTATAGGTAAAGAGCAATGTATAAAGTGGCATCAAAGCAAGCAGATATCCGTTGAAATACACTCGGAAATGATATGCGCGGGTCATTCGGACGGACACCAAGACGCCTGTTTGGGTAAGCCATCTTTCATCATATCATCATCAATGTGATCATTACAGTTGACTCTTGAGGTATAATGGTAAATATCTTGTGATATCAAGGTAATGACCCTAGATACGATTCTCGAACGGACCAATTTGAGAAATGCTATTTATATATCACATATTAATTTCACTATTCTTACATTGTTTATTTACTTGTTTATTTATTATTCATTTACTAGTTAATTTACTCGTTCATTAATTTATTTATTTACTCGTTCATTCGCTCCTTTATTTAGTCATTCATTTAATCGTTCATTTAATTGTTTATTTTATCATTCGTTTACTCGTTTATTCTCTCGTTTATTTACTCATTCATTTGATCGTTCATTCTCTCGTTCATTTTCTCGTTTATTTACTCATTCATTTGATCGTTCATTCTCTCGTTTATTTACTCATTCATTTGATCGTTCATTCTCTCGTTCATTTTCTCGTTTATTTACTCATTCATTTGATCGTTCATTCTCTCGTTCATTTTCTCGTTTATTTACTCATTCATTTGATCGTTCATTCTCTCGTTCATTTTCTCGTTTATTTACTCATTCATTTGATCGTTCATTCTCTCGTTTATTTACTCATTCATTTGATCGTTCATTCTCTCGTTCATTTTCTCGTTTATTTACTCATTCATTTGATCGTTCATTCTCTCGTTCATTTTCTCGTTTATTTACTCATTCATTTGATCGTTCATTCTCTCGTTTATTTACTCATTCATTTGATCGTTCATTCTCTCGTTCATTTTCTCGTTTATTTACTCATTCATTTAATCGTTCATTTAATCGTTTCTTTTATCATTCGTTTAATCGTTCATTTACTCTTACATTCATTCGTTCATTTTCTCATTTATTTACTCATTCATTTAATCGTTCATTTATTTATTAATTCTCTCGTTCATTTATTCGTTCATTTACTCATTTGTTAACTCATTTATTTATCCGTCCATTTTCTAATGTATTCTCTCATTCATTTACTCATCGTTTACTTGTTTTATTCATTGATTCATTTTCTTGTTAATTTTTACATTTATTTACTTATATATGCTTTTATTTATTCACTCGTCATTCGCTTATTTTTATTTATTTAAATTAATTCATTTACTTTTAAGTATGGATACTTTATATTCATTCATTCTTTCCTTGGTTTTATTTATTGAATCATTCTTCACTCATTCATTATTTATTTATTTATTTATTCATTAGTACAAATATGTGTATATGACGGACTTAATGCTAAAAGCATTCTCTCCCAGTCAACCATAGGGAAGTGTCAGAATACTCGAATGCGGTACTACTAATTATTGATATACATACATACTAAAATTACATATATAAACGAATAAATATATATGAATAACAAATATACTTACACATATATGATATATACTGTATTATATACGAAATTGAGAATTATATAAATTCACAATTCATTCACATTGACAGGCGATTCAGGAGGCCCACTAATCGTATTAGACAACGGTCGCTACTATCTCGCTGGTATCACGTCAGCTGGCTTCGGATGCGGCGTGGACCATCAACCGGGGATATACCATAACGTGAAAGTCACCAGCAACTGGATCCGAGGAGTTATAAACCCTGTTACCAACTATATAGATTTTTAATGGTACACAGTAATAAATGGTAATCAACATATCAGACGTTATCTGTCCACTATTGGACATAGGCATCCCCCATTGACTTCTTAGATTATATAGATAGAGACTCGATGTCTCTAAAACGGGTCAACTATTTAACAGCTAATTGTCAAATTAGCTGACTCGTTTTTTACAAGTGTTCTATATACTTACGCACACAATGTATCTTGACATTTTTTTTTATACAACTTAGAATGGCAAACAAGCTGACGGCCCACCGGATGGAAAGTGGTAACCGTCGCCTATAGACATGAGCAGTACCATGGACATAACAGAGTATACTGTTTCGCCCGTGATACCCCCCATGCATTGCCATTCCAGAGGACTCAGGTGTTATTACTCTGTACCCAGTAAATTCACGCCATATCCCACCCTTCAAACCGAAACACAGCCATGCAAACACAACTGCTTCACGGTTGAAACACGAATGTGACAGAGGTATCCAAGCAATCGACTTTTGACATATCCATATATATTATTATTCAATAAATAAAATGAGTTTTTATACATTAAAAAGATGCAAAAATTATAAAACAAATATAGATAAAAGTTATAAAGGTAATAACTATTTATCACGCAAAATTGTATAAAAATGTTGACCCGCTTTTCTCCAAAGCATTTGTATAGAATACTGCTTAAAAAAAACGAGTCAGCTAATTTGACAATTAGCTGACAAATAGTCGATCCGTTTTTGAGACTCGATGCTCTATCTATATAGTCTAAGTTCATATGTTCACAATAAAATAAATTAAAATCATGTAAGTGTTATTAAAATATTTAGACTGAAAAGCAAATGTTATTAAGAAACGCAAATTATAATCGAGTGGAAAATTTCGAAGCACACTTTTTTTTTATACCACTGAGGTGGCAAACAAGCATACAGCCCACTTGAGGGTAAGCGGTTACCGTAGCCTATGAACGCCTGCAATACCAGAGGTATTACGCGCGCGTTGCCGACCCTTAAGAAACCTCTTTACCCCCCTTTTTGAAGAACCCCATGCTATCACATGATATAGTAGACTGCTTTAATAATAGTAAATAAGTATTAAAAAAATATATATTAAAAAATTGCTCATGTTTTTTTTTCTGTTAATGAGAATGCTGACTGTACATGATTATGAAAAATGGCAAATAATTATATATATAAAGATATATGTATAAAGACCATTGATATAAAAAAAAATTATAAATTAAAAGAAAATTGGCTTTTTTTTTAATATATAAAAAAAAGATTTTAAAAGAGTTATTAATTAAAAAGATGTTTCCCTTCACTTATTCAAATGCTTAGCTTGCCAATTTTCTGTCTAATCACATTATTTATTTATTTATTCATTAGTACAAATATGTGTACATGGCGGACTTAATGCTAAAAGCATTCTCTCCCAGTCAACCATAGGGAAGTGTCAGAATACTCGAATGCGGTACTAGTAATTATTGATATACATACATACTAAACTTGATATACATTACCTGAGAGTTGATCTCCGTTATTGTTTAAATTTATTTATTTCATTATTTATTTATATTTACTAATTGTTGTCTTATAGAAATAAAATTTAAAATAAAATTAAGTAAATTCTTTTATTTTTTAAAATGAATCCAGTATACGTTTCTAATATGTATTTTTTTTTTTTAATGTTTTTAATTAATTCTCCTTTCCTTAATTCCCGTCTCTTTGAAACAATAAATCATGCAAATCTTTCCTTGAAATTATTCCAATCGTTTTGTCGGTGAACGGTCTTATCCCAACCAGTCTGGAACAACATCTCAGACGGTTTTGATTCCGAGGCGGCTCACTCCCGGAAAAGATGCAGGAAGCGGTGCTCTTAGATTCTGCCCGCATTGTACGCCAGTTTCTCTCCCTGGGGCCCTGAACCCCGGCCGACTGTGCTTCTGCCGGGGGTTAGTTTGCCATCTCCTCTCCTCAAGAGGGGAGATGTGAATTTTGTTAAAAAAAACTAATAATAATAGCGAAAATCGAGAAAAAGAAAATATATCGACTTGGTCACGAGGTGACCGAAATCATTCCAATCGTTTTGTCGGTAAACGGTCTTATCCCAACCAGTCTGGAACAACATCTCAGACGGTTGGGATTCCGAGGCGGCTCACTCGCGGGAAAGATGCAGAAAGCGGTGCTCTTAGATGCTGCCCGCATTGTACGCCGGTTTCTCTCCCTGGGGCCCTGAACCCGAGCCGACTGTGCTTCTACCTGTTTTTTTTTTTTATATTATTTTATTGGCACATAAAACAGATCACAACCATAAAAAACTTAAATAATAGTTACATTTATGATTCGGCTAGGTTATAATCCATTTACATTATGTGCACAGCTTGAGTAATTCATGGAAAGCAAACACATAAAATAAAGAAAATACTTTTAAATGTTATATAAAAGATAAAACTATATAAAAAAAACATATTTTCAATTATATTTTACAAAATAGAAAACAAGTTCTTCCTAAAGAGCAAATATTTTGTACCGAATATGTCGATAGATTTGTGGTCGAAGAGTTAGTTCGCCATCTCGTCTCCTTAAGAGGGGATATGTGAAGTTGTGTAAAAATAATAATAAAAGATACTTAAAATATTCCTAAATTATCATCCTTTCCGTCCAACAGAGGTCAATGACCGCAATCAGCAGATTCAACTCAAAAATTGCCAAAAATTTGTATGAAATGTATGTAACCATTAAAGAATGAAAGCGACACGAGGTTTCGCGGTAAATTAACTGTATGTATAGTTAAAATTTTAGGGTTCCTTAACTTTGGCGCTGCCTATTTTATATTTTATTTATTTATTTAACACTTTATTGCACCAAAAACATAAAAATAAACAATGACATATAAACAATCCAACTGAAATACAGTAGCGTGAAGTACAGATAAATATATACACATAAAGGTACAAGAGGCGGTCTTATCGCTAGGGCAATCTCTTACAGACAACCTTTGGTTAAAGGAAAATATATAGAATTTACTAGCTTTTAGCCGCGACTTCGTCTGCATGACCAACGAACCGCTCCAAAAACTAGTCTATATCCTTCTTCATCCCATCCCAGTACATGTATATCAAATTTCATAGCGATTGGTGAAGCCGTTAAGGCGGTATAAAGTAACAAACAAATTCACTTTTACATTTATAATATTACAGTGATTAAATGAAGATCCGTATGGTCCCGACATAGAATTGGCCAGCCCTTCCTTTCCTGTGAGTGTCGTAAGAGGGAACTGATTTCTTTTTTAATGGGTGAAAATGGAATGGTAACCCTGCCGGTCAGTTGGCCCACCATGATGAATTCGACAAGAATTAAACATGATGGTTTCCAGGGGAACCGCGTGGAGGTCGACCTGAGAGGGTATATTGCTAGCAATGGGGCTATTAGACCCCATTACTAACAATCCCTTTCCCCCCAAGGAAATTTATTGGTCTAGTGATGGACAGCAGCGTCCCTCTTAAAACATGGTCAAAGCCCAGTTGCATTTGCCAACCCGCCTACCAAAATTGGCAACTACTAGAAAAACTCCCCTTAAGGGCATGGCCTATATCCAGCAGTGGACAGTTAACGGCTGGTATGATGATAATGATATAATTGATACAAATATTTCCATTACGCGAGAATCGAACCCGGGACCGTTGGAAAATGAGGCGGTATTAAACCACTACCAAGACCTGAAATGTACAGAACGCTGTCTTCGCCAACTCGGCTAATGCTTGGATAAGATATGTGACTCATAATATTTGAATGTCAACACGCTGTCATGGTTGGTGGATTTTAGGATGCGCATGCGCACAATAATAGCTTATTCTTATATACAGTAATGTACCGTTTTTAATACTGTCGTTCAATCTCTTTCAATATGACTTAATTCTTCTTTGCACGATGGTGGAAATTTCCATCATAACATTGAATGCCCCAAAAATTATATAAAAGAACAAGTTCACTGTAGGTTGATCGTGTCTGGATGTCCATTACAGAAAAAAAAACACGGTTGTTAAATTTATTTTTTTAACCATTTTTCCTTTAATTTTGAACATGAATTACATCACCTTGATGCAGAGAAGGGTTAAAGATAATTAAAGATAAAAAAAAAACACAAAAAACCAACTTCAGTTGTGACAAAACCAGTTATTTAATCTGAAAAACTGAATTGCTGAACCGATTTTAATAAAATTTCTACGAGACCAATCTGTAAGTATATCTTTTTCGATAAAAGAGGAATCTTCCAAATCCGTTTAAAACTGACAGAGTTATGAGGTAACAAACAGAAAAAAAAATATGCAACCTAATTAAAAGCCTCCTGTTTGAAGTCTGCAATTTTAAATAAATATTAAACAATTTAAACAAAATTTGTTTAAATTATGATTAATATTATTGATGGAAAGTGGTAACCGTCGCCTATAGACATGAGCAGTATCATGGACATAACAGAGTATACTGTATCGCCCATGATACTCCCCATGCGTTACTATTCCTGGGGACTCGGGTGTTATTCCTCTGTACCCTGTAAATTCACGCCATATCCCACCCTTCAAACCGAAACACAGCCATGCAAACACAACTGCTTCACGGTAGAAACACGAATGGGACAGAGATACTCAAGCAACCGACTTTTGTACAAAGTCTCCCTCTGGTAAAATAAATAAATAAGTATATAATTAATATCCAATCCCTCGACCATTAAATAACCTTAGTCGCCTAATACTTTCTTAATGGTCGAAGAATGGGCAGCAATATCCCACTTACAACATCATCAAAACCTAACAGGGGTGCCCGTCTTATTGGGGTAATTATGTTCAGCAGTGGACAGTTAACAGCTGGTATGGGGGGGGAAAGGGATTGTTAGTAATGTAGACTGAGAATCCCATTACTAACAATATACCTAACCATGTCGACATCCACGCGGTTCCCCCTGGAAACTATCATGGTTAATTCTTCATGATGAATTCATCACGATGGGCTAACTGGCCTGTTTTCATTCTCATCTATCACCCTTCACTGGTGCTCCGCCAGCGTATCCCGTTAGTGCAGACGGGGTTACTATACCATTTTCATCCAACAAAAAAAACAGCTGGTTTGTTGATATGTATAGAATTTTAAACATCTCAAATCGACTCTTAGCCCAGTGAACAAATATGGCGCGTACCATTATACTATACTGGTTTTACCAGAGTGGCTATTAATTTGTAGTTTAATAAGAATATTATGCAAAATATTTCCTCAAGCGAATCATAACAAATTTTCAATCTTATTGACATTGCTAAGTCGTATATATATATATATATATATATATATATATATATATATATATATATATATACATTTAGATTTATTATATTTACATTTAGAATTACATTTAAAATAACATTCATTTATAAGCGACTTCAAAAAGAAATAGATTGTTGAATAAATAAAAAATTCGGTTGTTTTTTCAATTTTACTTTAATTTATTTGATATTATATTTACAGATTGGTTCAAATTTTACCAAAATCGATTGCTTGGATACCTCTGTCCCATTCGTGTTTCAACCGTGAAGCAGTTGTGTTTGCATGGCTGTTTCGGTTTGAAGGGTGGGATATGGCGTGAATTTACTAGGTACACAGGAATAACACCTGAGTCCTCAGGAATGGCAACGCATGGGGGGTATCATGGGCGAAACAGTATACTCTGTTATGTCCATGGTACTGCTCATGTCTATAGGCGACGGTTACCACTTTCCATCAGCTGGGCCGTCAGCTTGTTTGCCATTCTAAGTTGTATAAAAAAAAAAGTTCATTTTGATTTAAAGTCGTTTTGTCACAATTGAAATCAGATTTTTTTAACAACTATTATTGGGCAATGTTATTATATCGCTATATGGTCCCAGCATAGAATAGGCCATCTCTTCCTTTCCCGTGGGTGTCGTAAAAGGCCACTAAGGGAGCCTAATGATAAAGGGATGAACAGCAGCGTTCCACTTAAAATATCGCCAAAAGCCTAACAGCAGTTGCCAATCCGCCTGCCAAGTGTGACAACTACTGGCAATACCCCCCTTTATTGGGGAGGCCTATCTTTAACAATGATCAGTTAACGGCTAATATATTGAACTATAGTTTGTACTGCCAATATATGTTGCCAACTATAAAGAACTGGGAAATTACTTTTTTTTAATTAATAATAATGGAATGGTAACCCCGCCTGCGCGGGGGAAAGGGATTGTTAGTAATGGAGACTGAGAATCCCATTGCTAGCAATATACCTAACCAGGTCAACCTCCTCGCGGTTTCCCCTGGAAATTATCATGGTTAATTCCTGATGAATTCATCATGATGGGCTAACTGGCCTGTTTTCATTCTCATCCATTACCCTTCACTGGTGCTCCGCCAGCGTATCCCGTTAGCGCAGGCGGGGTTACCATTCCATTTTCACCCATCAAAAAACCCCGCCTGCGCTATCGGTATACACTGGCGAGGCACCGGTGAGGGATGATAGGTGAGGATGAAGCAGGTCAGTTAGCCCATCGTTACGAGTCTAATAGTGAATTAATCACGATAGTTTTCAGGAAAACCACGAGGAGGTCGACCTAACAAGGTATAATATTAGCAATGGGCTACTAATCCCCACTGTTAACAATTCCTTCTCCCCCCTGACAGAGTATGTTGCTAGCAATGGGACTGGTATCCCGCATTACTAACAATCCCTTCCCCCCACTGGGAAATTACTGTGGTATGCCTCGTACCAGGAATGCGTGTAATTCGCGATACGGCTGATCGCTTTCGAAGTGACAACTTTGAATATTGGTAGAGGGTCGTCAACCGAGCGAATGATACAGTATTTAAAAAAGTTACACAATGTGTAACATTTTGTAAGTCGATTCACTAGTATTTTTTTTTATGTAGGTACATATGTTACTGACAACCGATGGGAAGGAAAGGTTCTTGAGCGACCCCATACAGGCAAACCCATCACTAGACAGAATGACAACCTCAAATGCATCGCTGGGAATCAGTAAATGCGGGTGGCTCAGGACCTACAGCCTAAATGGTCGCGTACAACGCTCAGGTTATGGAATGAGCTCCCTGCCGAGGTTTTCCCAAGAGACTACAGCATGGGGTTCTTTAAAAGGGGAGTAAAGAGGTTTCTTCAGAGTCGGCAACGCGCGCGTTAAACCTCTGGTATTGCAGGCGTTCATAGGCTACAGTAACCGCTTACCATCAGGTGAGTCGTATGTTTGCCACCTCAGTGGTATAAAAAAACCGTTCCTTATGGCAGTCTATGGGGGAGGCCTATGTTCAGCAGTGGACGGGTAATAGTTGAAATGATGACGATATTAGACAATATATTCATCACTCCTATTTATTAATATTATAAATACAAAAGTTTATTAAAAAGGATGGATACATATTTGTTACTCTTTCACGCAACAACTATTTAACGGATTTTAATAAAATTAATTCTTTTTTTACAATATATTTCTTTTTTTATGATTTCCGATAAAGTGTTTAAGGCATGCGAGGACGGGATATTGGATATGGGTGGCCAAATGCCTATACAAGATGGTACATGATGGGCGGAATTTAGACGCAAAATTTGAGGAGCATTAGGAAGGTAAATGAACGGCCGATTTAATGGAATGGTAACCCCGCCTGCACTAATAGTATACGCTGGCGGGGCACCAGTAAGGGATAACAGGTGAGAATGAAAAGGCAGGTCAGCTAGTCCATCGTGAGGAATACACCTAGGATTCAGCACAATGGTTTCCAAGTCGACCACATGGATATAATGCTAGCAATCCACGTTACTGACAACCCCTTCCCCCAATATAACCTGTTACACGGATAGATTATATCCTAATTTAGCACAATCAAATAATGAAGTAAAAAGAATTAACAAAATCGGTTTACAATTACGAACTTAATCGCGTAACATTACAAAACAAATAAACAGCCTCAATTGCATAAAAAAATATCAAAATTTGTCCATAATATGCAATACAATCGTCTTAATAAAAACAGACAAGTTGAGGATCTTCTCCTTTAAAAAATTACATAAAAATCGTATCACAAATAATGTTGAAACGTTCACAAGTACGAATTTAATGTCCAACATGGCAACAAAAGTGAAAGGCGAATAGCAACACTGGCTCAGTTCATTGCCAAACGGTAGACGCGTCGCTTTGCCGGTTTACGCGGATACGATTAGAAAGTTTAAAAAAAAATATTCAATTCGTAATAAAAAAATATGTATAAACATTTATGTGTGTGTGTTCTGTTATTGATATTGGGAATTTTAGTGCGCACGCAGTCGTTTGGCGGTGAGTGTTAATTCTGGATACATTTTTATGTTTCCTTTGTTACCCCGATGTGGCATTTACCAACTTTTACGGTGATACAATGTATTTTGATACCTATTTGTTTTTAGCCTTCAATTCGACTGTATTTGTTAGTGGAATATATTTATTAATTTATTAATCAGTATTAATAAATTTAATTAGAAAAGATTAATTAAAATATTTATTCACTTTATTTTTTTATTTATTTATTCTTTATTGAGCACATTACGAAACAAAAAAATGTTTCGTGCAAAAGGCGGACTTAATGCTATAATAGCAGTCTCTCCCAGTCAACCTTTGGCAAAATAAATGTAATTATGCGGTAACAATTGATAATTATTGTAGATAAACAATTACATATACGAATCCATAAAGTTACTACTTTCAGACAAATTAATTTATCATCTTTTTCATGTTTTAAATTTTACTGTAAACTAGCTGACTCGGCAAACGTTGTTTTACCATTTACATTATTTCTAGAACTATATATAAAAATATATCGTACTACAATTATTATACTCAATTGCCATCTTGCAACCCTACTGTATGTATGTATGTATTTTTCAATACTAAATCATATTAAAATGAAAATACAAAATTTTGTCAAAAAAATAAAAAAAAAATTTTTAGTGGTGGGTCACCCTTATCATTGTGGGGTATAAAAAATAGATGTTGGCCGATTCTCAGACATACCCAATATGCACACAAAATTTCATGAAAATCGGTAAAGCCGTTTCGAAGGAGTCTGGTAACAACACCGCGACACGAGAATTTTATATATTAAATACCATCTCTTAAATAAGGAAGCCAGAGGTAATTAAATTTAATTACTTAATTAGAATATGTATTTTAAAACTGAAGCGCTTCACTACCAGCCAGGTGCATTATTTTCTTTTTTATATTTAAATTCTATATTTAAAATAATCAATATACTCATAACTACAATCCCTTAGGGGGTAGTCAGAGCTATTTATTATTATTGGCGTTATATTATACATATATTTTGAAAAAAAATTATAAAACAAGTGTCCTGTCCCAGCTTCGCACGGGTAATTGTTAGAATGTCCTAAATAAAAAAAAATTAATTAAGCCTGTTACTCGCTAATAATGTGGCTTTTTATATGTGAAAGATTTTTTTTTAAATCAAATAATTTTTGGGTTTTTCCTTTACAAATAAAAAATTTAATCTTACCTCTTATTATAGTATCAGTTTAGATAGTGTATATTGATTTTACCAGAGGGAGACTTTGTACAAAAGTCGATTGATTGGGTACCTCTGTCCCATTCGTGTTTCTACCGTGAAGCACTTGTGTTTGCATGGCTGTGTTTCGGTGAATTTACAGGGTACACAAGAATAACACCTGAGTCCTCAGGAATGGCAACGCATGGGGGGTATCATGGGCGAAACAGTATACTCTATTATGTCCATGATACTGCTCATGTCTATGGGCGACGGACGTCTGACCACAGTGAACTTTTACCATCAGACGGGCTGTATGCTTGTTTGCCAACTTTGTGATATACAAAACGAAGGCATTAAAGAATGTTCAAAATCGTTCTAGGTACAACTGACGGAGTTATGAAGTAACAAACAAAAAAAGTTACCAACTCATTAAAAAGCATCATCTCTTTAAAAAATCGGTTGAAAAGAATTCAAATCGAATAGGGAACCTCGATCTTTTAGACGCGGCACAAAATGAAATAATGTATTCCGTCTACACACGTTTTGTTTTGGAACCTACTGGACAGTGCGACGCAATTAACATTCTAACAACGTAAATTTCATAACTTTTATTCCGGTTCACTGTACCTAATAATGGCGGGCATTACTTAATGTTCGTTAACCACTTAGATTTACTTTAATATTAATATGAACACATGTTTAACCGACTTCAAATAATTAGTATTGTGTTCCACAAATAAAAAGACTTTAATTGTGGGAAAAGGTTATTTCGATTTAAAATCTAAACTACTGAAATAATTTAAAAAAACACCAGACTTTGTACAAAAGTCATTTGCTTGGGTACCTCTGTCCCATTCGTGTTTCTACCATGAAGGTATTATTGGATGTGTTTCGGTTTGAAGGGTGCGATATGGCAGTGAATTTACTGGGTACAGAGGAATAACACCTAAGTCCTAAGGAATGGCAACGCATGGGGGGTATCATGGGCGAAACAGTATACTCTGTTATGTCCATGGTACTGCTCATGTCTATAGGCAACGGTTACCACTTTCCATCAGGTGGGCCGTCAGCTTGTTTGCCATTCTAAGTTGCATAAACAACTTTTTGGATGGAGAAGAGTAATTATAAACAGTTTGACCAGAGACACGAAACTCTGTTCGTTTTTTAAATACAATAGTTTAGTTTTTAAATAAAAATAAATAAATCTCGTTTTGCCACATTTAATGTTGGTTTTTTGTGGTACACAATCTATTATATATATCTATACTTATAATAAATCTGTAGAGAGGTCAATTCTGTACATGAAATATATTTCCAAAACAACTATCAGGCGGTGATTAGTGATCGATACTGATGCCAAAAATGCAATCAGAAAAATTTTTGTCTGTCTTTCTGTATGTTCGTTATAGAAACAAAAACTAAATAAAAACAAAAACTACTCGACGAATTTTAACGACACTTGGTACAATTATTCATCATACTCCTGGGCAGGTTATAGTATACTTTTCAACACGCTACGATCAATAGGAGCAGAGCAGTGAAGGGAAATGTGTCTGTTACGTCAAAACCACTGAACCGTGAGGAAGGACATAGGCTTTTTTTTTATACCACTGAGGTGGCAAACAAGCATACGGCCCACCTGATGGTAAGCGGTTACCGTAGCCTATGAACGCCTGTAATACCAGAGGTATTACGCGCGCGTTGCCGACCCTGAAGAAACCTCTTTACCCCCCTTTTGAAGAACCCTATGCTGTTTATTTATTTTACTATGGCTATTTATTTATATATATATATATATATATATATATAATATAAGGTAATACAGTTAAGTTAGTCATCACCTAAATGACACATAATGGAATCAATTTCGTATGCGTATTTAATGAAGGTGTTACATTAAAAACAAGAAGTATTTATAGGTTAAAAACTTCCAAGAATTTTGTTCGACGAAACGGGAAAATATTTTGATGCGAACATGATGAGTCAGACCTGAGAGATGTCAATAAGAATACCCGAACATTAACTAGTAAAAGAAACAGTCAACGGACTTTAATACCATAAATTAATTATAATAAAAAAGAAAAAATAACAAAAACAAATACGTAGTTTATGGAATTATGAAATAAGCTCCCTGTCGAGGTTTTTTTTGTATTATTTTGTACAACTTAGAATGGCAAACAAGCTGACGGCCCACCTGATGGAAAGTGGCAACCGTCCCCTATAGACATGAGCAGTACCGTGGACATAACAGAGTATACTGTTTCGCCCATTATGCCCCCCATGCATTGCCATTCCTGAAGACTGAGGTGTTATTCCTCTGTACCCAGTTAATTCACGCCATATCCCACCCTTCAAACCGAAATGAGTCTATTTAACCTCATTACTATGTTAATAATTCCAATTCCCCCAACCGTCGTCTCACTCAACCGTCAACCGCTCATGTCTATAGGCGACGGCTACCACTTTCCATCATGTGGGCCGTCAGCTTGGTTGCCATTCTAAGTAATATAAAAAAAAATATACATTCTCAGATCGACCACCACGCGGTTCCCCCTGGAAACCGTCACGGCTAATTCTTGTCGAATTCATCATAGTGGGCCAACTGACCTGCATTCATTCTCACCTATTTCACTGGTGCCTCGTCGGTGTATACCGATAGCGCGGGCGGGGTTACCAATCCATTTTCACGCATTAAAAAAAAATATAAGCGACGGTTACCACTTTCGGTCAGATATGTGGTCCGCTTGTTTGCCATTCTAAGTTGTAAATTTATGGTAATATATATTTTAAAGTTGATTTTTATTAGAATATCAAGGTTATTAACGTCTTATTTATTTCTTTGCTTTTGTACATTCACTTATAGAATGGATATTTATTTATTTATTCATTAGTTATCAAACATGTGCACATGGCGGACTTAATGCTAAAAGCATTCTCTCCCAGTCAACCATAGAGAAGTGTCAGAATACTCGAATGCGGTACTACTACTAATTATTGATATACATACATACTAAAATTACATATATAAACGAATAAATATATATGAATAACAAATATACTTACACATATATGATATATACTATATTATACACGAATTTGGGAATAATATAAAGCACTTATAATATAAAGATATTTGGTTATAACAAAAATGTACACAGACGGACTTATCCCTTGAAAGGATTTCTTTCAGTCAACCTTGAGAACCCGAAAGGAGAAAGTGTCTGTAGGGTTTGTATATAATGCATACAATATCAATTGTAAATATCAGAGGGAGACTTTGTACAAAAATCGTTTGCTTGGGCACCTCTGTCCCATTCGTGTTTCTATGCGAAGCAGTTGTGTTTGCATGGCTGTGTTTCGGTTTGACGGGTGGGATATGGCAGTGAATTTACAGAGTACAGAAGAATAACATCTGAGTCCTCAGTAATGACAACGCATGGGAAGTACCATAGGCGAAACAGTATACCCTGTTATGTCCATGTTACTGCTCATGTGTATAGGCGACGGTTACCACTATTCAACAGGTGGGCCGTCAGATTGTTTGCCATTCTAAGTTGCATAAAAAAAAGCACAAGGAACTTAATGCCTGATATCATTCTCTGCCAGTGAACCGTTACGCTAAACAGAGAAGAGCAAATGGCGGTGCATTGATTTCACAAAAGCAATTTATGAAATAAATAAATTAATAGAGAAATAAGTGTTATTAATCAAAGCTAATAAAATCTCAAATATAACCAAACACAATCTAGTCCATTTGGAAACTAAAAATTACATTATTTATGATACAAAACCAGTTGGGTGAGTTTACAAAATACTCGTTCGGAGTTCTTAATAGCCGCAGATGACAGTGGTGCAAGGGCATTGCATTGGATTGTACAAGTATAAAACTGGATTGTTGTTGTAACTTATTGTTTGCAACATAAGGTTCGTAATCGCTTGTAAAATCGTGGTATATACGTCGTTTATGTGATACGGAGTGGCAAATAAACTGACGGCTCTCCAGATGAAAAGTTAACCACTTTTCGTGTTTCAACCGTGAAGCAGTTGTGTTTGCATGGCTGTGTTTCGGTTTGAAGGGTGAGATATGGCAATGAATTTACAGGGTACAGAGGAATAACATCTGAGTCCTCAGGAATGGCAACGCATGGGGGGTATCATGGGCGAAACAGTATACTCTGTTATGTCCATAGTACTGCTCATGTCTATAGGTGACGGTTGCCACTTTCCATCAGATGGGTCGTCAGCTTATTTGCCATTCTAAATTACATAAAAAAAAACTATTAAACTAAACGGATTTAAATGAAATTTGGTACACGGGGAAGTTGTATCCTAACTTACCACATAGATACCAGCGATAGATAGATAGATAGATATACTCCTTATTGTTTCCTCCAAAAGATTACAATAGTAAACTTATTATAAATACCTTAAACTTATTATAAGGACCTTCTTACACGTGATTGGGCGTCTGTTTCGTGTATGAGCACGGTTGATGATATGGTTGATAGATTTAATACGCTTATTATGTCCCTTTTCGACAGGCATGCTCCAATAATAACGAGAAAATTCAAACGTCATCAGTCACTTCCTTGGATAACTGATACAATTAAGTGCATGATTGACTTACGCAACAAAGCACATAATAAATATCGTAAGTCTAAATTGGAGAGGGACAAAAAATATTATAAAGACCTCAAAAATACAGTGTCTATGAGTATTGCTGCTGAGAAGAAAGCCTATTATAATCATTATATTAACTCTAATACGAGTAATAGTAAAGTGTTTTGGAAGAATTTGAGGGATAGAATATTAATAGATCCTTGTAAAAGTGATTATCTTCCTGACAGCTTTAACGACCCTAATAGTATTAATAAATATTTTCTAAAAGTGCCCGGACCTGAAACAGTCACTATTTCACAGTTAACCTATTTTGAATTTCATCGGTTTAATACAACGACGCCTAGTTTTAGATTGGAACCTATCAGTTCAAATGATGTTGCCAAGTATATTTTGTCCATACAATCAAACGCAATTGGGACTGATGGTATTAGTCGGGACATGGTTTTGCTTACCCTACCACATACTCTCTCTATTATTACTGATATAATTAACAAATCAATTGTAACAGGTGTGGTTCCTCATCAGTGGAAAAAGGCATTAATTACTCCTCTTCCTAAAGTTGACCATCCAAAGGAATTTAAAGATCTGAGACCTATTAGTATATTGCCTTTTTTATCTAAAATCTTGGAAAAAGCCATATACTTTCAATTATTAAAATACATTGAAGTCAACAAGATACTGCCGCTTTTCCAGTCGGGGTTTCGAAAGGGCAGAGGCACTGTCACAACATTGCTTGATGTGACAGACAACATATTGGCTGCTCAAGATGATGGTCAAGGCTCTATATTGACTTTACTTGATTTTTCCCGCGCATTTGATAGTCTCAATATTTCATTGTTACTCTCTAAATTGTCATATTATGGGTTTGATCATCACTCGATTAATTGGTTTAAGAGTTATTTAGGAGAACGATTTCAGGCGGTTAAATTGCTGAAGGATGATGGTACTTGTATGATATCTTCCCCCAGGTTGGTGAAGCGTGGAGTTCCTCAAGGATCTATACTGGGCCCACTTCTATTTATTATATACAGTGCCGACCTCCCTAATGTTATTAAGAACTGTAACTATCATTGTTATGCGGACGATGTACAACTGTATATATCTAGAAATCAAATTGGGATATTATTCAGAAAATGAATGAAGATTTAGATCGCATCGCTGCATGGTCTAATAATAATGCTCTTGTTCTTAATCCTTTAAAATCAAAATATATGGTAATTGGCTCGAAAAATCAAATTGAGAAGGCATCGAACAATAATCTAGTTGTAAAGATCGGTGATACAAATATTGAACATGTTTGCGAGGCAAAGAACCTTGGTGTGCTTTTTGACAGTAATTTGCGTTTTGAAAACCATGTGTTGGGTTTGGTCCGGAATTGCTTTTATCGACTTAAAATATTATACAAGATACGAAATTTGTTGTCAGAAAGATCACGAATTACACTCTGTGAGTCTCTTGTGTTATCCAGATTAAATTATGGTGATCTGGTCTACGGGCCTCGTCTCCTTTCTTCATCTCGTCGAATGATACAGAGGATTCAGAATGCGTGCTGTCGCTTTTGCTTTGTTGTTTCACCTCGTAGTCACATTACACCATATTTGAATGAAGCATCTATGTTGAACATGGACTCACGTAGACGATTGCACCTTGCTGTACTTATGTTTGATCTTGTGAAATTTAAATCCCCTGAATATCTATATAAAAAACTCAAATTTCCGACTTTCAACAATTATTATGGATGTAATGTGTCTCGATCAACGCGGCCCCCGTTGGCGGTTCATAACCATAGGACAGTCGCTTTTACCGGATGTTTTCGCCACCAGGCGACTAAATGCTGGAATAACATATCCCCTCCAATGAGACTAGCTGCATCCAAATCAATTTTTAAAAAGTTGATAAAGCAACATTTATTAAATAAGCAAAAATTTGGATTAGTCGCCTGATAGCGACTGCTTTTAACATAATTACTGTGGTGAATTATTATTTATATATGTTAAATATTATGTTTAATTAATTAATAAAATATATTATATTATTAATGCATCATCTATATAAGTATGTATCTATATAATATAATTTTACCTTCTGCCATTAAATTGGTTACACAGGTTACACTCTGGGTTTGTTGCACGCGTCCGTGTAGCCTTGCTTCAGGTTGCAGCTGAAAATCAGTGCTTTGCTTTTAAGCAAAAGTATCACTGAGCTGTAGCCTTTTTGGGTCACTGCGACACACTTGGTGAAAACATATCTCCAATATTAATTTTATGTTTTATATGTTGTTTTATATTTGAAAAATGTAAATAATCAAATTGTATTAATAGTAAATTGTTAATATTTTATTCATTAATTTACGTGTGTTAAATGGCTCAAATAAAGTGTTTATCTATCTATCTATCTATCTAAATATAAACAATTACAAGAAATAATCACAATAAGAAAACAATGGAGGGCCTTATCGCTAAGAGCGATCTCTTCCAGGCAACCTTTGGATGGAGAGGAGTAATTATAAACAGTTTGGTGGGAGGCACGATGAAAAAATATAAATATATATCCCTACTCATTAATATATCTATATACATACACACACACACACATATATATATATGCATACACATATATATATATATATATATATATATATATATATATATATATATATATATATATATATATATATACATATACATACTAACACATATACAAATACATATACATACATACATATAACCGCCTACACAAATACACATGGCATACTTTATGTGCCGATTCTCGCTGGTGAAGTCACGGAATACAACTAATATATTATATGTTTTTTTTTCATTAGGACCAAGACATGGTAAAGCCGTAGTGTGCTATGTGGCGACTTGGGCGGCGTATAGAAAAGGCGACGGATCCTTCAGCGTGAACCAGTTGAATCCACAGCTTTGTACCCACCTCGTGTACTCCTTCGCTGGACTGAATCAGGAAACGAATGGAATCAAGATATTAGGTAAATTATGGCCACAACAAAATATCAGAGTTTTGCTCTTTTGAGGGCCAAACAATAAACTGAGTTGTGACCATTTTGTACTTAATACAAAAGTCGTCAAACTTGGGCACCTCTGGCCCATTCGTGTTTCAACCGTGAAGCAGTTGTGTTTGCATGGCTGTGTTTCGGTTTGAAGGGTGGGATGTGGCGTGAATTTACAGGGTACACAGGAATAACACCTGAGTCCACAGGAATGGCAATGCATGGGGGGTATCATGGACGAAACAGTATACTCTGTTATGTCCATGGTACTGCTCATGTCTAAAGGCGATGGTTACCACTTTCCATCAGGTGGGCCGTCAGTTTGTTTGCCATTCTAAGTTGTATAAGAAAAAAAGGAGAAAATGTCTATAGAGTTTGTATATAAAGAATGACGTATATGGTATAAAAATAATATTATCATATTAACAATTTACTATCCACTGCTGAACAAAGGCCTTCCTCATAAAGGAGGGTTTTGCCAGTAGTTGCCACACTTGGCAACCGTAGAGCCTCTTTATTCTAACACCTTAAAATACTTAATCCACATATTTAAAATTCCAGATTCATGGCTTGATATCGAGAAGGAATCGGGAGCCTACAACCAAATGGTGGCTCTGAAGAATAGGTACCCCCACCTGAAGGTCACCATAGCGATTGGTGGCTGGAACGAGGGCTCAGAGAAGTATTCAGCAATGGCTTCCAAGAAACAGACAAGAGACACTTTCATTCAGAGCGTTTTGGCATTTTTGGAGTAAGTGTTTCAAACAGATACAATATCGTCACCTTCCAGAAAAGAGCGTATTCGTCTTTAAAGAGCCGCAGCACACCTGCAATTCCTCTGGTGTTTCGGATCCTTATAGGCGCGGTAGGCACTTACCATCAAGATCGCTTGCCTATCTGTATTATAAAAAAAAACAGCATTTTATATTTTTTAATACTATATATATCCGCCATTTTGTTCTAATAATATCGTCCCTTACGTACATATGTCTGACACGCCTATCTCCCATTAGGATAGGCAGAAATAATAAAACGTTAAATGCTTCGCTGTTTCATTTTCCATCAAAATTATTGCACAATGTTTGCTAATTTCAAGTGTTGGTACATCATCAACATATCAGCCTTTCACTGTCCACTGCTGGACATAAGCCTCCCCTGGGGGGGTTTTGCCAGTAGTTGTCACGATGGGCAGGCGGATTGGCAACCACAATTAGGCTTTTGAGATGTTTTAAAAGGGACGCTGCTGTTCATCCCTCGCCTTCCCTTAGTAGCCTCTCACGATACTCACGCGAAAACAAGGGGTGGCCTATTCTATGTCTGGACCCTCAGACAAAAAAAAGAATTTTCCAAATCGGTTTACAACTTTATGGAATTATGAAATAAGACACATAAAAAAATACAATCGAATTGAAAACCTTGTTTTTGAAGGGGTTTAAAATAAAATAAACTTGTACATGAACAAACCAGAGGGAGACTTTGTACAAAAATTGATTGCTTGGGTACCTCTGTCCCATTCGTGTTTCAATCGTGAAGCAGTTGTGTTTGCACGGCTGTGTTTCGGTTTGAAGGGTGGGATATGGCGTGAATTTACTGGGTACAGCGGAATAACATCTGAGTCCTCAGGAATGGCAACGCATGGGGGTATCATGGGCGAAATAGTATACTCTGTTATGTGCATGGTACTGCTCATGTCTATAGACGACGGTTATCAGTTTCCATCAGGTGGGCCGTCAGCTTGTTTGCCATTCTAAGTTGTATAAAAAAAACATATACACACAAGACTATATCCCCTAATGGAATAGTCAGAGTTATGACTTTTTCGACCTTTTGGATAAGATTTTATATTTATGTTTATGTATATATTGTATGTATGTATGTATTATTGTATACAGATATATATTTATTTTGATTTTAATTGTATGAGTTACTTATATATGTCAACATATTTATTATTTTTTAATAGAAACATCTATACTGTTTCCTTCTATTATTGTACGCATACTGCCCGCTAATAATTAATGCTCCTTTCCACTCAGGGTTTGCTGGAAGAGAACTCTTACAGAGTTAAGCTCGCCTGTTGTACATCTCTATTTTATATATATTATATGTTGTAATTTTTTGTGTACAATAAAGAATAAATAAAAATATATATATAAATACAATATATGTTTATTTTTGTTCTCAGTAAATACAAGTTCGATGGTCTGGACCTCGACTGGGAGTACCCTGCTAAGAGGGGAGGACAACCGCATGACAAAGCTAACTACGTCACCCTTGTAAAGGTGAAATAAGTGTAAATAATTGATTGTCCATTAAATTCTTTGCAGTTTTGTTTTATTGATACTTAGAATGGCAAACAAACGGACCACTCACCTGATGAAAAGTGGTAACCGTCACCTATAGACATGAACAGCACCATGGATATAGCGGAATAGACTGTTATAACCACGGTACCCCTCATGCGTTGCCTCCTGAGGACTTCCTAAGGAATACGATGTTACGCCTCAGCATCTAGTAATTTCACTACCATACCCTTCCAATCTGCCGTGTGTTCCCGGCATAGAATGGGCCAATCCTTGCTTTCTCGTGGGTGTCGTAAGACTAAGGGAACTTATTGGTCCTTCTTAAAATATCACTACCATATATCCTAACTGCGGTTGCCGACCCTACCAAGGGCTATAACTACTAGCAAACCCCCTCTTTTGGAGGAAGCCTATGTTCAGCAACGGCTGATATAATAATATGGACGTTCTAGGCTGTACCAGATATGCGTTACCTGATTCCCTATCCTAGCTGGTATCCTAGCTTTGGCCTTGTGGTCCCGGCATAGAATATGCAACCCTTTTCTTTCCCGTGGGTGTCCTAAGAGGCTACTAAGAAAGAGCGAGTAATGAGCAACGGCGCCCCTCTTAAAACATTTCTTAAGCTTATCTGTCTGGTTTATCAATCTGCCTGGCAACTACTGGTAAACCCCCCAAAGGAAAAGGTTTATGTTCAGCCATGGACAGTTAAAGGCTGGAATGACGATGATGATCCTAGTTGTGATTGTACTTCTCTACTTACTATTATTTTCTCATTTCAGGAACTAAAAGAAGCGTTCCAAGATAAAGGTTACATCCTTACAGCGGCTTTGGGCGCTGGGAAGAACACCATGGACGTTGCATACGACCTGGCAAAACTGAGCCGCTATTTGGACTTGATACACATGATGTGTTATGATTACCATGGCACGTGGGACGGGTTTGTTGGTGCCAATGCTCCCCTCAGGGGTGGAAGTGATGAAGATGCTTTAAGTGTGGTGAGTATTTTCGTGTTGTCCCGGACACCGCTTCCTTTCCCGTGGGTGTCGTAAGAGACGAGTAGGGGAACTTAATGGTCGAGAGATGAACAGCAGCGTCCCTATTAAAACATCACCAAAGTTTGGCTTTTCAATTGCCAATCCGCTTGCCAAATGTGGCAACTACTAGCTAAATCTTCCAATTAGGAGAGGCTTAATTCAGCAATAAACAAATAAAGGCTGATATGATGGTGATGGATCTAATATTGTTCTATTTAAAATTTGTTCTGAGTTAAATGAAACTTAACCTTATGAACCCGGAGTTAGAACCTAATGTTTAATAATAACTTTGTTACAGGAATACACAATCAAGTACATGTTATCCCACGGTGTTAGTCCATATAAAATGGTGTTAGGTCTGCCCATGTACGGACGGACGTTCATACTGAGTGATCCCGATACTAGACAGATCGAATTCGGCAGGACTAAAGTACAAAACGTCGGTTTCAAAGGACGATATACAGGAGAAAACGGATTCATGGGATACAACGAGGTAAAAATACATTTTGAAATATTTTCTAGAATATTTATTCTATTTATTTAACTCTTTATTGCACCAAAAACATAAAAATAAATAATGACATATAAACAATTCAACTGAAATACAATAGCATGGAGTACAGGTTAAAATATACATATAAAGGTACAAAAGGCGATCTTATCGCTAGGGCAATCTCTTACTGACAATCTTTGGTTAAAGGAGAGCATATAGAATAGAACAAGAAAGTGGATTGAATGCTTGGAACAGAATTAACAGCGTTATAGGGCGTTTCAACAGTGTTGCCAGATGTAATTTTTAATTTTACCCAAATGTGAATTTTTTCCCCAAATCGATATAATTTCCTTCGTCTCTACTCTGTCACAAATTTGTGTCCATTTTTAGTAGATTATGCCTAAACGAACGACCAAAAAACCCTTACATTTTGCCAATTAATTTATATTTAACTTATATTATCCCAAAATATAATGCATATACTCAATAATGGGCAGGAATTGCCCATTATTCGTGGCAGATCGTATTTATAATACAATTGTAAATAGTGTGTGAGCGAAATGGTTTGAAATAAAGTGTCAGAAAGTGAGAAAGAACGAGCTACATTGACGTCACCAATAAGGGATATTAGATGAAGACGAGGTCAAGTCAGCTGACCTATAGCAATCTATTCTCCTGTAATTGACCATGGGTCAACCTAGTAACGGGTCTGTTAGACCCCATTAGTATCCCAATTTATTTATTCATTAGTACAAATATGTGTACATGGCGGACTAAATGCTAAAAGCACTCTCTCCCAGTCAACCATAGGGAAGTGTCAAAATACTCGAATGCGGTACTAGTAATTATTAATATACATACATACTAAAATTACATATATAAACGAATAAATATATATAAATAACAAATATACTTACACATATATGAAATATACTATATTATACACGAAATTGAAAATAATATAAAGTACTTACAGCTCGGATAAAGTAAAAAAGTAAGCATGGACGTTTTTTTTAAAGACCAATTGCCATTAGTAAGCAAAGTCTGTTAGATCCCATTAGTAATTCCAACCCAAAACAATACCCAGGATTCAGGTACTGAGCAAAGGACTAAATTAACCTCTAATATTTAAATAAACTATGTGCTAAATGAAGAAGGAATCTAGAGTTTTTGGAACTGTACTGGAGACAAGTCATGAATATGTATGAAATAATGTATGTATGTATGGTTAGTTAGATGCCTTTATACTCGGTTCTATGCATATCCACTAAGGAATTTGACGTGAAAAGCTAATTCAGCGTCATTCCACAGATATGCCTAGAGCTGAACAACAAGACGTCGTCCTGGGAGAGGCTATGGCATAAGCCTTCGTCCACTCCATACTTGCGTAATGGTGACAAAATCATATCCTACGATAACGCCAGATCCATTGCTATCAAAGTCAAGTAAGTTAATTATACAGATTTTTTTTAATGAATGATAAAGGAATGGTAACCCTGATTGCGCTATTTCAGTATACGCTGACGAGGCACCAGTGAGGGATGATAGATGAGTATGTAAGCAGGTCAGTTAGCCCGCATGGACGTCGACCTCAACCCTGTGTGAATCGGATATATTGCCAGCAATGAGGATTAATATTCTCATTACATTCCTCCCCCCTCCCCCCTAAAGTGAGGTTTAGTTTATAAAAAATAATTTCGAAGCTTGAACTTAAAATTTAAACAACGTAATTCTTATAATCAATTTAAACCAACTTTCTCCAGGTTGGCCATGGATTATAACTTAGGAGGGCTGATGGTATGGAGCATAGATACTGATGACTTCAAAGGTCACTGCACTAGAGACACAGATGCTTTCTTGGACTTTGTTGAAAGGCATGAGACGATGGTGGACGACCCAGTACTGAATGAGGCGTTGAAGACGTTAAAACTTCGTGATGGTAAGTCGTTCTTTGATGATAAGCAATGATTATCTGAAATGATAATGATGTTAAGTGGAAGCCCAGTACTAGAATGTACAAAATAGACTTACTAGTTTTTCCTGGCCACTTCCCTGGTACCTCTGATCCACTTGTGTTTCTGCTGTAAAGCAGTTGTGTTTCGGTTTAAAGGATGGGATATGGTAGTGAAATTACAGGGTACAGAATCATAACACCTTAGTCCTCAGGAATGGTAATGGATGAAGTCTATCATGGATGATACAGTTTACTCTTTTATGTCCATGGTACTGGTCATATCTATAGACAACAGTTACCACTTTCCATAAGGTAGACCGTCAGCTTATTTGCCATTCTATGTTTTTTATATACAACTTTATATAACTTAGAATGAACAACAAGCTGACGGCTCACCTGATGGAAAATGGTAACCGTCGCCTATAGACATGAGCAGTACCATGGACATAACAGAGTATACTGTTTCACCCATGATACTTTCTATGCGTTGTTATTCCTGAGGACTTAGGTGTTATTCCTCTGTACCCAGTAAATTCACGCCATATCCCACCCTTCAAACCGAAACACAGCCATGCAAACACAACTGCTTCACGGTTTAAACACGAATGGGACAGAGGTATCCAAGCAATCGACTTTTGTACAAAGTCTCCCTTTGGTAAAGTTTTACAATTTAATGTAAGTAACCTATTTGTAAGTATAAGTTGCATAAGAAAGAACTCCAAACGGTTTGCTTTCCTTTATTCCAGCTCATGACCACTCTGATACAGCGTACGTCATCTCCGGAGGCAAGCTGCATCTGAGACTACCTGAACCTATGCACTCTAATTACCCATTAATGGAAACGATTAACCAAGCCGCCAATCTGGCGTTAGAAGAGAACCGTATTGTAGAAGAGATGGATAGGATAACGAAAGAGAACGCAATAGATCACGAAGAGGAGAGAAAACCAAGCTCAGCGCACACTATTAGTGCTGACTTGTTCTATATAACACTGTATCTTACTCTTCGACAGTTGAGTAAAATTCTAAGGATATAAAATTTAGAAGATCAAATTTAGAATGTAGTCAAGTATATAGAGCTTAAAGAAAACGAAAAGAATCATAAAGAAAACTTTGAGATTTTTACAGATACGGCCTGCTGGAGCTGGTCTTTGCTTACCAAATATGAGCATTGACAGAATCATTGATCAACAAAAAATTACACACAGAAATATGTTTGTTCAAAGTATAAGGATCGATTTTGAGGTGTCGTTTCTCTAAATGTATCATCATATCAGCCTTTAACTGTCCACTGCTGAACAGAAGCCTCCCCCTGGGGGGGTTTTGCCAGTAGTTGCCACGCTAAGCAGGCGGATTGGCAACCGCAGTTAAGCTTTAGAGATGTTTTAAGAGGGACGCTGTTGCCCATCCCTAACCTTCCCTTAGTCGGCTCTTACGACACCCACGGGAAAGGAAGGGGTAGCCTATTCTATGTCAGGACCACACGGCCAAACTAAGCGTATATCTAAAATTGAATTTTTAATTAGATATCACAGCAAAATCTTTATTCTAAGAACTAATATAAATGAATGAATGAAAACTCTTTATTGTTCTCTTCAAAGAATGATACAAATTATAAAGAACAACAATATGTACACAAACATAATGCATAATTAATTACATTTTTTTTATACAACTAAGAATGACAAACAAGCTGACGGCCCACCTGATGGAAAGTAGTAACCGTCGCCTATAGACATGAGCAGTACCATGGACATAACAGAGTATACTGTTTCGCCCATGATACCACCCCATGCGTTGACATTCCTGAGGACTCAGGTGTTATTCCTCTGTACCCAGTAAATTCACGCTATATCCCACCCTACAAACCGAAACACAGCCATGCAAACACAACTGCTTCACGGTTGAAACACGAATGTGACAGAGGTACCCAAGCGATCGACTTTTGTACAAAGTCTCCCTCTGGTATACATAAAAGCAAAATAAGGAGGCAACAATGGGCGGCCTTGTCGCTAAATAGCGATCTCTTTCAGGCAACCTTAGGATGGAGAGGAATCATTAAAATTGTGTCTGGTCAAGGTACAATAATATGGTCAAATAGTAATATGATTCATAAAACTGTAGTTTGACGAAATTATGAAATTAAAATATTAGTTTAAAGGATATGTTGAGAAAAATGACACCTCGAAACCTTATTACACAATACATATGTTCGAGGTGTTTACCAAAATTCCATTACATTATCCATATAACCAAAAAAAAAATGATATAAATATATCTGTCTCACGTGTGACATAGCGGATACTGTGTTGCAAGGTAAAATTATTTGCTTAGATTATATAGAATTATAAGAATTATAATATTTAAATTTTGTCCAAAATTGGACAGATTATATAGATAGAGCATCCAACGTAAAAAAAACGTTATTTTTTCTTTTTCTGGATTCGGATTTATAAAAAAAGTGTTAACTTTTAATTAGCCAAACGTAAACAAATTGACTGACATAAGTTTTTTTTTATAAATACCAAAATAAATACAGACATATTTTTTTAGTATTGCATTTTTAATTACATTAAAATGTTCGCATATTTTCAAATTAGAATTGGGATCTATTTTTCTGATATTATATAAGTATACAAATGTATGTATCGCTTTTAAATTAATATACATGTATTAAGTAAAATGGCGACCATTTTCAATTATTTAAAAACTAAAACATATTTCATGTCCTTCTTATATGTAAATGAAAGTATTCAGTAATGATAACCATCATTACGAATCATTATAGACTGTTTATCTGACTCTTTCGAATAGATTTTAATAATTTTGTATTATTTATTTTTCAAGTTTACATCACTATATATTTTCTCCCATATACTTAGTCATAAATGACATTATGGTACATAGATACAGTTTACCCTATTTTTAGGGAAATTTGTTTGGATACACTCTATCTATATAATCTAAGTTATTCGATTTTTTCCCTTTCAATGTGATAAAAAATATTTTAATGTATTTGAGATCCTTAAATTATTAATAGGTTGAATAAATACACGTCGAATTGAGCCCACATCTCTGCTATCCGGACTGACTGTGTTACCAGTTACACAGAAAGGATTCTACCTAAAATAATAAAATTGTAACTAAACAATATATATACATGGGAGATATTAAAAAAATATATAAAGTGTCTTAATAAGAGCAACAGATGTTAAAACAATATTATTTGGAAATTTTGTCTGTCTGTTTCTATGCCTAATCTGTCTGTATATTTATTCCGACATCAAACAAAAACTACTACACAAAATTGAAATGCAATTTTCACAGATTATTCCTGAAGATCTAATTTAAAATCAAGTGTATATTTAATCTTGATACGCCATTTAGAAATGGCCTATTTCGTTAGTTTTGTTTTTTTTTTTTTTCTTCGGAAATGCACGTGTATGAAGTAACAAGCATAAAGCTAGTCAACCATAGATTAAGGACTAACTTAAATTCACTTAAATTAATAAGTTTTATTAAATAAAGTCCTGCCTGTCTTTATTAGCAGATTATTCGACTTTTTTTTTAAATCATTACGCGTCATTTGAGCGCCATCTGCCGATGTTAAAAATTAAAATTCAAGCTTCTCATATTCAAATCATCTTTATTGAAACAGACTTGTATACAAGCACTTTTTAATTGTATTTTTTTTTATGAATACATAGTTCGGAGAGTTGTTATCTGTTAAAAAGAGCCCGCAAGAAACTCAACAGTTGCTCTTTTAAATCTCTGTTAACATTATGTGTATTTGTTTAAATGTACTATGTCTAATATTACATGGTAGTTAATTATAACTGTCTATACTAACTATAGACATAACTGTCAGCTTACAAATTCAATATCAAGTACTCTGGAAGTATTTTTTCAACCAATTAATAAATTCAATGTACTTAGTAGACAGAAAGAAGTTACTATTTACTAATATAACAAAATTGTAAATTGACAATATCTGTACATAGCAAGTATGTAAGAAAAATTAATATCAGAAGTCTTAACAAGGACTAAATATAGCACAATAATTTTTAGTAATTTAATCTGTCTGCCTGTTTGTTCCGGTATCACGCCAAAACTACTGCACCAAATTGGATGCGACTTTCACAATTCTATTCCTGAAGGTCTAACTTGAAATCTGGTATATTTATTTTTTACAACACAGGGGGCAAACGAGCATGCGGCTCACCTGATTGTAAGTGACTACCGCCGCCCATGGTCACGCACAACACCAACGGCATTGCAGGTGTGCTGCCGGCCTTTTAAAAGGGAATATGCTCTTTTCTTGAAGGTTATGTTGTCGTATCGGTTCGGAAATACTGTTGCTGGAAGTTGATTCCAAAGAGTGGTTGTGCGTGGGAGAAAGTGCCTTGAAAAACGCACGGTGGAAGACCGCCACTCGTCCAGATGGTTGGGATGAAATTTTAGTTTATGGCGGGTTGTACGATGGTGAAAATCAGCAGCAGCATTGCATCTGAATACGTCATCTGGCAATAGTGTATTGCATTGGTTTTCCAACTTCGGAAATCCACGCGTACGAAGTAGAAGGGAAAAGATAGTAGGCAATGAAACAATGTTTAGTACATATAAATAATGTTTAATAAATAAGTTTTATTTATAAGTATTTATATTTATTTACATCTTGTACTTACGTAATGTAAGGCTTCATATTTCGACCTATAAATCAATGTAAGGCGAACCGCATCTCACGTTGTAGAAATGATCGCAGACCTGTGAAATAAAAATTATATTTTTATAAATTTTTTGTAATAATTGTTTTATTTTATTATGCTTGGGCACCACTGTCCCAATCTTGTTTCTACCGTGAATCAGTTGTGTTTGCATGGCTGTGTTTCGGTTTAAAGGATGGGATATGGTAGTGAATTTACAGGGTACAGAGAAATAACACCTGAGTCCTCAGAAATGGCAACGCATGGGGGGGTATCGCAGGCGAAACAGTATACTCTGTTATGTCCATAGTACTGCTCATGTCTATAGGCGACTGTTACCACTTTCCATCAGGTAGATCGTCAGCTTGTTTTGCCATTCTAAGTTGTATAAAAAAAAAACTTGCTATATGTGAAGGAAATTCTAAAATTATTTGTATTTATTAAGTTTGTCCATTATAAAGTCTTGCTTCTTTTTTTTTATATAATTTAGAATGGTAAACAAGCTGACGGCCCACCTTATTTGCCATTCTAAATTGTATAAAAAAAAGAAACCCGAAAACACGAATGGGACAAAGGTACCCAAGCAAACGACTTTTGTACAAGTCTCCCTCCCTCCCTTTCTTTAATCATAAAGAGGTTTGAAATTTTGTTTTTTTGTTTGATGTAACTAATTTTATTTAGTTTAGTAAGTCGGTCTGAGTGACGACCTCTTAGAAACTCCTTTTAAAATCGCTTAAAAAAATTTTTTACTACGCGGATTGAAAATTGAGGAAAGAAAGAAATACAACCAACTTACTTGGAACTGTTCGTTGAAGAGAGTACCATTAGCACAGAGGTCTGTACTGACTAGACGATGTCTCCAACAGAAGTGGTATACCTGCAAAATTTATTGTGTGGCATTAATGAGTGTATGTGTGAAAGAGAGAGAGGGAGAAACCACTCCTTCCTTTCCCATGGCTGAGGGAGAGACCAATCTTTCCTTTCCCATGAGTGTCGTAAGAAGTAACTAAGGGAATTTAATAATCAAGGGATCGACAGTAGCGTCCCTCTTAAAACATCACCAGAACCCTATCTGCGATTGCCAACCCGCCTGCCAAGTGTGGCAACTACTGGCAAAACCCCCAAGGGGAAGGCATATGTCCAGCAGTGGACAGTTAACGGCTGGTATGATGGGTATCTCTATACCTCTCGTCTTTCTACTATGAAGCAGTTGTGTTTGCATGACCATGTTTCGGTTTGAAGGGTGGGATATGGTAGTGAATTTACAGGGTACAAAGGCCTTACCGTACCTTAGTCCTCTGCAATGACAATGCATGAGGAGTACCACGGGTGTCACAGTGTGTTCTGTGATGTTCACAATTCTGATCATATGAATAGGCGACGGTTACCACTCTCCATCAGGTGAGCCGCATGCTCGTTTGCATTCTATGTTATAAAAAATAAAACCACTTTCCATCAAATTGGACCGGCAGTTTGCCATTCTAAGTTGCATAAAAAATTTTGTTTTTAAATATATTTCTTTCTTTCTTCTTCACTTGTACCTTCTTTCAACTAAATTACCTGACAACCGGTATGAACGTCAGCATAATATCCCCTCGTCCTTCCGGCGCATGTGAATTCTGTTGGCGGTGCTTTCTCTAACACCGGATATAGGGGTGGATCGTGAGGCAGGTGTAGCACGTGGTAGTAATCATATGGCACCTGACTCAGAGCCGTGGCTAATGCTGAAAATAATAAATTATTTATTTGTTGAGTATGAAGAATTGTACCAAGTTACGTCAAAATCCGTCGAGTAGTTTTTGTTTCTATAACGAACATACAGACAGACAGACAGACAAAAATTTCACTGATTACATTTTCGGCATCAGTATCGATCACTAATCACCCGCTGATAGTTGTTTTGGAAATATATTTCATGTACAGAATTGACCTCTCTACAGATTTATTATAGAATAGAATAGAATAGAATAGAAATCATTTATTCAAATAAACTTACATTGAAGCACTTTTGAAAAGTCATTACATTTTTTTTAATTTACCGCTCGTTCGGAAAGCTGTCTCATCACAAGAAGAACGAGCAAGAAACTTGCGTGATGCTCTTTTAAATAATTTTATTATTATTTTACATTTTTAAGTTTAATTGTGTGAATACAAACCACCAATTAGCACTAATTCAATTAAATACTCAAAAAGAAAAAAAAATTGAATACATAACCAACTGGTTAAACAATTAATAAGAGGAAATCAGTCATAGTGATTAGAGCAGACCAGTCCCTACAAGCAGCACCCGTTCACGAGTATGACGGATGAGCCAGCCATCACTGCGCTCGACCATATTTTAGGGAGCCCAATGACCCGGCCCACCACGCCGCCACAAGTCTGGACATTTTAGTGAGCATGACTACTCAAAACACTAGACCACGTCAAAGCTACTCACAATTGCCATCTGATAGTTATAGTATTCACATTTTACATAAGAATGCATGCGGCAATTAATACAAAAAACCGCTACGCTTTCATATTTCTAAAATTAATCAATTAAATCAAGAAAGCAATGAGAAAATAAAATTATAACGTTGTATGCTAATAAACTAATTATTTACTTGATATGTTGTCATCTATGAATTCGTCTATCCTGTAATAGGCTTTCTTACATAAAAATTGTTTAATATAAGATTTGAATTGCCTCTCTGTCAGATTTAATGCAGATTCCGGCAGTTTATTATAAAATCTTATGCAATTACCATAGAATGAATTACTGATTATGTGCAGACGGCATTTAGGTAAAATAAGCTTATTTATATTGCGTAAGTTTCTACTTGTACAGTCTTTGAGTTTTTTAAAACTCGCTAAGTTCTTCCGTGTATACATAATATTTTCATAAATGTATTGTGAAGTAACTGTGAGGATATTTGAGTCTTTAAAGCACTGACGTAATGACTCTCTTGAACCCATACCATAAATAGAACGTATGGCTCTCTTTTGTAAAACAAATATAGTATTTATATCGGCTGCTTTACCCCACAGCAGTATGCCATAAGACATTATGCTATGGAAATAACTAAAATATACAAGTTTAGCCGTCGCCACGTCTGTTAATTGCCTAATTCTTCTAATTGCATATGCAGCAGAACTGAGTCTACTGGCCAATTTTGAAATATGGGGCCCCCATTGTAATTTCGAGTCTACTGTTATACCTAAAAAAACTGTATCATTAACAAAATTTACTATTTCGTCATTAAGCAATAACTGTGTATTTATTAGTCTTACATTAGGAAGTGTAAATTTTATACACTTTGTTTTGCTGGAATTTAATAATAGGTTATTACATGTAAACCAATTTAATATTGCAGACATAGCACAATTTATATCGTCTAATTGATTACTTTGACGTCCAATTTTAAACACTAACGAAGTATCATCCGCAAACAGCACTATATCTGCAATTTTCTCTACCATAAAGGGAAGGTCATTTATGTAGATTAAAAAGAGAAAGGGGCCTAAGATTGACCCTTGTGGAACGCCCATCTTAATATTAGCTCCCTTAGATTTTACACCGTCAATATCTACAGTTTGAACCCTATCCTCTAAATAAGTTCTCATTAATTTTAGATCATTATCTCTTATACCATAATGTTCGAGCTTGTACAAAAGCGTTTTATGATCCACACAATAGGTATAGATAAGACCGCCTTTGATATCATTTGGCATTAAAATTTACTGTACCTGTTACACCAGTTATAAAAATAATAAATGCATTAAATTTTTAATGCAAAAGTAAATTAAAATCTCACGTGATTAATTAATTATCATACACAAAAAAGATAAAATTTAAACCATGGGTGTTTGTTATTTTTTCATGCAAAATCTACTGAATGGTTTAGTTTTAAATTTGGTACACGGGTAAGTTATATTCTAACTCGGAACATAACATATTTTATACACTACTTCACGCGCGCGAAGCCGCGGGATAAAGCTAGTATTTTCAAATGTCGTAACGTATCTAATAAACGTGTTCAAATACATATAAAAAAAATACTTACCCAATAAAAATACAGAAATATATCTAAACATATTTAAAAAATTATGATATATAATATATAAATAACAATGCGCGTGCGCAGGTCGATGGCCGGCGCCTGCGACGCGAATTAACACACTAAAAAGCTTAAAGTAATCCGCATTGAATTTAGAATGTAATCTATATTGATCCGTGGATAAGTTTATGCAGGATGAAGAACTTTTTTTATAACACTGAGTTGGCAAAGAAGCATACGGCCAACCTGATGATAAGCGGTTACCGTAGCTTATGAAAGCCTGCAATAGCAGGGGTAAAACGCGCGCGTTGCCGACCCTGAAGAAACCTCTTTACCACTTTTTTTTAAGAACCCCATGCTGTTTTTTTTATGCAACTTAGAATAGCAAACAAGCTAACGGCCCACCTGATGGAAAGTGGTAACCGTCGCCTATAGACATGAGCAGTACCATGAACATAACAGAGTATACTGTTTCACCCATGATGCCCCCCATGCGTTGCCATTTCATTTCATTCCATACTGTAGTGGCTAGGAAAAACCTCGTCAGGGAGTTCATTCCATAACCTGAGCGTTTGTGAGAAAAAACATCTCTAAAACCGCGTTGTCCAATTAAAATTTGGAATGGCAAACAAGCTGACGGCCCACCTAATGGAGAGTGGTGACCGTAGATTTTTTTTTTATTAGTATTATATTTCATTTGCCCCATAAGAAGAATTTTTTGATTTTTCAAAAACAAAAACCAGTTATTTTGATTTGAAAACTAAACTACTTAACCGATTTTGATAAAATTTCTATGGAACTAACCTGTAAATTTATATCCCTTCAGATAAAAAAGAATTCCCCAAATCGGTTTAGAACTAACGGAGTTACGTAACAAACATAAAAATAAAAACAATTTAATTGAAAACCTCCTTTTTTGAAATCGGTTACTTTTAGGAACAAAAAAAAATACAAACGAATTGACAAAATAACATCCGAATAATGAGAACACTGTTGCATAATACCAACCTTTCAAGAACCTGCATGCACATATATGTTTCCGTCCCGAACAAGGTCAGGTCAGATCTGAACCTTGCTCGCATACCATCGCATTGTCCGCAGCTGACCAGGTGTGGGACAGACCAGGGATTTATCTATATTATAAATCTGGTGGTCTACCATGAAATGAAATTCCGAATTTTCGGGCCCAATTTCGTGTTTTTGTTCGTAACTAAATCGAGCCAGTAAATGGAGCTTAACGTTTCGTTCATCATAAATCCTATCCTAATAGTCCAGAGCAATGATATTTTAACAATTTTAATCATTTGAAACGACATGTAATTTTAACATCAAATTTCTGTTATATTCGTCCCCGAAATTTCGGAAAATATTTTTTGGAGGCCCTCTGATCAGCAGGTTTACTCTTGAATCTAATACCGATATCAATCCAATCCATTGCCAATGACAATTTTTTACTGTACTCATGGAACAACAGTTAGGAATTAGGTTAGAATTGGGATCGCTTTACAGTTTGGTTGGCTCATCATGACGAATTCGATAAAAATTAACGCTATGGTGGTTTCCAAGGGGGGTCGTAAGAAGCTCAATAACATCCACGCGGGTCACTCTGGAAACTGTCGTGGTCCCAACACAAAATGGGTCACTCCTTCCTTTCCTGTGAGTGTCGTAAGAAGTGACCAAGGGAAGTTAATAATCGAGAAATAGGCCGCAGTATCCCTCTTAAAACATCACCAAAACCTAACTGCAGTTACCAACCTGCCTGCCAAGCTTGGCAACTACCGGCAAAACCTCACAATAGATAGAGGCCTATGTTCGGCAATGAATAAATAAAGGCTGATGATGATGATGATATTTTTCCTATATGGCAACTTTAATTGTCACAAATTTTTTTATTGGAACAACACCGAATTGATTGCAAAACGAATTATGGAAATCGGTTCCAAATTGGCGATGTAGTCGAATTGAGAACCTCCTTCATTCAGAAATCACAAAAAAAAAACTATCAATATTCAATCTATGAGGTTTTAACTTATGACTAGACTGTATGGGTTATGCTCTTTGCCCGTCCAATTTTATATGAATTTTAAAACAACATCAACTTGATCTATAAGAAAAAAAATAATCATAAATATACTACTATATAGTAATTTTTAAAAATTATTTAAATCTGTGGTCTACAAAAAAAACAATATCAAATGTCGCAAAATCTGTTATTTTAATTTCAACACTAAACTACTAGACCGATTTTAACAACATTTCTATAGGACCAATCTGTAAGTATGTCCTTTCAAATTAAAAATAAAATCCCTAAATCAGTTTATAACTGACGGAATTATGAGATTACAAACAAAAAAATACAGTCGAATTGAGAACTTCCTTCTTTTTGAAGTCGGTTGATAACGTAAAACTTTAAATATAACCGTGCATAATGATCTTTACGGGTTCCTATTAAGTTACTTCGCGCCATTTTGAGACCCCTTGACATTCAGTTTTAGTTCCTGGAACCTTGACATGTGCAATTACTGTTCGTTATTATCAAAACCATCGCTGAGTCGTACATTTTTTTAAATCCATTTAGATATTATTGCATTTTAATATAGCCCGCTTTTTTTTTTTTTGTTAACGATGTCGAAATAAATATTTATGGCTGTATACGAAAATGTACTGGCACCAAAAAAAAAACTAGTTGCGAATTACAAAACGAAACATTCATCGGGCGAATTTCAAAAATTCATATATGGAATGCTAACCGACCTCGGCTAATCACAGCTGACAGCGGGCATGCGCGGGCGCCGCTCACTTACACAAAAGAAATTGTAATGTCCGTACTGACATATGAATGGACAAATTAATCATGAGACGTATTTGATTAATTATTTGATTATAACAATATAAAGTGACTATTGAAGTGACAACACGTTTGTAAACACAACACACACACACACTTTGATCTTAGACAAAAGGCCGAGAAGTGATAACTATTGATTGGGTACCTCTGTCCCATTCGTGTTTCAACCGTGAAGCAGCTGTGTTTGCATGGCTGTGTTACGGTTTGAAGGGTGGGATATGGCGTGAATTTACAGGGTACAGAGGAATAACACCTGAGTCCTCAGGAATGGTAACGCATGGGGGTATTATGGGCGAAACAGTATACTCTGTTATGTCCATGATACTGCTCGTGTCTATAGGCGACGGTTGCCACTTTCCATCAGGTGGACCGTCAGCTTGTTTGCCATTCAAAGTTGTGTATAAAAAAAACTATACCATGTCATACCATACCATACAATATCAGCCGTTAACAGTCCACTGCTTAAAATAGACTTCTGTCTATGGGGGTGATCCTTATCCCTATAGGGATAGAGATCTCGATAGGTCCCCTGACCTATAGTCGTATTATGAACTTTTAAAAAACCAATCAAGTTCCAGGCAATTTATTTTACGGTCGTAAACTGCCTTGTTCTTTTTCGTATGGTACCCCGCCAGCGTATACCGATAGCGCAGGCGACGTTACCATCTTATTCTCATCCATTAAAACAAAGTACCCGGCTACTAGTCCATAGGCAACCGTTTAAAAAATTCTACATCCGCCATTGTTAGTGTCTAACTATATACCAACGCCTATCTCTGTAATATTAGAAACATATTATTATGTATATTGTTTCTCAAATATAGCTTCGTATGGATACATAGAATTTTCAAAAATAATATACAACCTTTTTTTATGCAATTTAGAATGGCAAACAAGCTGACGACCCACCTGAAAGTGGCAACCGTCGCCTATAGACATGAGAAGTACCATGTACATATCAGAGTATACTGTTTTTTTTTTTTTGATGGGTGAAAATGGTATGGTAACCCCGCCTGCGCTAACGGAATACGCTGGCGGAGCACCAGTGAAGGGTGATAGATGAGAATGAAAACAGGCCAGTTAGCCCATCATGATGAATTCATCATGAATTAACCATGATAGTTTCTAGGGGGAACCGCGAGGAGGTCGACCTGGTTGGGTATATTGCTAGCAATGGGATTCTCAGTCTCCATTACTAACAATCCCTTTCCCCCCCCAGAGTATACTGTTTCGCCCATGATACCCCCCATGCGTTGCCATCCCTGAGGACTCAGGTGTTATTCCTCTGTGCCTTGTAAATTAATTAATTTGGTTAAACCGTTAAGGCGCTAAAAGGCAACAAACAAACAGACATATAATATTATTAATTGCAAATCCATCCTTACCGCCTCGCATATATTAAACAAGATAATTACCATGTTTTATCTATGAAGCAATACACGCTGTCTCCTAAACGTAGCAATCAATTAGATATGTACTCGATCATGGCGAGGGGACGGGTTTTGTTGCATTAAATTGTACGGTTCCGTAGCTGCAGGTAGCCGTTTATCATCAGACGGGACGTATGCTTGATTATCAATGTCGTTGTATGAAACTAGCGACTTGTCACGCTTTGCATAGTTATATATGTAGATAGAAGCTAATGATCACATGAGGGGGGAAAGGGATTGTTAGCAATGGAGTTTGACAGCTCCATTGCTAGCAATATTAGCCCTATCAGGTCGACATCCACGTGGTTCCCCCTGGAAATCATCGTGAACAATTGTTGTTGAATTCGTCACGATGGGCTAACTGACCTGCTTCATCCTCACCTATCATCCTTCACTGGTGCGTATCAGCGTAAACCAATAGCGCGGGTGGGGTTACTATTTCATTATCACCTATAAAAAAAAAACCTTCTTTGCATGATGGTAGAAATTTCCATCATAACATTGAATGCCAAAAATGCCATGCTATGCCGGTAGCGCGGGCCATTCCATTATCACCCATTAAAACAATGATCATACGACTACTTTACGCAGTGTCAATAACCTCCGATTCAAATTTCCCGCTCATTCTTCTCCCTTTTATTCTAAATCCTTTACTGTTCAGGCAGTTCGCCTTTGAAACTCACTGTCTCTATTCGGTGCGCTCAAACTCTCGCTAGTTTCAAAACCTGTATTAAACCCTACTACCTCTCCCTTTAGGACTATTTTCCTGTGTTCTCTCTTCATTTTCCTTCGTCATATATATATATATATATTTGCATTAAATAGTTTAAAATTATTACAAGCCACGTGGTATTATTTTGGCACCTGCTTAATTGCCTTAAAAGATGTAGGCATGCATATATTTTACATTTTATAAAAAAAAAAAAGAGAGAGAAAAACGCATAAAGATAAATTTAAACGCAGTATAATGGATATAAATAAAAATATACAAATAAATACATAAATACTTGCTTAGTTTTTTACCAGATTATTTATTAGTCTGCCGAATCCTAAAAGCTAAAATATTTGCAAACCGATCAATAAGCAAATAACCTCAACTAGACATTTAGAGGCCGTTATTTTATTAATATATACATATATACATAGAGTGACAAACAAACTGACGGTCCGCTTGATGGAAAGTGATAACCACTGCCAAAACAAACATTAATAATACTTGCGTCTCAGTATATACTGTGACGCCCATTTTAACTCTCAATTTTTCGTATGATACTGTTTTGTTTCTTGGTTCATGGTGATATGTATCTACAGACGACGATTACTACTTTTCCTAAGATTTTATTTTTTTAAACAACTTAGAATGGCAAACAAGCTGACGGCCCACCTGAAGGAAAGTGGTAACCGTCGCCTATAGACATGAGCAGTACCATGGACATGACAGAGTATACTGTTTCGCCCATGATACCCCCCATGCGTTGCCATTCCTGAGGACTCGGGTGTTAGATGCCATAATTTGCCATTACCAAATGCATAAAAAACTAAACATTTTTAAGAATTAAAATACGCGCGAAACTGGTTGTTTATATTGTAGAATTATAAATCAACCGCCATGCCATTAGGTTGAAATTGCTGGTTTACTATTGCCATTAGATATAAAAAAAATGCAAGATTTTAAAAATCGAACACACGTCCATACGGTAACCGACCTCGGCCTCTGGTCAATCGTGCTAAGAAATGGCCAACAAACCTTGGCCGGCTATTAGTTTCTTTTTTTTTTTAATAATGGAATGCTATCTGCGTTAGATTGCCAGTAACATAGATTAACTGATAAGATTATTGAACTAATGAGTCCGGTACACATTACTTCAAGAAATCCGAATTTCGAAATAAACAATTAGATACTGATTTTTTTTTATACGAGTCTCTCTACGGCTATGGGGTTATGGTTTTGTGTACAGCCATGCTAGCGCTACTGTTTGGCGACGAAATTAAACAAAATTATTTACACATGTGAAAATGCGAGTGGGAACCTCAAGAGCACTAGTGAAGACCCCAGAAGGACGAGCGGTAGCCTCCCAAAAGCTCGATTGTTCACCCCCCCCCCCCCAGCTACTGTATAAATACGATCTTATGCAATGGAAAATAAGTTGTTGCGGATTACATATCGTAAGTCTTATAGGATTTGTATTTTTTTTTTATTGGATGATAATGGAATAGTAACCCCGCCTGCGCTATCAGTACACACTGGCGGGGTACCAGTGAGAGATGATAGATGAGCATGTAAGCAGGTCAGTTAGCCCATCGTAACGAATGCAACAAGTATTAATCACGACGGTTCCAGGGGGAACTGCGTGGAGGTCGACCTGACAGGGCTAGCTAGCAACGAGGACATTAGTCCCCATTACTAACAATCCCTTTCCCCCAGGATTTGTATTGAATTGTATCAACTGTTTACTGTCCACTGCTGAACATAGCCTCCCCCTTAAGGGAGTTTTGCCAGTAGTTGCCACGCTTGGCAGGTGAGTTGGCGATCACAGTTTGGCTTTTAATGATGCTTCCAGAGGGACGCAACTGTCCATTTCTTCGACAATAAGCTTAGTCGTCTCTTACGACACCCACGTAAAAGAAAGTGGTGGTATGTTTTATCCCGGGACCTGCACTGCTACTTACTAATCCTGCCTTTTTTTTCAACGTGAGGAAATCTTCCAAAGACCTTCCCAACTGCCGGAGGGAAGGCAGAGGGGGTATGTGGGATTTTTACCCACTAAAACCTCACGACGTAGGCGCATATGTCGGGTCCCCGGGTTGAAGACGACCGAAGCCCGACGCGAAAAACTAATCCTGCCTAGCTGCATTTAAAATTCAAAAATTCAAAATTTTTATTCATTCTCCACAATACTGTATGAACAAACGATTTACTTAAGAATACTCTTAATGGATGATAGTGGGATGGTAACCCCATCCGCGCTATCGGTATACACCGGCGGGGCACCAGTGAGGGATGATAGGTGAGGATGTGACGGTCGACCTAATAAGGCATATTGCTAGCAATGGGGCTGTCAAACTCCATTGCTAACAATCCCTTTCCCCCCGATATTTCAAGATTATGCATAGGCAACACAGTATATTCTGTGATATCGGCGCTGCTCATGTTTATAAGCGATGGTTACCATTTTCCATAAGATGGACTGTCAGCCCGTTTGTCATTCCACAAAGAAAAATGACTCTATTTTTGGCAAAAGCAGTTATTTTGTTTTCAGTACTAAATTACTGAGTCGATTTTGATAAAACTTCTATGGGACCAATCCATAGGTATATTCTTTCGAATAAAAAAAAATTAAATCCGCTTACAATAGAGGGGTAAACATAAAAAAAAATAGAACTAAATTGACAACTTTCTACTTTTTAAAGTCGATTGAAAAAAAATGTTTGATGAAAAAAAAAATTGTTAATGTAAACAGAGTAAACGTTTGTAAACGGAACTAGTCTTTAACACCAAAAGCCTAAAATCTATAACATCTTAGCAAATATGTAACTACCTACCTATATATACATAAATAACAAGATGAACATAAGAGGTCCTTATATAAAGTACCTTATAAATTTATTTACACTTTATTGCACTATTTATAAAAATAAGAAATATGATTAACATTAATGAAAATTGATATAAAAGACGGCCCTATTGCAAAACATATCGAATAACCTGTACTATACAACTATATCGTTACATTTTTTATCTTGCTTATTTCCTATATTGCATATAAGAATTAAGATACACACTCAATCATACATTCAAAATCTATATAAATATAACTTTCATTTGTCACTGAGAAATTATTATCAATTGAAAATATTAAACAAAAGAAATTATTAAAAAAGAAAAAAACATGAACAAGCTCCTAAGCCTTATTTTGAATAAAAATCTGAATAATGACATCGAAGAATTGGCTGTATGGTCTAGCTACCTTAGCCTGCCTTTAAGACGAATTGGAAAATAATAACATCATAAATTGTCATTGTCAAATTGACACATTTAATTTTGTCTTATACATAAACCCATCTGTTTATTTTTATTGAATTATGAATTATTTATAAAAAAATGCCTTTAATAATTATTTGCGGAACACCAGTCAGTGGCAAAACAACTCGAGCTAAAGAGTTAAAGGATTTTTTTGATAACAAACATGGGAAACGTGTAGAAATAATATCGGAAGACGAAGCTATTACGAAGTTAGGTTATGAGAAAAATAATGCTTATTTAGACTCGCAAAAAGAGAAAAGGATACGTGGTTACTTAAAATCGGAAGTACTTAAACTGATAGGGAAAGATAATGTCGTTATATTGGACGGCAGTAACTATATAAAAGGTGAAATCACATTTTTTATACTATTATGAATAGAAACAAATTTGATATTACATTTGATTAAAAATTAGAAACCCCCGTCTCTATCCCACTCAAGTTTATACTGCTATTGGATTTTTGGCTTGTATGGTTGGATTTCGGTTTGAAGAGTGGTATATGGCAGCCAAAATTACAAGAAGTCAGTGGATACTCTTAGGAAGAGAAGATTAAGTCTTTAAGTATAATGGCCTCCTTGGGAGGACGATCACCTCATGATCCACATCCAGGAAGTCACAATAGTTTCCAAGAGGACTGTGTGGAAGTCGATCCCATGTAATATATTTCCTTTTTTTTTATACAACTTAGAATGGCAAACAAGCTGACGGCCCACCTGATGGAAAGTGGTAACCATCGCCTATAGACATGAGCAGTACCATGGACATAACAGAGTATACTGTTTCACCCATGATACCCCCCATGCATTGTCATTCCTGAGGATTCAGGTGTTATTCCTCTGTACCCAGTAAATTAATAACATTAAATAGAGCTACCATACTAGGCATGGGTAATATGGATACTGTTCCAATATCTATATATAAGGTTCCTCTAGACTTTAATAGTGGAAAAAAGGTCATTATCCTTCTCAATATTGCCCATATCGTTTGGATCTCTTTTTATAATTTTGATGCAATTAAGTGTTAAGTCAATAAATATTTTTTAGATTACAGACTTTTAACATATTTATTATATAACCAGTATATAGGTATCATAACTAAAATATAGATATTGCCATATATTACTCACCTCTACCATATCTCATTACTAGCAATCTATCCCCACTGCAGGTTACCGTTATGAACTGTACTGTGCTTCAAAAGCATCAAAATGCACTCAGTGTACATTATACACTATCCGAAATCATGAGGAAGCCTGGGAGGATAACCAGAAGCGAGTGAGCGAAACAGTTAATACAGCGGAGAGAGATGGAGATAGTAAAGTGACGCCTTACACTGAAGAAGTTTTTGACGCTTTGTCAAGACTAAGGTGAGACATTCAGAGGCTCGTATTTTTTACAAGAAAAACTGTCAATTTTATACTAGTCTTTTATTTATTTTTATTTTAAACAAATTAAATTTGCAAGTATTATTTACCAGTATTTAGAAATAAATTTCAATAAAGGAGTTTGTTTTGTATACCACAAAGGTAGCAAACAAGCATACAGCCTGTCTGATGGTTAACAGTTACTATAGCCCTTGGACACCTGCAACACCAGAGATGTCACATGCACATTGTTGACCATGAAGGAACCTTTATACACTGTTTCTGAAGAATCCCACAATGTAATCTCCAGGAAACACAAAATCTTAACTTGTTACACAACCCTTTGTTAAGGTGTTACAAAATAAACTCTATGTTTCAGGTTTGAAGAGCCAAATTCCAATAACAGATGGGACAGTCCACTATTCACTGTACAACCTACAGACACATTAGACTTGGATAGTATATACCAAGTGCTATTCGAGAGGAAACCACCTCCTCCCAACATGAGTACCCAAAATGTAAGTTACAGTAATATATATTCTTTATTGCACTTGTAAGTTATATATAAAATAATCTATTTATAAATGTTGTGAGCAAGGGTGGACTTATCTCTGACAGAGATCTCTTCCAGTCAACCCAGTACAGTAAGAAAGCATTTCGTTGGCGGGCAGCTGAAGTGCTACAGCTATTAATACATAAACAAATATACAGTTAAATAAAATATTATTGATATTTTTATATATATATATATAATATCAATAATATATTAACATCCAAACATATTTACCAAAATTCACATTTATAATAAATATTTCACATGTTAATCGCCACGATAATATCAGAAAAATTTCACATGGGCCATGGTAACTTTATTAGATAATTTAGATAAAAATGTATCAAGGAAACTTAATGTACCACAGAAATTTATTTATTTTTTTGCCAAAATTCCCAGAAAAACACTATTTTTTATGTCACACATAGATGACTTTACTTTTTTTCAACTGAAACAATATACCATTATATAACTATGTTTATTTCATTTTATTGTTTGTAGTAAGCCAAGAAATTTTCAGGTTTTGTTCCTGATAGGCCAAGTTTTCGAAACATAATGCAAATGTATCGTTTGCGTCGGACATGTGTGATTGACGTGACCTTCTACCAAATCGCGTACGTCAGACGTATATCGTCATAGTCGTAGAATACTGACGGATCTTTATATGTAATCTTTGTCAGGCGATTAACGTGTTAATAGGGCTTCTAAATCTACAACCTGTGCCTCTTCCATTCCAGCCTCCACTCAGCGCAACAAACTTTCTGTACGAACTGGACAAAGTGACTCAGTCGATATCAAAATGTATACTGGACGCGAAACAATTGAACCAGGACGAGGTGAGGTTCCCCGAGTATCCCGGCTGCGAGCTGGACGCCGGCTTCGTGCAGTCTGTCAACCCACAGAAGCTGCTCCGCCTTCGCAGGCAGTTCCTCACGTATGCGAAATCTAACCATTCAAACGAAGATGTAAATAAAATAGGCAGATATTTCGTACAATATTTGAATAAAACGTTAATTGATTAATTTTCTGTTTTTTTATTTCGCAAGAGCTGGACATAGAAGTTATTTAAATATAATTATTTTAAACTAACTCTCCAATGATAAGGAACATCGTTAACACTCCAATTAGTCCGAAGAAGTACAGTAAGCTCGGCGAAATTATGTATGTATACCAGAGGGAGACTTAGTACAAAAGTCGTTTGCTTGGTCGCCCCTGTCCCATTCGTGTTTCTACCGTGAAGCAGTTGTTTGCATGGCTGTGTCTCGGTTTGAAGGGTGGGATATTGCAGTGAATTTACAAGGTACAGAGGAATAACACCCGATCCCGAGGAATGGCAACGCATAGGGGGTATCACGGGCGATGGTACTGCTCATGTCTATAGACTACGGTTACCACTTCCCATAAGTTGGGCCGTCAGCTTGTTTACCATTCTAAATAGCATAAAAAAAATGTGGACATTTAGTATTATATTCACCATAACGGCAACAGGCGACAGATGGCTCCAACCGACATTAGGGATTCGCAAGCACATTTATTTTACTATAATTAACCAACTATGGAACCAACCTATATATCCTTTCAGATAAAAAAAAATTAATTCCAAATCGGTTTACAGCTGACGGAGTTACAAGGTAACAAACATAAAATTGCCATGTAGGTCCCAGCGTAGAGTAGACCACCCTTTCCAGTGGGTGTCGTAAGAGGCCACTAAGGATCGCTTATGGTGGAAGGATGGACAGCAATCAGCAGCCAGGTCCACCTGAAAACATCACCAGAAGCTAAAACTGCGGTTACCAACCCTCGTGCAAAGCTTGGCAAATACTAGCAACCCTTACGGGGAAGGCTGTTCAGCAGTGAATTGTTAACCCTTAAAAGCCATATTTGGGGGGAAAGGGATTGTTAGTAATTGGGTCAAATAGCCCTATTACTAGCAGTATACCCTGTCAGGTCGACCTCCACGTGGTTCCCCCTGGAAACCATCGTGACTAATTCTAGTTTAATTCGTCAGGATGGGCTAACTGACCTACTTTCATCTGCATCAGTCATCTATCACTGGTGCCCCGCCGGTGTATACAGATAGCGCAGACGGGGTTACCATATCATAATCACTCATTAAAAAAAAAACAGTTTATTTATTTATTTGAAAATTACTCACCACACTTACAGTCTCCCAAAACGTGTAGTGAGCCATAGGTTTATTTTACAAACGTAGAAATTTTAAACAACATTTTAAATATTTATCTATTTTGTCATTAAATATATCAATATCTGGCTGCTGAGCAATCAGAGAATTGAGCAGAGAAATAGCCTGATAAGTGGGAGCAAACTGAGCAAACAAAGCCTGATTTTTTAAATCAAATTAAAAAATATATAAGTGTACCCTTTACTGTGTTTACTGATGGGGAAAAATAGTAAAAAAAAAATCAAAACGATATTTTTATATATTTATTTTGAAAAAAAAAACAAACAGTAAACAGCCAAATATATAAATAAAATCGATTATAGGCGCCCAATGCGATGTATAACCGCGGTATCAAATTTGAAACTTCAGGTATTTAAGGATTAACGGCGGCAACAAAAAAAATATACTTGCAACCAAATGGAGAATCTTTCTGAAATGGGTTAAAAAATAATTGTGAATAAAATAAAACGAACCAATTAGCGAATAAACATTTAATAATAATCTTTTTACAATGTACTTTACATATTTTTCTTTAACATCTAATGTTAAAATCTCTATTGAAACATATATATAGCAATATATAGTTATTGTAAATATATAGGTATGTACATGTAATTTATCACGTAGATATCAGACAAACCTACAAACAAAAGTGATCAAACGTACTCATCATATTTTTTTTTTTTGATAGGTAAAAATGGTATGGTAACCCCGCCTGCGCTGACGGAATACGCTGTCGGAGCACCAGTGAAGGGTGATAGATGAGAATAACAGGCCAGTTAGCCCATCATGATGAATTCATCAGGAATTAACCATGATAGTTTGCAGGGGGAACCGCGAGGAGGTCGACCTGGTTGGATATATTGCTAGCAATGGGATTCTCAGTCCCCATTACTAACAATCCCTTTCCCTTACTCATCATATTTGATTATTTGTCATAGTTTCGTTATTAATTACCTAAAGTCATTGTATCTACTTGGAATTTCGTTTTATTTTAGTAAAAAAATCCTCAAACCTTATTCCATATATTTTTATTATCTGTTTTTTCAACTTGACTTTTTTAGTAAATAATTTAGAATTTTGATAGACGTTTTTCAAAAAAAAAAAAAAGTAACGTACAAGTACAAAACTAGTAGAATACACCGTCATAGGCGTATTTATAGGAGGCCAGGAGTATTCGGACCCCAAACCTAGAATTGTCTTATGCCTACCACAGGATACGAAGGGAGCTTTCAACTATGCACAAAGACATGTCTCAGAGTAAATAACTTGACTTTTTAAATGGACCAGACAACTCCTTCCCCCCGCCCCCACCGTCCCTCCCTCTAGAATATAATTTTAAATACACCAACGGGCACAATATCGTTGTAAAAAGATTTCTGCAAAAAACCATGGCTGAAAACAATACCTTATATATATATATATATATATATATATATATATATATATATATATATATATATATATATATATATATATATATATATATATATATATATATATATATATATAATATATATATTATTACAATATAATTATGTTATTATAATACAGAATAACTTATATGATTAATACGCATTGCGAATTTTTATAACTCGAGATAATATAAACGGAGCGTAGATTTTTTTTTCGCATAACTCCACTTGGTATATAATTGTGAAATTTATCCGACGCTATACGCACTGTGAAAAAATAATTATATACTTATCCATACGTAAAGATGTAAAAAAAAAAAAAATATCGCGCGGGAAAAAATTCACAATGCGCAAAACATTAAAAAAAAATTGTGATGTTATACACAGTTAGTTCAAATATGGGTTGTAAAAATTTTAATTTAAAACACAAACCAACTTGAACCGCGACTAAATAAACAGAACCAAAAAGAAATATGTTTGTATTAAAAAAATAACCTCAAAGTCGGTTAAGAGCTGACCAGGATATCGCGTGATATTAACCCGGTTTACATTACTAAAACCATTCGCTACAAGTGCTACAAACTTACTACGCACTTGTACACGAGAACAAGCCTAAAAAGCAAGTACGTCGCTGAAAAACTACTGTTTACACATTTCTAATAAAGCATTCGAATACGAATTCAGTAATGTAAAACGGACAATGGAGAAAAAGGCAGTCTACAAGCTCTAAGGCAGGGCTAGTATCCAGGGCCGTAAGACCCAACAGCAAAAAAAAAAGAAAACCTAATAACCGATTAAAAACCTCCTTTGTCACATAAAATAAAAAGAAAAATTCCTTTTTTAAAGTCTAGTCGATTAACACAAAATGTTGTCATTCACTATCTACCTACAAATCTCCTATAACACAGGTACATAAAAAAAAATCTCCCTACATTTACACTTATTTGCATACACCCCATTAATTTTTTTTTTCTTTTGTCTAATATTGTCATATCTTTATATGGGTATTTATGAAATGAGAAACTAATGTGTTATACAGAAATTTACGAAAATGTAAATCAATATTTTAAGTTTCATCGATATAAACGCAACGATTACTTTGCTTTATTTTATTTTATTTTTTTTATACCGTAAATCTTTCCTCACACTACCCACTAAAGAGGGGAATGAATTTTTCTTTCTAAAAGTACCCCACAGACGTGTGAAAAAGTTACCCCTTAGTTAGTTAGCTTATATTTCCTCCGCTAAATTCTGAATATATAAAAAGTTTTTAATTAAACCTGATTTAAATGAAAGATGAGTGAAAAATACAATGCATCCGGTTTTCTTGATTGACTGCAACCAAATCGCAATCTTTACTTGTGATCATTTGTTTATAGACAACTCTATTTTGTCGTAGAGAAAAAGTAAATTTCCGTTTAATGTAGGTTTTATTAAAAAGAACCTGTAGTCTATGGATATTTGTGCTTAAGGTTGGCAACATTGTTCATGTAACCCTTCTTTCCGTCATGGCGTCCTACATTAAAAAAATGCATTTGTATTTTAGTGTTTTTTAATTACAAGGGAAAGTAATTTAAAATGCAAATTCAATATTTTACATCATAGAACAAATTTTTTATAACTACAGCTCCATCATTTAGAACAAAATTTTAAACGCTGGCAACCCTTACATAGGCACCCACATATTCATTATATTTACACTCATCTTTAATTTAAAAATGTTTATACCTGCAGACTTTAACGGACCATAAGCTGGACATATATTTTGGACGAAAAACCTCGTTTATGGAAAGACAGAGTTGAAAAACCGAAAGCTTTACTAATCCTGGTGTCTGTAATACGATCTCTGTAAATGGGAGATATAAATAATGTACCCTGAAAAGACCAATTGAAGTCAAAACCAATCATTTTAGCAATTTCGTCTGTCCGTCTGTTTGTTTCGACATCACGTGAAAACTACTGTACCAAATTGGATGCAGTTCACACCGTTGTGTTCCAGAAGGTCTAACTTAAAAATTGGCTTATGGGCGTAAAGGGCTTGTTAGTAAAGGAGACTAAAAATCCCATTGCTAGCGATATACCCAACCAGGTCGTCCTCCTCGCGGTTTCCCCTGGAAACTATCATGGTTAATTCCTGATGAATTCATCATGTTGGACTAACTGGCCTGTTCACATTCTCATCTATCACCCTTCACTGGTGCTCCGCCAGCTTATCCCATTAGCACAGGCGGGGTAACCATTCCATTTTCATCCACCAAAAAAAAAATTGGTATGTCTCTACTTGAGATGCCATGTAGAACTATTTTATTTCATTGGGTTTCCTTGTTCTGAAATCCACGCGTACCAAGAAGTGGGCGAGAAGCAAGATCTGGATCTCTACTCCTGGGGGGAAGGAACTGTTAGTACTGCGGACTACCAGTCCCATTGCTAACAATATACTATGTCAAGTCGAACATTTAGGTTGTGGAATGAGCTCCCTGCCGAGGTTTTCTCAATAGACTACAGCATGGGGTTCTTCAAAAGGGGGGTAGAGAGGTTTCTTCAGGGTCGGCAACGCACGCGTAATACCTCTGCTATTGCAGGTGTTTATAGGCTACGGTAACCACTTACCATCAGGTGGGCCGCATGCTTGTTTGCCACCTCAGTGGTATAAAAAAAAAGGTCGACATTCACGTGAGCCCGGAAACCATCGTGCTGAAATCCAGGTGTATCCATCACGATAGGCTAACTGACCTGCCTTTTGATTCTCACTTATCATGCCTCACTGGCGTCGTGCCAGCGTATACAGTTAGCGTAGGCGGGGTTACCATTTCTTAAAAAAAAAACTATCTGCTTCTCCATAAACGAGGATTTAGGCTGTTGAATTAATATGCACACACAATTTGTGGTAATTCAATACACTAATCTAATATTAATACTTAATTGTGAGACCTTGGTTTTGTTAAACTAACTAAAATAATTAACTTTGTAAATTTAAATCTCCAACTAACTCTCCGGTGATGTAAAACACTTAAAAAAAATCTAACTAGACCGTCAGGCGGTAGATTCACCCTCTGTTATCATTTTCAATTCAAATACGCTTGCCCAAATAACAGATAATCATTACACACAAAGCCATATCCCTCGGTTTTGTCCGTGCGAAGTTGGACTAAGTACACAGTATATTTTAATGTAACAACTACCAGTTCAACTTACTCGTAATTTGGTTAAGAAATCATCACAGCCGCTCAAGATTAAGGGTCCGGAGTGGTCCCGAAACTAGTCGAGCTCACTCGACCAATTTAAGAAGCAAATTAAACCCGAAATTATTACATTAAAACACGGAACATGGTCTGTGTACAAAATTTTACACAAATACAGCATCTTTACATACTTTCACATATAGAATACAGGATGTTTTAATAATAATACACAATAACAATCATAATCAATGTCTACATACAGGTGATATCGAAATTTTAAGCATTCTTTGCAAGGGTGAGTGATAGCAATGGGTGACATTCAGAAAATGCGATTACTAATTTCGGTTAAATTTTTTTAGTTTCGAGTCTTCAGTAAAGTTGACATCTCCAAAGGGCATTTTTTTCTATATTTTTTTTTATACAACTTAGAATGGCAAACAAGCTGACGGCCCACCTGATGGAAAGTGGTAACCGTCGCCTATAGACATGAGCGGTACCATGGACATAACAGAGTACATATACTGTTTCGCCCATGATACCCCCCATGCGTTGCCATTCCTGAGGACTCAGGTGTTATTCCTCTGTACCCTGTAAATTCACTGCCATATCCCACCCTTCAAACCGAAACACAGCCATGCAAACACAACTGCTTCACGGTAGAAACATTATATCTATATTATTTATGTCCAATTCGTTCACTGCTATTGCCATAACGTTATGTCGAACATAAAAGATCATGGAACGGTCGCAGTGTTACAGGAACTCCTTTGGGTCAGTTTAGCCTTTTAAACATTTCCTTCGAAGAACGCTAACGTTATCTACAACACCCATTAATCTAACTTCATATATATATATATATATATATATATATATATATATATATATATATATATATATATATATATATATATATATGTCCATGTTATCCCAATATATACGGAACCAATTATATTTTTCAATAAACAGTCTAGTACATGTTGTGAAACAAACACCTGAATTAATATAACAAAAAATATTAAATATACATCGTAAACATATAATCTAGAACGAATGACGTAGCGCCGAAATAAAAAAAAATGGATAATTTATTTACTTTTTTTCTCCAAAAAAAAAACTTTCATAAACGTAAAAAGAAACCCACATTTTATTAAACGACCATAAAATGTAGAAAAAAATACTATATTTTTTTAAATTTCTCTATGTCTTCTCTCCTAGTGGAAAAAACTTGCATTTGAAAGAAAGATTCTGGCAACACTGAATGGAAGATATCTCTGTTTGAAATAAGTCCCCCTATGTGCCTATTGTATATTTATGTATATGTATATATTCTTTATTGCACTTTTAAGTTACATATATTTTGCAATAGATAATTAAAAAAAAAATCAAACTGTTCCAGTTATAGCAAATTATTATTTAACTAATAATATTAAATTCTTTATTCAAAAAGATAAGATTTTTGGAAAAATCACTTTAAATACTATTTTTTTAAGTAAAAAAAAAATAAATAAATACATTATCCAATTTTTTATAATGTTTATTTGTATCTCTATGAGCAACAACAAGTTAGCCCACTTTTTGACAGGTTGTCTATGACAGCTAGATAGAACAAAATTCTATTTAAATAAAAAAAAAAACAAAGCCAACGATCAAAATGTTTTTAACCAATAATTGCAGGTCACTGTTATTAAAAAATAACTAAGATTTTTTTTTTTAATTTCGGCGGTACACATTCGTCAGAATAGGGTTAGTGTTGCCAACAAAATACAGCTTACACTAAATACAATACTAACACATCACTAATGTTTACTGTCACAATAGGGTAACAAGAACTAAACATACCTTCAGTCGGTTGTTCGCTTTAGCGATTAAAAATTATAACACTAATTGTAACAACAAACAAACAAACAAAGTGTATATATCTATATATATGATGCAAATTCTACCAAACATTACTATCATAGATAATTAAAAAACAAATAAATTAAAAAAAGAACACAGCATCTTCAAATGTATCTATATGTCTTTGTGCAACTTAGAATGGCAAGCAAGCTGACGGTCCACCTGATGGTAAATGGTAACCGTCGCCTATAGACATGAGCAGTACCATGGACATAACAGAGTATACTGTTTTGCACATGATACCCCCCATGCGTTGCCATTCCTGAGGACTCGGGTGTTATTCATCTGTACCGTGTAAATTCACTGCCATATCCCACCCTTCAAACCGAAACACAGCCATGCAAACACAACTGCTTCACGCTAGAAAGAAACACTAATGCTTTTAGAATTTGCATCAATTTATAAGACTATTTGTTCAGCATACGACAGAGCACAAAAACAGATATAAATACAGAGAGATACTGTCACTATCTGTTTTTCCCGCCATTTAACCGACTGTCGAAATAAGCAGAATAACGTATATTGATCCTATGCAAATTCTATCCTTACAAAATTATTATAGAATAACAGTAGTAAACAACGAAGTCGATTCTAAACAAAAACACAGATAAATTGGGAACATCCGTTTCTTTTGAAGTCGTTAAAAAATTTGACGCAATTACTTTTCGAATTTAGAATAAGATAGTTGCAGTATCTTTTTTTTTTTTATCTATTATCTATGGTCTATCATTTAATATTGTTGGATGTATTACAAAAATAAGGCACTTCATTTATTATTAGTGACTAAGATTGATCGATACACTCAAAATTGTCAAATTTACTAAAAACCTTGTATAAATAAACAATTGTTATATTCCGCCATTATTTGAATATAATAAATTATGACATAAGCTTTTGTATTTAACCGCTATTTTTTAATTATCATGGCGGATATATTTAAATGTAAATAATGGGCAAATTGTTCGTTTTTTCGCCATTATTTTTATGTGTACAACAGACAAAAAATAAAGCTGTCTAGAGAGGCTAGTTTGTTTGATTTCCGCCATTTTTATTTTTGTTTCAATCCGCCATTATATATAAAATGGCGGAATGAAACGAAACATAGTTTTAAACTTTCACGTTGTTTACACATATTTTAAATACACTCTTGGGAGTTAACGCCAAGAAAAATTTTTACAGTCAAATAGTACTTAGTAATTACGACGTAGTGCAATCCACGTCGAAACGTCGACAATTAACAAGCAAATATGAAAGTACTATTTACCTATAAAGATTTTTCGTCGCTTTAAGTCCCGATAGTGTATTTCGAAACGAAATATTGTATAGAATTCTAGTAACCTAAAAATCACTAAATAATCAACAAGGTTGACTTAAAACGGTTTCTTGTCATCTTAAATGATTATCCCCAATTCAGATTGTCAATTTTAGTATAACTCTTATATCCAAGTGAGGTATTATTAGTGACATCACTTCTCTATTTGGAATGGTAAATAAGCTGACGGTACACTCGATGGAAAGTAGCAGATTTTTTTTTATACAACTTAGAATGGCAAACAAGCTGACGACGGCCCACCTGATGGAAAGTGGTAACCATCGCCTATAGACATGAGCAGTACCATGGACATAACAGTACACACACATACTGTTTCGCCCATGATACCCCCCATGCGTTGCCATTCCTGAGGACTAAGGTGTTATTCCTCTGTACCCTGTAAATTCACGCCATACCCCACCCTTCAAACCGAAACACAGCCATGCAAACACAACTGCTTCACGGTTGAAACACGAATGGGATAACATATAGCAATATCTATATATTTCGGTGACAATATAATGTTAAAATAATTTAAATACAATGTCAAAAGTCTGTTATGCAAAAAATAATATTGGATAACAGACTTTTAACATATTCGAAAATAGATTACTCTTAGATTCACTCTTGCGCCACCTGCCCACTTCTATATGTTCTCCTTTAACCAAAGGTTGGCTGTAAGAGATTGCCCTAGCGATAAGACCGCCTTTTGTACCTTTATATGTATATTTTAATCTGTACTTCACGCTACTGTATTTCAGTTGAACTGTTTATATGTCATTGTTTATTTCTATGTTTTTGATGCAATAAAGAGTTAAATAAATAAATATCCGGCCGATGTGGGCGATATCGAAATGTTTGATCCACCTGGATCGCCATCGACAGGGAGTTCATCCTCATGTCCTACAGCCTCAATGGTCGCGTACTGCGCGGTTTCAGAGATGTTTCCTTCCACGAACACTCAAGTTGTGCAATGAGCTCCCTGCCGCGGTTTTCCCAAGAGACTACAGCATGGGGTTCTTCAAAAGGGGTGGTAAAGAGGTTTCTTCAGGGTCTGCAACGCACGCGTAAGACCTCTGGTATTGCAGGCGTTCATAGGCTACGGTAACCGCTTACCATCAGGTGGGCCGTATGCATGTTTGCCACCTCAGTGGTATAAAAAAAAAACTTTATAGATTAACTATATAGATATCGGATCGGTATCTATACTACTCATGCCTAATGGGAAGTATGCACGTGTTGCCACTTCCAAGAACTAAATTTTTACATTACATTTTAGAATCTTTCCAATTGTACTTACATACTTTCATTACCTAATGAGATACGACATTATTGTTACTTCCTATAATATTATGCTATACAAAATACTGACTAAAATACTTGAAAATACAGTTCAAATTTAATCGATTCACATTATGTATTTATTACGTTTAGCTACTTCGTCCTTGTTCCTTACTTTTGTAATACAATGGTTGTACGCTGGGGCCATATTTGAGGCATTTTGTTTTTATGGTTATAATGGAATGGTATTCCTCTGGAGCGGGGGGAAAGGGATTATTAGTAATGGGATCTAACTGACCCATTGCTATCAATACACCCTACCAAGTCGACCTTCACGTGGTTTCCCCTGGAAACCATCGTGGTTAATTCTAGCGGAATTCGTTATGATAGGCTAACTGACCTGCTTTCATCGTCACCTATCATCCCTTACTGGTGCCCCGCCAGCGTATTCCGTTAGGCGGGATGACCATTCCATAGTCACCCATTAAAAAAACCCGCATGTAGGGGGGGGGGGGATTGTTAATAATGCAGAATGAGGTTTACCTCCAATGAGGTCCCCCTCGTGCTGCATTCCATCCAATTGATAAATAACATCACGATTAACTAACCTGTCTCTTCACTCTCAGCTATCACCCATATGCTATCGGTATACTCTGGCGGGGCACCAGTAACGGATGATAAGTGAGGACGAAGCAGATCCTGCCAGACGTTGGCATCGTGACAAATATGTAACTTAAATATGGCCCCAGCACAATTACAAATTAACATGCTAGTCTCATGTAATATTAACACTTCAGTACTTTGTCGATAATTCCTTTTTTTTTCATACATAATTTAAAATTTTGCTTCACAAAAAAAAAACAACGTCTTCAATTGTGGCAAAATTAATTCAGCATAAATTTCAATTTAAAAACCAAGCTGCTGGACCGATTTTGTTAAAATTTCAACGGCACCAATCTGAAAGTGTATCCTTTCAGATAATACAAAAAGAATTTTCCAATTTTGTAAACCGAACAAAATTACAAAGTTCTGAGGTTACAAACAAAAAATACGACTAAATTGAGAAACACCTTCTTTTTTAAAGTTGGTTAAAAACAGACTAATTGAAAACTTAGGGTCTACCATGAAATGAAATACCGAAATTTCGGACTCAATTTAGTGTTTTTATACGGACCGAAATCGGCCCAGTAAATGAAACTTAAAATTTCGTTCGTCATAAATCCAACTATAAAAGACCAAAGGAATAATATTTTAGCATTTTTAATATTTTACAACACTATGTATCATATAATTTTGACACAAATTTGTATTTTGTTCAGGCATGAATTTTCGAAAAACATTTCATGGTAGGCCCTCTCTCTGTTCCTTATGGAAATTCCTTGAACAGTTAACTGACAAAGTACTGTGGTATCATACTCTAATAACTCTACAAGAGTTTAAAGGATAGATATACCAAGTCGAAATCCAAATACAGAATTCACGTGCCTAAAAAAATTTTTACCTAATATTTTGTAACCATTAGGTTTGTACCTAATTAGGAATTATGCGACCAAAATGGTTCAAATAAACTTGTGTTTGCCATTATAAATTGGCAAAACTAAATATTTTCATCAACATGGGACGAGAAACGACACATAAATGTTAAGCCTTATTCCATTAACTCGATGTTAGTTCAAATTTTAAATTGTTTTTTAAAATAAGTTTCAAATTTTTTTTTTTGACCATTTACTCTAATAATTTGTATTTCAGTTTGTATAAAGCAGGAAATTAAAAAAAAAAAAGAACAACAATATTTATACATTCACGTGTCACGATATAACGACGGCGGATTAAAACTGCCGACACTAGAGGGCGCCACGCTCGAACGTGTACTGGATATCGACTTGTTACACCTTTTTGTTCACAGACTGTATATTTAAATGTAACGTGTTATAGTGTATAAAACTTTACATTACGCTGCTGAGTACCAAAAAATAACATTTAGAATCCTTGAAAGCAGGATTATGACTTTTATAATATTTTTTTTTTTTTTAATATAATACATACAGTTTATATGCAATAAGGCTTCCTACACACGAAGAACACTGAATCGTACTCGTGTTGCATCATAGAGTTGGGATTTTGGGCGTACTTCGTTTTAACGCCTGTCTGTTCTTTCTGTAAAAAAAAAAAGTTGATTTAAAAAAAAAAACCTTAGATCATATAGACAGAGTGTCTCCGTACAAATGCTTCGAGAACAACGAGTCAAGTTTTTCATACAATTTTACATGATATAAATACTGTTAAATAAAAACTTTTCTTTTTTTCAACTTTTAAATTATTTTGAATTTGGAACACGTTTATTATTTTAAAAACTGCTTTCGATTTCGCGCCATTTCACACATTTTTTCGTGTTCATTATCAAATTACAATATGGAATGGGATGTTAAATAGGATTGCAGTGATTGCAGTGACCACACCCACGGGAAAGGAAGCGGTGGTCCATTCTACGCCGGGACCACACGGTAAGCGAACAAAAACAATTACACTTACCAATATATCAAATCCGATGTCCCTTATTATCTCTAATAGAATGTCATATGGCGGCTCGATGCTGTTTTCAGTCGGTGTGTCACTGTTAACAAAAGAATCGCCAATTATTTCATCGAAGGTCACTCTTGACCCGAGAGCTGGTAGCCACTTTGCGTAAAAGATAAGCGTGGCAACCTCAAAAAGGTAAGAGGGAAAGGGATTGTTAGTAATGGAGACTAAAAATCCCATTGCTAGCAATATACCCAACCAGGTCGACCTCCACGCGGTTCCCCCTGGAAACTATCATGGTTAATTCCTGATGAATTCATCATGATGGGCTAACTGTTTTCATTCTCACCCATCACCTCTCTCTGGTACTCCGCCAGTGTATACCAAAAGCACAGGCGGGGTTACCATGTCAAATTCACCCATTAAAAAAAAATTTACCTCTCTTATCATTAAACTGGTGCCCCGCCAACGTAAACTTCGTATAGCAATGGCGGGGTTACCATACTATTTTTATTTAAAAAAATAAATATATAACCTGTAATGATATAACAGCGGTCCCAAGTTGACCCAGTAGCCCCCCGGCTCCAGTATGGTGTATATTCTCTCTATGAACTCTATTACGTTTGGTGCACAGTCTATAAAGAAGCAGGTCGCCACGCAGTGCCATTCGTCAGCATCCAAATATACCTGTATAAAAACATTTAGTCTGTGTAGTCTAGAACAAAGCACTTCGAAGAAAAAAAGTTAATACGAAATCTATGTAACCATTTCATTGAAATTAAAAATTTTACACTTTTAAACGGATCAATCTTTTACGATACCTATCGATAGCAATATTCTGCATAAAAGCATATATAAACCCATATTATAAAGAGAAAAAAATTGATTTCTTGTATGTTTGTTTGTAACGGATAAATTCGAAAAACTACTATACTGATTTTAAAAATTCTTTTACCCGTAGAAAGCTACATTATATATGAATAATATAGGCAATATATATTAAACAATCTATACTTTTTTTTTAAAGAGATACGTACGAAACTTACAGTAAACTAAGGTATCAAAAATTTGCCTATTAAAGCTAATATAAAATACTAATTTCTTTCTATCCATATACCGTGTAAAACCAGAGTGGATCTCTAGTTATAATTGTAAAATGGTTTGAATATTAATTTATTTTAATGTGTTGATACTTTTGTGTTGATATTGTATCGAAACGACTTGGTTACATAGATTCATTTTCCAATTTCAACAATATAAAAATGCAGTGGCAACGCTTAAATTACGTTATGATTACTTGCTCTGTAAAAGCAACTTTAATCGTAAACATTTACACCATAAAAAGAGAATGAAATAGAAATATTGACAGTATGCATTATGAAACAGCAATAGAATGACGTCATCGAGCAAACGAACAAATAAAAAATGTACCTCCTTATTCGCGACGTATAATAGTGACATAGCTATTTAAATTGAACGTGTAATATAAACATAATGCTTCTAATATGGCAAAGAAGTTGAGCCATCCAAAAATAAAAGCGTACGCAGATCAAGCCAAATATTTTCGGTCCCGCTCACACTTCAGTGGTTTGCTCATAAGGGTGTCTCGTTCTAACTATTTAAAATAGGACCGCAGGTACATCTTAAATCTATAATACAGTCACTGATGAACGACGAGATGTTTATTAGATTCTAAATTTAAATTTTTATTATTTTTTTAAGCCTCTCTGTAAATGAGGGTGTACATGTACCAGAGGGAGACTTTGTACAAAAGTCGATTGCTTGGGTACCTCTGTTCCATTCGTGTTTCAACTATAAAGCAGTTGTGTTTGCATGGCTATGTTTCGGTTTTAAGGTTGGGATATGGCGTGAATTTACTGGGTACACAGGAATAACACCTGAGTCCTCAGGAATGGCAACGCATGAGGGGTATCATGTGCGAAACAGTATACTCTGTTATGTTCATGGTACTGCTCATGTCTATAGGCGACGGTTACCACTTTCCATCAGATGGACCGTCAGCTTGTTTGGCATTCTAAGTTGTATAAAAAAATTAAATTACATGTTTGCATATAAAATTTCTTTAGCAACAATGTTTTGCTCTTTAAAAAAAACGACAGCTACGATCGCCGCAAAATTAAAATCGACACAACAATTGAAGTAAAGCCATATTAATGGTTTAGAATTGGCGTCATGATTACGTAACAGTCCCCCAAAAGTTCAAACTTGTTTCTTTAGTCAGTCAGTAAAGACGGCAAAAGAACTACAATCATAGAGCCATATTTTAGGAAGTCGTAAAAAAAGGGCAAAAAAACTACAGCATACAGCCTTGTTTTTTTTTTCAATTAATTCATTTCTCACCTTGAGGAAGTCACCGGCTGTCATGGAGAAATTGTGATTGGGCCGGTCACCGGTGGGGCTGACGTCGGGAAACCTGGCCGCGAGCAGCTGATGCTCGCAGGTCACGTTGTTCACGTATTGATGGACCCAAGGGTGGACTGTGTGTTTGTTTACCTTGAAAATATTAAAATATATTAATAATAATAATAAACTCTTTATTGCGCACAGTAGAGATGTATACAAGGAGTATTTATACAGAATGTATTTATTTATTTATTCTTTATTGTACACAAAAAATTACAACATATAATATATATAAAATAAAGATGTACAACAGGCGAGCTTAACTCTGTAAGAGTTCTCTTCCAGCAAACCCTGAGTGGAAAGGAGCATTAATTACTAGCGGGCAGTGTGCGTACAATAATAGAAGGAAACATTATAGATGTTTCTATTAAAAAATAATAAATATGTTGACATACATATATAAGTAACTCATACAATTAAAATCAAAATACATACATATATGTATACAATAATACATATACATATATACATAAGCATAAAATATCTCTTCACATACAAAATATGTATATATACATACATAAACATAATAAGTTTATGAGGACAGAAGATGCTCTTTTATGTACAATGTACATATACAAAAGGCGGCCTTATCGCTAAAAGCAATCTCTTACAGACAACCTGGCATAAATAATGGATAAGTACAGAGAGAACGGTAGATGGCGCTAGTCGGACACAGTAAATACATAAAAGGAATCAGACAAAATGCAAAATATTCTAAGTATAAAAATAATAATACAATACATAAACATACATATATAATATAAATAATAATACATTAACATAAATACATTATTATAATAAATAGATCAAAGTAAATCACACGTATATATGTTATTTTATATTTATTTATTCATTAGTACATATATGTGTACATGGCGGACTTAATGCTAAAATCATTCTCTCCCAGGCAACCATAGGGAAGTGTCAGAATACTCGAATGCGATACTAGTAATTATTGATATACATACATACTAAAATTACATATATAAACGAATAAATATATATGAATAACACATATACTTACACATATATGACATATACTATATTGTACACGAAATTGAGAATTATATAAAGCACTTACTGCTCGGATAAAGTAAAAAAGTGAGCGTGAACGTTTTTTTATATATGTTATTGTTGGTTTAACACACATACACTATTTACCAATTGACTAGTATGTTTATCTATATGTATAACCGTTGTACTGTTTGTTTGTCTGTATTGACACAAATTTATAATAGTACAAGTAGACCAGAGGAAGATTTTGTACAAAAGTCGATTGCTTGGGTACCTCTGTTCCATATGCATATATCTAATATATAAAATTCTCGTGTCACGGTGTTTGTTACCAAACTCCTCCGAAACGGCTTTACCGATTTTCATGAAATTTTGTGTGCATATTGGGTAGGTCTGAGAATCGGCCAACATCTATTTATTATACCCCTTAACGATAAGGATGACTTTCCCCAAAATTTTTTTTTAATTTTTTTGACAAATTTTTCCATTTTTATTTTATTATGATTTAGCATTGAAAAATATATACAACCTCAAATTTTCACCGTTTTACGAACAACGCCTGTTTGTTAATCGCGATTTTTATATTCCGCAATAGGGTTGTAAGATGGCTATCGAATATATATCTATATATATCTATATATATATATATATCTTAGAATGGCAAACAAGCTGACGGCTCACCTGATGTAAAGTGGTAACGGTCGCCTATAGAGATAAGCAATAGCATGGACATAACAGAGTATACTGTTTCGCCCACGATACCCCCCCATGCGTTGCCATTCCTGAGAACTCAGGTGTTATTCCTCTGTACCCTGTAAATTCACGCTATATCCCATAGTCATATTGTTAACTACCGGTCAAATTAAAAAACCATATAAATAAGAGTGTTTCACCATGATGTCATGGTTAAATATGCCAATGTTGGCAGAATCACCAATCAAAATTGGTGGCAGCCATTTAAATTGATAGAAGAAAAAAAAACAATATAAAGTTTCATCCCAACCATCTGGACGAGCGGCGGTCTTCCAGCGTGCATTTTTCAAGGCACTTTCTTCCACGCACAACCACTGTTTGGAATCAACTTCCAGCAGCAGTATTACCGAACCGATACGACAACATAACATTCAAGAAAAGACTTTAATTATACATACATATATAGTTGTATTTTTTTCATGTAACTTTCTGTAAGATTTGTGGAGAAAATAAATAAATAAATAAAATAAAAAAAAAGAAAAAAGAAAAGAGCATATTCCTTTTTAAAAGGCCGGCAGCACACCTGCAGTGCCTCTGGTGTTGCGGGTGATCTTGGGCCGCGGTAGTCACTTACCATCAGGTGAGCCGCATGCTCGTTTGCCCACTGTATTGTAAAACAAAAACCTCCTTTCTTGACGGCTGAAAGCTACAATGAAACTAAGAAGGTTCGTTTCGAACACCAACCTGGGGACATCTGTTGAGTATGAAGTTACTGGCAAACAGCATGAAGAGTGAGAACTCGTTTCCTTGGCAGGTGAACCCTCGAGCGGCCACCTCCCAAGCCAACCTTCCCAAACCAGCACCAGGAACAAGCACTTTGATGTGACTACGGTCTCTGTAACATAGAGAAATAATAGTTAATTCCAATTATATTATAAATGCGAAAGGTTGAATAAACGAATGCATGTTTGTTACTTTTTCACGCAAAAACTACTTAACAGTTTTGAATGTTTGGTACATTTTTCTTTAATACAACTTAGAATGACAAACAAGCTGACGGTCCACCTGATGGAAAGTGGTAACCGTCGCCTATAGACATGAGCAGTACCATGAACATAACAGAGTATACAGTTTCGCCCATGATACCCCCCATGCGTTGCCATTCCTGAGGACTCAGGTGTTATTCCTCTGTACCAAGTAAATTGACGCCATATCCCACCCCTCAAACCGAAACACAGCCACGCAAACACAACTGCTTCACAGTTGAAACACGAATGGGGCAGACATTCGTGCTTAACTAACAAGGCAAGATAGCATGCAAAAATTCATTTAGGATTAACAATTAACATTTTGTTTTTTGTTTAAGAAGTCTTTTACATCATAAAAACTAATTACATTCAGCCAAGTATACAATCTCTTTTTAAATAAATTCACATTTAAAAATTTTAATTCATTCAGTATTTTATTATATACTTTAACACACATAGCTAAATAACTTTTTTCATATTTAGCCAGAAGGGGAATGTAATCCAGCACGAATCTATTTCGATTACGTCGAATCCATGGATATATATCAGTAGGTTTTTTAAACAAATATTTATTGCTGTAACATAGTGGTGTAACACAACGATAGTGGTAACAAACCAAGCTTTCTAAATACCCATAGGACAGACCTACATTAAGCAGCGGATGGTCAACAGCTGTCATGATGATGGCGATATTTTTATGATAATCACTAGTTTGTGCTGACAAGTGATTTCCTATACATAAATTAAAAAAAAAAAATACATACTCGCATTCGTCGAGAGGGAACCGTTCTTCGATTTCATCGAGTATGGGCTTGTAGCACTGCTCCCTCTCAGCCGCGCCCATGTCGCTCCAATCCCTCACTATGTTCTTCAATACTGATTGTACCTTAAAATTTAAAAAATAATATAATTAATACAAATAAACACTATAATTCATAAAAACTTAAAATCCTACAAACGATGATCCCAAGCTCACAAGCGGTATCGAACCCTTAAGTCTTAGGAGAGATTTTGCCTCACTCTGCGTGTTCTACCGCCTGTACAATGGATTGTGCTCAGAGGAATTGTTCAATATGATGCCCACAGCCACTTTCTACCATCGTACAGCTCGCTATCCTCATGTCCTACAGCCTTAATGGTCGCATACTGCGCGGTTTCAGAGATGTTTCCTCCCACGAACACTCAGGTTGTGGAATGAGCTCCCTGCCGAGGTTTTCCCAAGAGATTACAGCATGGGGTTTTTTAAAAGGGGGGTAAAGAAGTTTACTATTGTAATCTTTTGGAGGAAATAATAAAGAGTGTCTATCTATCTATAAATGTACTACCTTCTCAACATCATGCTGCATCTTATGCTGTTTCTGAGACACATCCTCGCAGTTGTTATAATCGCATCCGAAGCACTCTGTCCCGTTCGTAGACTTGTCAGTGGGGTCGACATTCTCAAACATGTTATGTACATCCGTTATTATCATGTGTACCACACTACTGTTGACATCTAGACACTTTTTGAATTTGGTTAGATAGGTTTTGTACTTCTCTAGGCGGCGCTGATGGTTTGGTGGTAGCATTGAGATGATTTTCTCCGATTTATGAATACGATCCAGGCTACATAGTCTGTAATGTGAAGAACAAGTTTAATTTCAAAATCACCAAAAAACGGTTAAAAAAAATAGCGAATTTGATCGTCATCACAAATTTTGCTGTTCAAAAAGTTACTCCAATAGAAAATACACCAGACTTTGTAAAAAAGTCGATTGCTTGGGTACCTCTGTCCCATTCGTGTTTCAACCGTGAAGCAGTTGTGTTCGCATGGCTGTGTTTCGATTTGAAGGGTGGGATATGGCGTGACTCAGGTGTTATTCCTCTGTACCCAATAAATTCACTCCATATCCCATCCCTCAAACCGAAACACAACAATGCAAACACAACTGCTTCACGGTTGAAACTCGAATGGGACAGAGGTACCCAAGCAATCGACTTTTGTACAAGGTCTCCCCTAAAACATTCCGAATTATGTCAATACTGTGAAAAATTCTAGTAAAACATGCATACATAGAATGACATTGATATGGATGTGAATAATCCTGCATGTTTATAATTGACAATTTTGTGTTGAAAATGCACCAAGTATTATTAAAAAAATTTCAAATAAGTTTTTAAATTATGAATTTAAAATTTTGTGTTCTTAAAAAAATTCTACCTTATTTTATTACCTCCTATTTTGAATGAAAAAATAAACTACATAATTATGAAACAAAACTAGACATAGATTACATAAAGAGAAAAAGTTTGTTCAGTTGTAGATGATTTTAAATAAATGGAATGCAATGTCTATGTACACATCAAAAAGGCAGAAAATAGTAAAACTTCTTATATTTAATATCTTTATATCCACTTATATTTACCAATTAAGAGGTTTACATTTTATATTTTTTATTAAAATTAATTCAGAATTAGCTATGTATATAACATAGCCACGAAAAAAAATACACACAAATACCGAAACCCTTCCAATTAGAAGTGTCTTAAAAAGCAGCTAAGACACCCTACAATGTCAAGGTCACCAAGTTTACCATTGTTGTGGTGAGAGCTCAGTGATTACATCATTTTAGTGTTAAATTTTATATCATAAATACACAAGTATAAGTCATTAGCATATTTAAGGTGTTGTGCCCACCCCAGTATTGTCTGGCGCCCATCCCAAGATAAAGAGCAAAGCTTTCAGCTATGGAAAAAAATATTTCTTAGACTACATACAAATCTCTTAAGAGACTAGCCCTCCTGAAAAATAATCTTAAACATGCCAATTGTATAAATACCCAGAATGACTTCAATTTTGCTTGTCATTATGCAGTACTTATTAATATAATTTGTATTAATAGCAATAAAATACTTTGTAAAACAATCAACACACCGTACCTAATCAATTGATCGGTTAATATACTTATTACCTAAATAATGGCTGGAATCAACATTTTGTACTGAGAAAAACAAGTAAATCAAAATTAAATCTAACAAAAAATTACATCCAAAATCGACCTAACAGCGTTAGACATTAGAGCTACATGCCTACACGTGTATAGGACGTAAACAAAGACTATTGATAAATCTAAATAGGTTAATTGAATCAGTCAACATCATATAACTAATACCTGTTGCTATGCAGGATTTTACATACTTTTAGATGAAAAACTTAAAGTAAGTTTAATTTAGCTAGATCTAGGGGCTATCCTAAAGGTATTTATGTCGTATTTAATTATAGATTTACTCACTTGTAATATTTAAATGCATTTACAACCGTGCGGAAATGGGCCCGCTCTTTCGCTTCATCAATCTCGTCTGCGGCAGATGTGGACGACATTTTATGTGTTATTTGATTAAAAAAATAAAAAGGCGATTATAAATTTAGCCGGAAAAATATTCAATCGGAAAAAAATACAGAGATTTTATTGAAAATTATGGAAACGTCTAATAATATTGGAGTCGGAAAGGAAATAAATTGACTGATATTCTTTGACATTCGAACGTTTGTGTACGTCTCAATACACGCAATAATCAATTTATATATGCGTACGTACAAAAGGCCATTTTGTAACTTTGACTGAGTCGCTGATAACAAATTAATAAACCTTGCAATATACATATTTGATTTAACGTGTAATTATCTCAATATGAGTGTGTAAATTTAATAACATTAACTATAATAATATTGTTACTAAAATATTAATGGACTAAAGTCTGATAACAAAGTTTTATTAATATTAATTACGGATTTCAAGAAGTTCATCTCTACCTATATTATAAAGATACTGAATGAATGACTAAATTAATTACCTTTCTATAATTATGTCTTAGGTAATCTCTGTATCTCAATTATAAGTATTTCTCAGGTATTTAGTCGTCTATGAGGCCACTCATGTTTGTCATTTGTCAACAATTGTCACTAGTGTTTCTATCTATCTGTGCCTTTTCTTGTTTTTTCTGTGTCACTTTCAAAATGTCGGAAATGTGAATTGATTTGTGTTTATCAACATTGATCGATTTTCCTAGAATAGAAAACTAAACATATTTAAGCTTAAAATACTCACTATTAACATTTACTTTCAAATTATTAACTGTTTAAATTTTTGTGTTATATGCCTAATATAATTCATTTCATTTGATTATATTATCTACGACACATTTTATGATACCATCTATTTTTTTAAATCGATTGTGACTGTGGAAAAGTCATATAATTAATGTAGTAATTATTTACAATTTACTGTCGAGACATTAAAAATCAAAATAGTAAACCGCATCGTAATCTTGGTTACGGAATAAGTAGTAAAGTGAAAAATCAATAGGACCTGCATTAGGGGCTGTTGCTAGGTTTTTCACGTTGTGCAGTAAACATTCAATTTGAATGTAGAATGATATCAGCGTAATAATATTATGGAGGGTATTTTATCACAACGAATGACTCCCATAATAAAATGTATTGTTTTGTTTCTGTTCATATTTACCGCGAAAGTACTTACTTCCCGGCCTCAAGAATCCCACGACTCGAGAAACGGCATTCACCAATTGAAACCTTCTCATTACGTCCGAACGTTCACTAAATATCATCACAGAAGGACAATACAATGGAATAACAATCATGATTTCAATTACTGGCCAACACAAGATCACGTCAAAACAGTAGGAAAAAGAAGTTTGGACATTCCAAATACAAGTGATTTTATCAGTCACTACTGGCCACAAAAAAAGATATTTATCGATGAAACTTCTAAAATAGAATCTTGGCCGGTTGAACATCAAAAAGTACTGAGAAAAAGAAGTGTAGACGTTCCAATTTCGAACATTTTAAGTGATTCAGAAAACTGGCCAAATGCAGAAAAAAAGAGTTTAAAACTTTTGAGTTCCAGTGAGTTTGTTGGCGATTCTGCTGATGTGTCCAATTTAAATGAGTTTTCTTCTAACTCTATGGCTATAGTTGGTTCGTTTGATAAAACTGCCATAAGTTCAAGTAAAGATAATTACAGTAACAAGAATGGTTTATCGAATGAGGTGAAAAAGACTAAAGTAAAAGCGGCTATTGTAATAACAGACCCTCCAGTGACCGTTGGACCTTCCATATCTTGTTTGTTTAAGATACGCAGTGTTTCCAAAAGTGTCACTCCGTCATATACTGATGAAAGGAATGCTCAGCCCATGGTGGAAAATGATAGTTATGGTATGTATTTAAAATTCTAATGAGCAATAAAACTTTTATACTATTATAACATAATCTTTAAAAATATATTTCTAAATGATATCTACTTATTTTTTTAAGTACAGGTCACATTAAATTGATAAATAACAAGCAAATAGTTTTCCACTTAATGGAGGAGAGAAAGAGACTACTAATCTTAAATCTACTAAACTTAAAAAAGTCTTATTGGAGAAACAAATTCAAAACAGTTGAGAAACTGATGCTTCACATTCTTTTTTATTTTTTTATGATGCTGTCATTGTGAAGTGCGATAATTTATTCAGTTTATTCTTTTCAGTTTTGGTTGAAATTTTTTTGTGTATTTGTTGTAATGTTTTATGTATTTATTGTAATATTTTATGTATGTGTTGTAATGTATTATGTATGTATGTCTCCCATCCGAGAAATAGGTATTAGCGACCCGCACGCATGCTAAAGGTAAAGAAGTTAAGGGGCCGCCTGAAAATCAGCGCTATATAGGTACATCTTGCTGGAGCTGTACATATATAGCAACAGCTGAGGCGGCTCCTATTACCAGCAACATTAATTGTTCTTTTTTTCTTTTTGTTGTTTTAATATTTATTTTCTTAGTAATGGTAATGAATGTCATCTATCTATCTATCTAATAATAGGGTCATATATTCCCCTGTTTGTAAAATATGCTAGTTCTTGTTTTATATATATTATTTATTAATTATATTAGTTGTAAAATAAAATTGTCGTCTGTTGACTTGATGTATTGTATATGTATTTTGTTCTTTTTCAATTGTTTATAAATATTCTTTTTTATAAAAAAACTACAATTGTCAATATATAAAAAGGTTAATTTTGAAAGTCCCCTTTGTGAGCAATTCACCCTATTAGATCAACCTCTATGCCATTTACCCTGGAAACCATCTTGGTTAAGTCTTATGGAATTTCTCTTGATAGACTAACTGATCTGCTTTCATCCTCACCTACCATCCTTCACTAGTGCCTAGCCAGTGTATACTGGTAAGGCAGGTGGAGTTACCATTCCATTTTTATCCATTAAATAAAAAGTCCACCTTATGAATAATGGTAAATGTTGCCAATAAATATGGACAGCACTATGGTATGTCTCATGCGTTACTATTTCAGAGGACTAAAATGTTTTTTTTCTTTTTTGATGGGTGAAAATGAAATGGTAACCCCGCCTGCGCTAACCGGATACGCTGGCAGAGCACCAGTGAAGGGTGATAGATGAGAATGAAAACAGGCCAGTTAGCCCATCATGATGAATTCATCAGGAATTAACCATGATAGTTTCCAGAGGGAACCATGTGGAGGTTGACCTGGTTGGGTATAAAGACTAAGATGTTATGCTTCTGTACCCTGAAATTTCATAACCCACCCATGAAACTTGAAGACAGTCATATTAGTCATTTATAAGCAGAAACAGAATGGGATATAAAAAGACTCCATTTGTAGTCTCCTTCTTGCTACGTACATGTTTCTTTCATCAACCAACTTTAAAAAGAAAGAGGTTCTCAATTTGTTTGTATATTTTTATTTTTTTTATATTTATTATCCCATTTCTTCGTTGGTTGTAAAGTGATTTGGAAAATTCTGGTTTTTATCTGAAAGCATATATGTACTTATAAATTAATCTCGCAGAAATTTTATCATAATTAATTCAGTAATTTAATTTTGAAATATGAAAATAATTGATTTTGCCACAATTGAAGTTGGTTGAAGTAGTTTTTTTTTTCTTGTGGAATGCAATCATGATTGTTTTTTTTTAAAAGTCAATTGATTTTTTTTATAGTAAATGGCCCAATATCGGAGACTACACTCCCCAATGGCGACACAGTGCAAGTGGAGCAGTGTATGCACCCGCGGCCCTCCTGCTACACTCTATGGTATAGGGGCCAAGAAGGGAACATCACTATACTGGGGCAAGGTAAGTGTGCTACTTTGAATGATTTCCAAGAGGTGCAGGCTCTTAATTGGTCGGAATTTTTTCAACCGACTTAAAAAAAAGGAGTTCTCAAATTGATTCTTTTATTTTATACTAGTTTTCACACGCGGCTTCGCCCGCGTGGATCTTGGTTATCGCAATTTTTGAAAATAACTCGATAGATTTATTTGGATAAGGATTAATACTGGAGTATGAAAATACCACCCAGACGGCGACCAGCGTGGTTATTCGTAATTTTAGAAAGAAAAGTGATTATGGTAACCTAACCGTAATAGTTAGACATATGCTATCGCGGACTTATTTATAGATCTCAATGAGTACTTTAAAAACGTAGAACATTTCTTTCTTTTGTTATTCTTTATTGTACACAAAAAGGTTATTGAAATGTAAAAACAAACATAATAGTGCACAAGGACGAGCTTATCTCCAATAGAGATTTCTTCCAGCAAACCCAATATGAGAAAACTGACAGTTCATTAGTATTATATATATATATATATATATATATTATATATATATATATATATATATATATATATATATATATATAATACACTAATATAATAAGTACGTACATCAGCATTGTGAGAGGTAATAATTCTTCAGACGTGTTTTGAAAATCCCAATGTTTGGGCTAAGTCTAATTTCATGGGGAAGTGTGTTCCATAATCTAATTGCATTGTTTTTCATTATAAGCAACTATTTAGTCAGTGTGCGCAAGATAAGCGAATTTTATACAATTTTTATACATGAAAATTTCTCATACTACAATTTCTATATTCGATCGCCATCTTGCAATCCTATTGCAGTATATAAAAATGGCAATTAAAAAACAGGAGTTGATCGTAAAACGGTGAAAATTTGAAGTTGTATATATTTTTCAATGCTAAATCATAATAAAATAAAAATTGATAAATTTGTCAAAAAAAAAATTTTGGGAGGGTCACCCTTATCATTGAGGGGTATGAAAAATAGATGTTGGCCGACTCTCAGACCTACCCGATATGCACACAAAATTTCATAAAAATCGGTAAAGCCGTTTCCGAGGAGTTTGGTAACAAACACCGCGACACGAGAATTTTATATATTAGATATTAAGTGTAGAAATAGGTCGATGATTGCGAGTCCCTTTGTCTAGACATTGTCAGAGTTCAAAGTCTGTTTGTTAGTCACACATAATTATATCTTCAATGTAGGACAAACTAGTAAATATATATATTATATTGCTTATCTAAATATATATATATATATATATAACGATTTACTTAATTAAGTAAATTAACAATTAGAACTTGTTTGTGTATAGTATATTTATTTATTTTATTTATTTATTTTTTGGAAAACGTACAGTCGAATTACAGTCAATACATATATCAAATTTATATCTATGTTAAGCCATGAATCGTTTTCACATTTGCGTAATGACAATGATCGGTTTTTATATATGCAAAATACATACATATACGCACATACACATACACACGCATACATACACACATCTATAATAATTAAAAAGTTATAAATTTTGATGAGACATCTTTAATAATAATAATATTTCTTTATTTATAGATTACAAAGATCCATTCTTGTTAGTAACAATTGACTTAAACTATGTTAGTAGAAAAAAAAATAGGTACAAAATTCATTTTATGGCCCCTGTAATAATTTTAACCCACAATGAGAGGATCGGGCTATCGTATTTATTACATAATACCCTCAGAATGCTGTTAAGCTTGTTATATGAATTAATTAAACGAACTAATTAATGTTTTAGCTTGATATATAATAATATATAATATATAATGGATTTATAAAGGTATGAAGATCATGTTTTAGTTTCTTCCGTGAAATAAATCAATAAAAGGAAATCAGGAGGCGCGGTAGTGTCCCCGCCATGCGAGCGGTTAACATCCTTTCAACCGACTTCCAAAATAAAGAAGTTCTCCTTGTTAATAAAGTTGTTACCTCATTGTCAACTCCGTCAGTTGGAAACCAATTCCGAATTTTTTTTTTCTGTTTATCTGAAAGGATATAGTTACAGATTGGTCTTATAGAAATGCTATCAAAAAAAGTTCAGTAGTTCAATTTTTAAAATGAAAATAACTTGTATTGCCACAATTGAATACGTTTTTTTTTTTTGTGAAGAACACGCTTTTAAATTATTTTTATTTTTTTTACATTGCCACACAATCACGCCAATAGTTACGCAATAGTTATAAGGAATCAGAGGGCCTACCATGAAATATTTTCCGAAATTTCGGGGACGAACGAAACAGAAATTTGATGTTAAAATTACATAATACATGCCGTTTAAAATTATTAAAAATGTTAAAATATCATTCTTCTGGACTATTAGGATAGGATTTATGTTAAATGAAATGTTAAGCTCCATTTACTGGAACGATTTTGGTACGAACAAAAACACGAAATTGAGCCCGAAAATTCGGAATTTCATTTCATGGTAGACCACCAGGCAGCGAACAGTTTGGGGCACAACTCGGAACACGCAGAGCCGAGTTTGTTTTAAAAAAAGTTGTGTATACCGATAGCGCAGACGGGGTTACCAGACCATTATCACCCATTAAAAATATCTATAATCAATAACCAATTTAAAAAAAAAGGCATGAGGTTCTCTATTCGATGATATATTTCTTTTTAATATTTATTACCTCATTACGCCATCAGTTGTAAATCGATTTGAAAAATTCATATTTACCTGAAAGGAGTTTCAAATTGCTCCCACAGAAATTTTGTCAACATCGGTTTAGTTATTTATTTATTTATATATTTATTTATTTACATATGCACTGAACAAACTTTTCAATAATGTTTTTTTTTACGCAACTTAGAATGGCAAACAAGCTGACGGCCCACCTGATGGAAAGTGGTAACCGTCGCCTATAGACATGAGCAGTACCATTTACATAACAGAGTATATTGTTTAGCCCATGTATGCGTTGCCATTCCTGAGGACTCAGGTGTTATTCCTCTGTAGCCTGTAAATTCACTTTCAAATTATTTTTTTTTTAATCAAACTGGATTTTTTTAAACCAAATAATTGTTTATGCTTCGATTGTATTATTTTTTCTTATGGGGCATAATCTTAAATCATTTTTAATTACAGGTTGTTGGCATTCGTCTCAGATGCAAGGCAAGAACTCCTGTGACAAATGTACACCGGTCAACGGCCTCATGCCCGGCTCCAAGTTCTGCTGCTGCACCAAGAGCTTCTGTAATGCTGATTTCTGTAAGTTTCACTTTTACATCATCATCTTCCTGCCCTTATCCCAATTTTTTTGGGGTCATTGTAATATGTTTTCATTTATATTACCCAAAACTTTTTGATCAGGTGGACAAATCAACTATCCAAGTCTACTTGAACTATTTCAGTGTCGCTCAAGGAGGAAACGGTGACTATGAAGGCAGAATCCACAATGGATACGGTCCAACACCCAAACTACTCCAACGTGGCGGCCTCAGGGATCCTGGTACTGGTGGCCCTCCTCGTCATGGGGGTCGTTCTCAACAAGTACTGCAGACGAGTGCAGTTGGAGAAACACGAGTTGAGCGACGGGATGGATGTCGAGAAAGGTTAGTTCTTGAATTTTTTTTAAGTGGTAACTTCTGTGAGCGCTTTGGGCATTTTTTGAGGTATGGAAGTCCATTAAACTCGCGACACTGTTACCGTAACCGACGCCTCTGTGTATAAGTCTCTCTCTCTCTCTTCATTTAAGTTTCTTTCTGTCGGTGCAACCGATTGATGCATTCTCTTCTAGCCAGCTCTATTCCATGCCATATCTTCGGACTTCGTATACGACGTGACACCTATATTCTTCAGTCTTCCCCTTCCTCTATTGCTCTCTATTTTTCCTGATTAAGATCCTAGTTTTCCTCTATTAACCTGTAATTAAAAGACATATTACACTATGTTTGTTTTTTTTTAAAAAACATAGTCTGATATGTTTTTTAATCGTCATGTCGTAAAAGGTGGCCCCGCATTTTGCCTCTTCTATTCTCTATTGTTATTATATTATTGTTCTTTTCTCATTCACCCTTTTCAAGACTTCCTTATTCGTTCCTTTTTCTGTTCAACTTGTCCTTTCCATTCTCCTCCATGTCTACATTTTAAATGACCCAAGCATCTTTGTTTCCTTTGCGTCATTCATCCATGTTTTACATCCATATAATGCTATGCTCCAAATGTAAGTTTTTATAAATTTCTTATGGATTATTTTTTATGTAAATAAATGTTTTTTTTTTTTCTATTTTTTTTTTTTTTTGTTATAAGTATCTTGATATATTGTGTATGTACGTACGTAGATACACATGCAAATGCATGTTGGCACTTTTTGAAATGGGAAAAAATAATTGAACTTCGTAACCGAGACCTCTGACGATTCAAACAATTCACACGTAATTGTTCAAGTTTTCACTTCTTTCAGCAATCCCAGAGTGCCACTCCCTTTTTTTTTTTAATTAAAAGCATACTGAAAAAGTAATTTTAAATAAATAATTTTTTATTCAACTAGACTCGTTTACAAGGTCTTTAAATAGCCATTTTTTTATAATTCTACTGCTGATTCGAAATATTGTTATTTGCTGAGAGAAACCCGCAAGAAACTCGACAGTTAGTCATTTCAATTTAAGTATAAGATAATCTCTGTTATCGCTTATGGTTGAGGGATGGGTAACAGCGTCCCTTTTAAAACATCTGTAAAACCAGAGGGAGACTTTGTATAAAAGTCGTTTGCTTGGGCACCTCTGTCCCATTCGTGTTTCACTTGAAGCAGCTGTGTTTGCATGGCTGCGTTTCGGTTTGAAGGGTAGGATATGGCAGTGAATTTACAGAGTACAGAGGAATCACACCTGAGTCCTCAGGAATAGCAACGCATGGGGAGTATTATGGACGAAACAGTATACTTTGTTATATCTATGGTACTGCTCATATCTATAGGCGACGGTTGCCATTTTTCTTCAGGTGGGCCATCAGCTTGTTTTCCATTCAAAGTTACATAAAAAATAAAAAAAACTTTAAGAGCCTAACTGCGGTTGCCAACCCACCTGCCAAGCGTGGCAATTGGCAAAACTCTCCTTATGGGGTAGGCTTATGTCCAGCAGTGGACAGTTAATGACTGAAATAATAACTAATAATAAACTTTGTTAACATTATGTGTATTTATGTAAATGTAAATACTATGTCTTAATTAACATGATCTTTATACGTTCAAACTCCTTACGTGAAATCCTAATATTTTTTTTTATGCAACTTTAAATGACAGAGGAGCTGACGGCCCACCTGATGGAAAGTTATCTAAAAGTATATAGCTTTTAATTAGCCCCATAAAAAAGTTTGTTATTTTTATTGGTGAAATAAATCAAGGTGATACAAATCATGTTCAAAATTAAAGGAAAAATGATTAAAAAAAAAACAATTTGACAGCTATGTTTTTTTTTCTACAATGGACATTAAAAAGGTATCCAGACACGATCAAGTTAAAGTGTACTTGTTCTTTTAAATATTTTTTGGAGCATTCACAATGTTATAATGGAAATTTCCATCATTATACAAAGGATTAATAGTTTAGTTCATAAATAAAAATAACTTGTTTTTCCACGACAGAAGTTGTTTTTTTTCTTTCTTTAAACTCAATCTTAATTGTTATCATACATTAATGTGAAGTGTTTTCATTCCAGGAGATGTAATGGGCACTGGTCCGGACGCTCTGGCTACTGGGTTGCTTTGTGTGGACAACTTGACTCTTATTGAGCACATAGGTATGGTACCGCAATTTTTTTTTTTTTATTATTATTTTACTAACGACCCGTCCCGGCTTCGCACGGGTGGATATTTTTACAACATTTTAAAAAGTGATTATTGTGACATAACGATAATAGTTGGGCATATAGTATCGCGAAGTATGTATGTTTGTAATGAATAAACGCAAAAACTACTTTGCCGATTTCTAAAATTCTTTCACCATTAGAAAGCTACATTCACCCTGAGTAACATAGGCTATATTTATTGCTAGAAATGATTAGGCATCCTCACTAAAACTTTAGTAACGTAACTCAAGATGTAAAAAATGCAATAAAATATCTTTCGCCGCGTGCGCTGCGGAAACTATTGGTGATAGAACAAAAGTATGTTCTACAATATTGAAGAAAATATCAATAACTACAAAAAACTCCGCGACACAATATGTCCAACTATTATCGTTATGTCACAATAACCACTTTTAAAAATGTTGTATAAATATCCACCCGTGCGAAGCCGGGACGGGCAGCTACTCTCAATATAATACCGTACCGTAATAGAAGTACCGCTTAGTGATTCACTGTTCATCTCAAATGTTCATTGATAGAGAAAGCTCCTAACATTAAGTTCGCCTTTTATACCATATTTTCTTTAATAAAATTATTTACCACAGTGAGACTTTGTACAATAGTCGATTGCTTGTGTACCTCTGTCGCATTCGTGTTTCAACCGTGAAGCAGTTGTGTTTGCATGGCTGTGTTTCGGTTTGAAGGGTGGGATATGGCGTGAATTTACTGGGTACACAGGAATAACACCTGAGTCCTCAGGAATGGCAACGCATGGGGGGTATCATGGGCGAAACAGTATACTCTGTTATGTCCACGGTACTGCTCATGTGTATAGGCGACGGTTATCACTTTCCATCAGGTGGGCCGTCAGTTTGTTTGCCTTCTAAGTTGTATAAAAAAAAATTAATTCAATAAAATAAATAAATCAATAAATACTAAACCTTGTAATATGAGGTTTTTGAATAACAACACTTAGTAAGGCCACTAATATGTAATCAAATTATGTTTCAGGACAAGGCAAGTTCGGCTCTGTGTGGCGAGGCAGCCTCGGCTCCTCACCGGTGGCGGTGAAGCTTTACTCTAATGCCAACGCGTGGCAGAGAGAGGCAGCGATATACGCGCTGCCGCATCTAGCTCACCCCAACATACTTCGGTACTACGGTAAGTATGGTATAATATATATAAAATTTGTAAACCTATTTTCTAAATTTGTACATTTAAGTTCAAGTCTGGTTTATAGTTCGTATTTTTTTTTTTAATTATTATATAACTACTTATGTTATTGTGGACGTTTTAGTTGATCACGATTTGTCAGGGGACTCCCCTGGTCATGTAAAATTACGATTACAATGCGATTAGAAATTTCAAATTCGATTACAAAGCTCCCTTCTGCCTCACATGCATAGTGAGGTAGAAGGGAGCTTCAAACAACACGCTACGTAACATTATTTATTTAAATAGAACACTGGGAAATTAAATCTTCGAAGTTGGCAACACTTTTCGTTTATGTTTTACGGGGAATCCCTCAACTGTATTGTACATAACTTTTATTTTGCTTTTGTTGTCTATATTCGTTAGTGTTGTGACTTTTAGGTAAAAGTGGTCATTTGGGTATATAATGTACGTAACATTTAGGGAGGAGTGGGGTAGTATAAAAATATGTTACGGTACGCTACATAGGAGGGAAGGAGAGTGAAAGATTTAAAAAAATTGCGTTTTTTTTTTATACAACTCTGGTGGCGTTACGTAATACTTCAATGTCCCTATTGCACAAGTTATTAAATTACAGACAAGTAACTACGCGAATCTATATTCTGTACGTTAAATGGTGCTCGTAATTTTGGTGAACTTTGAGAGTCCAGAGTTAAATCCATTAAAGTTAACGTGACCTGTGTAATTGGTCAACATTTGAACAATTTTTCACACTCGGAACTTATGTTGAAGCTGGTGTTAACTCCTGACCATTTACTAGGTCACAGTTGTATCCATTCTCAGTATACTCACATACGACTATTGTTCGCAGATTATTGGATGTGTCCATAATATATATATATATATATATATATTATAATTACTCGTATTTAATGTAGACATGATTTTTAGTATATTCGTTTACTTGTGAAAACACATCACATCACACTTGTGAGTTTTTTTTTTAAATTTTTAATGGATGTTAATGAAATGGTAACACCACCTGCGCTATCAGTGTACACTGGCGGGGCACCAGTGAGGGATAGGTGAGAATAAAAAGGCAGTTCAGTTAGCCCATCGTGGTGAATGCACCTGGAATTCAGCACGAGGGTTTCCAGTCCAGTAGCGCGGGGTATGAGGTGGTATGAGGTGGAGGTGGAGGCGGCGGGGTGTATAGTGGTGTGCGCGTGCGCAGGCCGCGAGAGCCGCGCGCGGTCGCGGCTGGTGGTGCTGGAGCTGTGCGCGGGCCCGCTGCGCCGCCGCCTGCAGCGCGCGCCGCTCTCCTGGGCCGAGTTCGCTGCGCTCGCGCACGGGCTGGCCGCCGCGCTCGCGCACCTGCACACGCCTAGTCAGTACACCTTCCTACCTGACTTTCTTGTCAGTTTTTCTCGTCTCGAAATCGTTCCGAACTGACGGTACATTTGACGTATCATAGGAGGTCTGTAATAGACCTACATGAATAGAAATATTTTGAATTTGAATTTGAATAGCTTTTTTTTCTTGATGAACATAAAGTGGCAACCCCACATGTGCAAATGGGTATAATCAGTGATCCGGCTTCTCGGACCACGATGTGCGGTGTGGACTGCCGTTCGGTGAGCGTGGACTTTGTAGGGGCGTTAGGAGTAAACTTGAAGTCAAGTCAAGATTATGATGAATTTATCTGGAATTAACCGCTATGGTTTCCATAGGGGATCACTTGGAAATCCACCTGATATATGTATATTGTTGGTAATAGAATCATTGAAATCATTGCCAATAAACATTTTCCCTCTCATACCTATCTATGGTGTTTAAATATGTTTTTTTTTTTTTTATACGACTTAGAATGGCATACAAGCTGACGACCCACCTAATGGAAAGTGGTAACCATCGCCTATAGACATGAGCAGTACCATAGAGTATACTGTTTCGCCCATAATACCCCCCATGCGTTGCCATTTCTGAGGACTTAGGTGTTATTCCTCTGTACCCAGTAAATTCACGCCATATCCCACCCTTCAAACCGAAACACAGCCATGCAAACACAACTGCTTCACGGTTGAAACACGAATGGGACAGAGGTACCCAAGCAAACGACTTTTGTAAAAAGTCTCGCTCTGGTATGTTTCAGTTTTATATAACAATGATTTACCGAATATGAAAGCATATCTTATTCATCAGAATGACTACTCATAACTTCACTGCATAGTATAAAACAAAGTCGCTGTCGCTGTCTGTCCGTCCCTATGTATACTTATATCTTTAAAACTACGTAACGGATTTTGAAGCGGTTGTTTTTAATAGATAGAGTGATCCAAGAGGAAGGTTTATATGTATAATACATGCATAATATTGTAGAGAAACACTGATAATTTTAAAGATTTCTAATGCGATGTGATGAAATGAGCACCCGCGCGAAGCCGGGGCGGGTCGCTAGTATGAGTTATAAATTATACAGCAACATTGGACTTCACAGTCTACTTTGTGGTACCCATATATATACTAATCCTATATGTAGACAATTTGGTCGTCTGCTTGAATCCAATTATATGTTTTTTTTTTTTCTTTTTTTTTCTATAAGATTACTGTTTCTATTAAATCCATATTACTGAAGAAATTATTGCAATAAAGAAATTATTCTCCTCCTTAGCGCCGACAAAACCGTGCGTAGTTCACCGCGATGTCAACAGCAACAATGTGCTGATCTCCTTCGATGGTCAGGCTCGCCTGGCGGACTTGGGTCTTGCCCAGGTTTTGCACCCCAGAAGGGACCGCGCTACACCCAGTAGAATTACCGAGGTAATTGTCTGATAACTGTTTCTGGAATTCAATATTGGAATACTTATTGAAAAAAAAATCATTTCAAATTTCACTTTGTATAAACTATTGTTATTTTTTTGTGAATATTAGGTAAAATCGTTTGTCAATACGGTCCTTCTAGCCGGATCTGATCCATCTGAGTCGGATATAATTTCTTGTCACCTTGAATTCGCGATTTTTTAAAGAAATTTTATATATTTTATAGGCGGGTACGCTGCGCTACCTGTCGCCGGAGGCGCTGGAGGTCGCTCTGGACCTGTGCGGCGCTCGTGCTGCCCTCTGCGCCGTGGACGTGTTCGCGCTCGCGCTCGTGCTGTGGGAGATGCTGTGGCGCACGGCGGGTGCACACCGCGGGCCGCCGCCGCCCTACCGCGCGCCCTACGACACGCTCGGCCTGCCGCCCGCGCCCACGCTGCACCAGCTGCAGGTACCGCGCGCTGTCTACTGCACCTGCACCTGCACCTGCACCTGTGTCTACCGCGCGCCCTACGACACGCTCGGCCTGCCGCCCGCGCCCACGCTGCACCAGCTGCAGGTACGCTGTCTACTGCACCTGCACCTGCACCTGCACCTGTGTCTACCGCGCGCCCTACGACACGCTCGGCCTGCCGCCCGCGCCCACGCTGCACCAGCTGCAGGTACGCTGTCTACTGCACCTGCACCTGCACCTGCACCTGTACCTGTACCTGTGTCTACCGCGCGCCCTACGACACACTCGGCCGAACAAATAACTTATAAGAATTATAATGGACCTCACCTTATGTTTTATGATTTCCAACAGCGCCTGTTCGTATCTTTTCGTCATGTAGACTATTTTTTATTTTTTTTTTATCGTGTTTAGAAAGTATATTAATTAGAATTCCTATTTGATGGAAACTGGTAATCATTACATAGACACCTTGAAGATACTGCAGAATAAAACTCTGATCCCCGTGGTACTCCTGATGCTATTCGAAATCAAGAAAGCATATTAAATATCATGCTCTATACTTATGAACTAAAATATGGCAAAAACCTTATTATTTATTCATAATTTAAAAAAGTAAAACATTCCTTGTGTTCTGTGTCGCAGAGTCTAGTATCCCGCAATAAAGCGCGTCCGCCGCTGCCGCGCGGACCGGTGCCCGAAGCGAGAGCTCTCAAAATCGCCACCGACACGTGCGACGAATGCTGGGATCACGACGCAGAAGCCAGGTACCCTTTAAATGTAGTCTCTATGCTACTTGTCCCGCCAAACCGTTTAGTTTACCAGCGCAGTATCCAATGTACCGCTACAATGTCTTGTCCCACAGCTACCTCTAGTGTCCTAACACAACGTCTAGTGTTTCACCCACTATGTCTGATATCCCATAGCAGCGTCTAGTCTCCCACTACAGAGTCTTATGTCATATTGCAGCGTTTAGTGTTCCACGTCAGCGTCTAGTATCCCGCTGCAGCGTCTAGTGTCCCACAGCAACTTCTAGTGTCCCACAGCAGCGTCTAGTGTCCTACTATAGCGTCTAGTAACCCACAACAGCATATAATGTCCCACAGCAGTATTTAGTACCCCACAGCATTGTATAATACCTCACAGTAGCGTCTAGTATCCCACAATAGCGTCTAGTATTCAACAGCAGCGTTTAGTGTCCCACTGCAGCGTCTAGTGCCACACAGTAGCTTCTAGTGTCCCACAGCAGCGTCTAGTACCCCACAGTAGAGTCTAAGTGTCCCACAGCAGCGTCTAGTGTCCCACGGAAACGTCTAGTGCCCCACAGTAGCCTCTAGTGTCCCCCACAGCAGAGTCTAGTGTCCCACAGCAGCGTCTAGTGCCCCACAGCAGCGTCTAGTGCCCCGCAGCAGCTTCTAAAGTCCTACAGCAGCTTTTTAGAGTCCCATGTTTTTTTGTTTATGAGAACCCTCCTCGGTCTTTAACGAATATTTCGAAATAAAATTTGCATAATTAATCCGTTCTCGAGTTTTTCACTTAGCAACATATTCAGTGATTCATTTTTATTTATATGCATTACTTATATAAAGGTTGACGGCCGTGTGCGTGGAAGAGCGTATGGCTGAGTTGAAGCAGATGCTACAAACTCAGGGGCCCGTCATACACGACAACAATTTGCATCCGCATCCGCCAGGTAAGAGTTTTAACCCTTTGGCCGCTCGGCTTCGTAACAATCGCCGATGATGACGAGGAATTTTATTTTTATACATTTTTGTTTTATATTCCGTCTCTATTACTCTGTTAATCTTTCTCACATGTATTAATAAATAATTAAATAAAAATAGATATATGTTTCCTCCAAAAGATTACAATTTTTAATTTTCAATAAAATAATATTAAAAATAACTACGGTTTAATAAAACAGATGCAAGCAATCCCCACCCGGAACCAGACAAGAACTCCAACTGTACAACAAGCCAGCCGAACCAGCAATCCTGTGACGTCACCACCCCCCTACTATACCCCCAACCACACATCGGCCGCAACGCGTGCATAGAACGCAACACGCACACAAACACACAGACACACACCGTCGAGCTCATACATAAAAGCCTCAAAGACATCACCGCTCCGGTAGATGGCTTTAGGGTGCAGAACGTCGAAGAAAACTGCTTGTCTGTAGCCAGAACGAATCCGAGACAAATACAGGAGAATTCTGAACGGCTAAACGAGATCAGGTCCTACCAGAGGCCGCTGGATTATGTTCAAAATGACGTCAGCTCCCACGAAGACAGAGGTCCCAAGCAAACGAATCTACTCCAAGATGTCAAAGTGGAAAAACCCAAGTGGGGCATCAGAAAGTTCTTCGAACGACTCAACAAGAACAACAAACTCGAGACAGAAGTAAAATTAGTACCTGAATCGTGTGCCGTACAGAACGGTAAGGTCAAAACGTCCCTAATCGACAAACCTAGCAACATAAACTTTGATAGACCATCCAATTTGACCTTGAGCCAGGACAATTACAATTTCGAGGAACCGTGTACACTGTCGCCACCCAACAGAACACTGTCCCCAACAATGATGCTCGAATCTGAATTGAACAGAGAAAACAAAGTATTCGGCTTCAAAGAAATACCAATCGAAAACGACAATAAGGCTCCGAACCAGATATTTGCCGTCATAGTTCCTAAAGCGAAACCCTCAGATTTCACCGACATTCGCAGCAAGTCTAGAGGAAGTTCAGAAAGTATCAACAAGTTTAGATCATCAACGTCCTCGCAATCCATATTCAAGTCGGCAAACTCAGAGTCCGAGGACTCCACAGTGAAGAAACGGCTGAGTTGTGATAACAAAATTATCACCAACTCAAATAGCGGTAGCTCTTCCAGGGCTAGTATTAATCTGGAATTGCAATATATAAATACTCAAGCCGATTACAACCATAGTCCATTCGATATGAACTCAGAATGTTCTAGCAGCGAAGACGAGCACCTCATGCTATTATCCGAGAACGGAGGCTCGAAAATAACCATGCAAACGGTAAAATTGGAGCCGGACAAGAAGAAATACCAGAACGAAGTGCTAAAGGAGTCGAGTCAAGTGACTGACTTTGGTTTCAACAAATACCAAAATAAGTACACAAATTTCGAAAACGAATTCAGCGATCCAAACGATAAGGAGAACCTAGTGAACGGATACAGCGGTGACAACCCTGTATACTTGGCTGCTCTGAACGGGGAAATTGACACGTCAGAACTCAAGTTTTTGGGTACAGACGTGGAAAAGAGCCCGAAGTCTCCGAAGCCTTCATTGAAGAATTTGTCTATAAAACGGCAGCATTCTTTGGAGCAGGTGAGTGAGATATTCTCCTCGTCGTGCGATGTGACCCTTCAGAACCCAGCTGGGAGGGTGAAGACCCCGGGGACCTTCCAGCGGCAGTGCGGAAGGCGAGGAGGGACCGCGCTCTTCAAAAAGGTAGGGCCAGTGAATGTAATAGGTTAAGTTTGTATGACGATAGAATGATGTTTGGAAACAGCTTGTGAATTATGTTTGTATGAATTAAAATATGTATGTGAAGGTAGTCTTGAGTGCATTAGCAAAATTAAATTTTTAAAAAGGTTATTACACCTTCTTTAAAAAAATAATCATTTAGTAACAGTTGGCTACAGCTTTGCACGTGTATTGTGTTTACCCTTGAATTTGAAATTTTACAAAATCCATCCTTAGTGGCTGCTTAAGTTATAAAATAAACTTAAGTTCCAAATTTCAGCTTTCTAGACTTAATAGTTTTGGTATTTCTTGTGTGGGTATAGTCAATCCCAGTTTTGCATGCACCAAGGCTGTCATACACTCTGCAATCCCAGTGGAATATGTACAAAATACGAATGTACAATTTAATTTGAAATAAGAACTATTTTATTCTTAATTTGAAAATTTTCTTTTCTAATTGTAAAATATGTGTTTTCAACCAGTGTCTTAATTGATATTAGATGATATAAATTGTTCAAACGAAGGACAAAAATCTTTAATTTTTTTTTTATCGATAGGATATTTTCTTATTGTATTAAAATCAATTAAAGAATTTATGTGTGCATGTAGGAAAGTCGTTAGATTTTAAATTGTGACAAATATGGTATTGAAAAGTATATTATTTCTTAATGTTAACTTATGTGGTGTCCCACACAAGCGATTAAATGTAATACTAATAATATAGCTGAGCTATTTAAAAATATATAAACACTATTATTGTATATAACAACTAACATATTGTAATGATATATATATATATATATATATATAAGAATCTCTTTACTTACCTACATTCCTCGTTCCGCGAACAAATTGACAAACATTATAGTTTTAATGTTAATATAATAAATACTAAGTTGTAATTTTATTAAAATACTATTGTTATGTAATAACTACACTGAGTCATACTACTTTCTTGTGTTGTCTTTTCTCGTGTGTACATTTTGGGATTGTTCAATTACTTGCACAGTTGATGGGAGGGTTACACTAATATTTTGGCTATATTATGTTTCAGTAGGACTTAAAATATAAAACGATTATTATATCGAATGAATAAAAATCGATTTGTGTATAGCATAAAATAGCGCAACGATGTCGTTGTATCGCTTATTATATTAAAGCGCCGAGGTGGGACATCTACTAGCTATGCTAGCGACCTCTGTGGCGCAATAGTGCAAACTGACATGAAATATTCATGGAATAGCGACATCTGTTTTTATTTTTGGTTAGTTGGTTTAAATAATTGTTACAAAATGCCACTTCAAACATTTGTTTTATGAAACAAGAGTCATTATTATTGCATTTAGATGTAATTATATATTATTACTAATGTGAGAGTACTAATTAGTTTAAATATTAGGAATGGACAATATATGCCAATATCTATATATTGTAGTTATAATATCTATATATCGGAGTATTAGCCCATCGTGATGAATTGGAATTCACTTGGAATTCAGCACGATAGTTTCCAGAGGGGACCACGTGGAGGTCGACCTGTTTGGGTATATTACCAGCAATGCGACCCATAATTTCCATTATTAACAATCCTTAAAAAACCGCATGTGCATTAGCGTGCACAAACGTACAGACAAACAGAAAAATTCTAAAAATCATTGTTTTGGATACTATTGCGCTCATGAAGGCCCCCTATAATAGTTTTTCTTATATATCTTCCATGTACAGACAGCGACCAGTTACGATTTTATTGTATATATTGAATAAACCAGTATATAAATATAGTAACTGAAATATATATATATTGCTATATATTACCCATACCTAGTATCATATCCATGTACAATATATGGATTTATTTTGTATAGCTCACACCATTTAATGTGTATTCCCTTAAATTCATTATATAAAACGATCATTGATATTCGTATATCGATACAGTCGAATAAGTATATGTGTTTTAAATTAGGAATTAAAAAAAAATTGTTTATGCTGCGTACAGGTAACTAAGAACAAGGAATTACATAGAAGGAATGTTAAAATAAAAACTGTAAATAATATAGTTGCTTCCTTTTTTCTTATGCAGATATAATTAGTAAAAAGAGGACGAAAGATACACCGTCAGTTGCAGATTTCTCAGTTCAAAGCAGACTAGTGTATGGATGTTATACGGCCGTATAACCCTACCAAATTCAGATACAACCCGCTTGCATACTTTCTACATAATCTGTGTCGAATATATAATCTAGTAATGTAAAATTTGTCATTGACAAATAATTGACATATCAAACATTTTCTATACACTAGCCTGCTATGAATTGAGAAAAATAGCAACTGATGTTGTATCTTTCGTCCTCTTTTTACTAATTATGTCTGATTAAGAAGAAAAGAGACAACCATATGATTTATAGTTTTTATTGTATCATTCCTTCTATGTAATTCCTTGTTCTTAGACAGGTAGTAAGGTAAATATCTATCTTCTCAAGTAAATATAAATGTACAGTATTTTAAATTGCGTCTAATATTAGAAATGTGAAAGTGAGTTCGTTTGTTACCTCATAGCGCCTAAACGGTTTAACCAATTACTATGTAATTTAGTATATACGTACTTTATGGGATAAAGTACGTACTAAAAATACCAAAAGACTACAGCATGGGGTTCTTCTAAAGAGAGTGAAGAGGTTTCTGCAGAGTCGGCGACGCTTGCGTAATACCCCTGGTATTGCAGGCGTTCATAGGCTACGGTAACAAGCTGACGGCCCACCTGATGGAAAGTGGTAACCGTCGCCTATAGACATGAGCAGTACCATGGACATAACAGAGTATACTGTTTCGCCCATGATACCCCTCATGCGTTGCCATTCCTGAGGACTCGAGTGTTATTCCTCTGTACCCAGTAAATTCACGCCATATCCCACCCTTCACACCGAAACACAGCCATGCAAACACAACTGCTTCACGGTTGAAACACGAATGGGACAGAGGTGCCCAAGTAATCAACTTTTGTACAAAGTCTCCCTCTGGTCCGACCGGACCGGACCGGAGACAATGGTGCAGCTGCTTATCAGCGACAACACTTTTGTCTCCGGTCACCGCTGTCTGACATCATAAGCCTATGCCTCTGATCTGCCCACTCTCTACTTTGATATCATTCGTTAACTGTTCATTACTAAGCATACGGCTCGCCTTAGGAGTTCTGCCAATAGTTGCCACGCTTGGAGACGGGTTGGCAACCACAGTGAGTCTTTGATGGTGTTTTAAGATGGACGCTGCTGCCTATCCCTCGAGCATTCATCATTTCAGCCATTATCCGTCCACTGCTGGACATAGATCTCCCCCATAGACTGCCATAAGGAACGGTCCTGAGCCACCTGCATCCACTGACTTCCCCCCTCGACTATTAGTTATTTATTATTGGATTTAAGCCTCAAACTCGTGTGCATGACAGGGATAAATGGTATACTGTGTCCCCCTCCATCCCATATAGAACGTGCATACCAAATTGCATGGTGATTGGATGAGGCGTTAAGGCGCTATAAGGGAAGAAACAACCTCACCTTCACCTTTATAATAACAGTAAGGACTTTCTCATGTAAATTACTTTTTTGTCAAAACTCTGCTATTTCTTAATTCTCTTCATACAAGGCAATAGCACAGTCTAGAGAACAGCGGGTCTACCATGAAATGAAATTCCGAAATTCCGGACTCAATTTCGTGTTTTTGTTTATACCAAAATGGGATCAATAAATGGAGTTTAATATTTCGTTTATCATACATCCTATCATAAAAGTCCAAAGGAACAATATTTTAACATTTTTAATATTTCCAAACGGCATGTATTATGTAATTTAAACATCAAATTTGTGTTTCGTTTGGCTCCGAAATTTCGAAAAAAAAAAAACCTTATGGTAGGCCCTCTGTTCTACCGATCGTCCAACAAACATCTAGAATTCTAGACGGAGCAGTACGTACCAAATTGTTATATCATCGTTCGGGACGTACCCCTCACCAGGGCCATCTTTCACCTATTAGAGGCCCTGGATACATTGGGATAATGGGGCCCCTATGACCATAGTATTAAAGCATAGGTTATCGTTTGATTATGGAGTAGGCACTAGACTAGGGGGCCCCAATCCATCCCAGGGCCCCGGCACGTGCCCAGTTTGCCCAGTAGAAAGAGGGGCCTGCCCCCCACTGGTTGTTTTATACCCTGTACGCAGTATTATTACCTCAGACGCGTTTTATTGCTGTTTTTACACGATTGCCCAAAAAAAAGGAGTGTAGTGTTTTCAGAGTTTAATTATATATGTTTATGGGTTTTCTTTTATTTCGCCATAACTTCTAAACGTCTGAATCGTTTAGGATGTATGAGATACCATTAAAGTCGCTGGTTATTTGATTAAGATTATTTTGTTTAATTCCGCCACCATTAGTATGCGTGTAACTGCCAACACTCGAAGATTGACCACCATTATTACTACCAGAAGTTCCACAACCTTCCATATTAGCTATCAATCTCCGACTGCCATTTCGTCCACGCGCGTTTTGCGACGCGTGTTTCACCTGTAAACGAGGCATCTTCAGGCAAATTATTAGATCGCTATTCAAAGCCTTGTTAAATGTTAACCTTTCGGCGTCCAAATTGTAAAACCGTTAGAATGCATACATCGTAATTTTTAAAGAGTTCTTTTTTTGGCGGGGCAATCGTGTTTATTAATTTGCGGAGCAAAATGTCCTTGTTATTGTCGATAAATCGATGTCTTGTTTAAAGACGTTTAATATAGTTTATTGTGTTTTAAAAGTGTACCGTTGATTTTATATTATGGTCCGTCGCATGCTAAAACCACATAGAGATTTATCCCCTTATTCATAGAAACTGAAACGTCGTACAAAAATATTAACAATCACCTTCAAAAAGTACGCAATTCGGTTGTTTTTTTTTAAGTTTCTTACTTGGTCTGGGTAATGTATAGCAATATGTATATATTTTAGTTACAATGTCTATATACTGGTCCAATAATGAATACATTAAAAGTCTTTTAATTGTCTAGACTTTTAACATATTCGAAAATATATATCCGACCGATATGGGCGATATCGAAATGGGTGATGACCATTTTACCGCCATCAATGTCCAGAGAAACCCAATATATAGATATCGGATCGGTATTACCCATACCTGTTATCTCGTAGCACCGTTAGTTTTATATATATATATATATATATATATATATATATATATATATATATATCGACATCGCTAGCGAGTCCGTGAGACAGAAGAATAGCAACGTCGGATGACTCATTCCAACTCACGGACTCGCTAACGATGTCGATTCTATCGACGAATTCGCTTGCCACTTGTCTAGAGGCCCAGGTATGTACTTGTAACTAATACAGTGCTAAATTTATTGGTATCCTCTATAAGTTACTAAGCCATTCGTGTTTCAACCGTGAAGCAGTTGTGTTTGCATGGCTGTGTTTCGATTTGAAGGGTGGGATATGGCGTGAATTTACTGAGTACAGAGGAATAACACCCGAGTCCTCAGGAATGGCAACGCATGGGGGGTATCATGAGCAAAACAGTATACTCTATTATGTCCACGGTACTGCTCATGTCTATAGGCGACGGTTACCACTTTTCATCAGGTGGGCCGTCAACTTGTTTGCCATTCTAAGTTGTATAAAAAAAAAATCTAAGCTGGAGTGCAAAGGGTTTCTTACGTAGGACGTACGTTCTATATTTTAGCTTTATTTTCTGATACTAAACTAATATACAATTCAGTATTTGTATTCCTTGTTCACAATTCTTTTTGTAAACGATTAGTACAAAAATTTAGTACCATTTTAATTTTGTAACGATGGAGACTACCATTTTTCTTTGCAGAGCAACAAAAGCACTTTTTTTTTATATCTATATAAGTGGTCACGCAATATTTAGGTACAATGCCTGTCTATACAACATCTCAATTCATAGTCATCTCATACTATTTTTATATTGATCCGTGTGTGGCGCTAGTGTGCGATGGCCCTACAGATTGTGATTATTTATTTGTAAATAGATCGTTCCTATCCATCAGCCATGTTGAATTTATTTTTGTTATGTTTAGTAACAGGTTTTATGTTAATGATTATGTGATACATTGAAATAAATTTAATTACGACACATTTTTACTTGTTTTTATTAACTTATCTATACCGTACCAAATGTAATTAGCAATCAGAGGGAACCATGAAATGTTTTTCGATATTTCAAAGCGGAATGATACACAAATTTGATGTCAAAAGTGCACAGTCAGAGAGTCTACCATGAAGTGTTTTCTAAAATTTCAAGGCCGAACGAAACACAAGTTTGATGTTAAAAGTGCAAAATACATCATCATATCAGCCTCTAAGTGTCTACTGCTGAACTTATGCCCTCCCTTGGGGAATTTTGTCAATACTTGCCATGCTTGGCAGGCGGATTAGCAACCGCAGTTAGGTTTTGGAGACGTTTTAAGAAGGACTCTGCTGCCCATCCCTCGCCCTCCCTTAGACGCCTCTTTCGACACCTGCAGGTAAGGAAACGATGGCCTATTCTATGCCGGGACCACACGGACATGATCATTGATATATTGTTACAAAATTTTAAAAATGTTAAAATATCGTTCCATTGGACTTTTATGATAGGATTATGAATACAAAACGCCGATTTTCGATTCGAAAATTCGAATTTTCATTTTATGGTAGACCCCCAGTTTGCAATAGTCGAAAATTGCTCATAATGTATTCATTACCAGACATTATACAGTATTACCAGAAGAAGACTTTGTACAAAATTCGTTTGCTTGGCCACCTCTGTTCCATACATGTTTCTACCGTGAAGCAGTCGTGTTTGCATGGCTGTGTTTCGGTTTGAAGGGTGGGATATAGCAGTGAATTTACAGGGTACAGAGGAATAACACCTGAGTCCTCAGGAATAGCAACGCATAGGGGGGAATCATGAGCGAAACGCTATACTCTGTTATGTCCATGGTACTGCTCATGTCTGTAGGCGACGGTTACCACTTTCCATCAGGTGGGCCGTCAGCTTGTTTGCCATTCTAAGTTGTATAAAAAATATAAAATTGCCATTCTAAGTTGCATAAAAAATCCTAAGGTATCATATAACCTACTCGTGTAACAAATTCCGTTCAATTCCCTTTAGTAATTTTTGCGTGAAAAAGCAAAAAATCATTTATTCATACATACTCAGACACTTGCATTTATTATATTGGTAAACTTTAAGTTTTGCATATTTTTGATAATATCGTTCAACGCTTATCAGCGTTTCGATAGTACCAAGCTCGAATCCCAACTTAAATCCATGAATATGTTGTTTTATTTCAATGGGTGATAATAGAATAGTAACGCCGCCTGCGCTATTGGTATACGCTAGCGAGGCACCAGTGAGGGATGACAGGTGAGGATGAAAGCAAGTCAGTCCATCGTGCCGAATTCCACTAAAATTAAACACGATGGTTTCCAGGGGGAACTGCGTGGAGGCAGGTTTATTTTATTTTTATTTACACATACACTAAACAAACTTTTCACTTAAATACTTCCAGCAGCAGTATTTCCGAACCGATACGACAACATAACCTTCAAGAAAAGAGTATATTCCTTTTTAAAAGGCCGGCAGCACACCTGCAATGCCGCTGATGTTGTGGGTGATCATGGGCGGCGGTAGTCACTTACCATCAGGTGAGCCACACGCTCGTTTGCCCCCTGTTTTTTTTAAAAAAAAAAATATATTTTTTATATTTATACATGTTACATACAACAAAACAACATAATAATAAAGATTACACAATTATATAATAACATTACTATTTTTCTCTGTAATTAAAATAAAAAAAGAAAAACGTAAAAAAAAAAAAACAAAATGAACGTAGCAGTGTTTGTGCAAAGGACCTAACTCAGCATACGTCGCAGTTTCATATCTGAAGCTACGACAATGATTTTTAGTATGCCCTTAAAACGTAACTCATATGACACATGTGTGCAAGAGATGATAGAGTGTATTGCTAGCAATGGGTCAGTTAAACCCCACTACTGACAATCCCTTTCCCCCTGAGTATGACACGTTTTCCGTGCCCTTTAAATGGATTATAATAAAATGTTAACTCCACCGGCGTTGTTAATATACGGTGGCAGTTTACCAATGAGCGAAGACAAGTGACGGTGAAAGTAGATAAGTTAGCCTATGGATTCAATCATACTATATTTAAAGATGCACTATTACCAGTGGGTGTGGTGTGATGTGGTGAATGTAACAAGAAATTTCTCATACTAAATAACGAGTCTACTGCGTTAAGATAGCCGGTTAACAGCGGTAGGCGCTCGCGCGTTGTTCACACCGGTCTTTCGGTGTGACCAGCTACAAGCCCATCGTGTTGGAACTGGGAACTGAGCGTGGTCGTTTCTAGGGGGAATCGCAAAGTGGTCGACCCCACAGCTAGCAATTGAGCTACTAATCCCCATTACTAAGAATTCCCTTCGCCCCCGTCCTCTGTGCCAGAGGTGTAGATATATAATGGAGGCAACCTAGAAACACTTGACAGAAGAGGGCGCCATCACACGATTTTAGTATTAGTAAACTATTTTTCATTTCAATGATAAGTGTCACAGAATCACCCCAATCGCCTGGTCCTCTAGCTGGAAATAATCTGAATTATGAAAAACTACGACGCAACGAAGATCTGAAAGTACCTACAACCTAGAACACCCGGGGGAAAGGGATTGTTAGTAATGGGGTCAAATAGCCCCATTACTAGCAATATACCCTGTCAGGCCGACCTCCACGTGGTTCCCTTTAGAAACCATAGTGGTTAATTTTTTTATACCACTGAGGTGGCAAACAAGCATACGGCCCACCTGATGGTAAGTGGTTACCGTAGCCTATGAACACCTGCAATACCAGAGGTATTACGCGCGCGTTGCCGACCCTGAAGAAACCTCTTTACCACCCTTATGAAGAACTCCATGCTGTAGTCTCTTGGGAAAACCTCGGCAGGGAGCTCATTCCATAACTTGAGTGTTTGTGGGATGAAACATCTCTGAAACCGAGCAATAGGCGACTATTGAGGCTTTAGGACATGAGGGTGAACACCCTGTCGATGGCGAGCCGTACGAATATGGTACGACTCGAACGAATGTAGTACGAAGTGGCTGTGGGCATCATATTGAACAATTCATCTGAGCACAATCCGTTGTACAAGCGGTAGAACACGCAGAGTGAAGTGAATTCTAGTTGAATTTGTCAGAATGGACTAATTGACCTACTTTCCCCCTCATCTATTATCTTCCACTGGTGTCCTGCCAGCGTATATCAATAGCGTAAGCGGGGTTACTATTCCATTATCTAGACGAATGGCGGTCCTCCACCATGCGTTTTTCGAGGCACTTTCTTCCACGCACAACCACTCTTTGAAATCAACTATAATGTTTTTAAAAATTTGAAAAAAAACTATACCAATGTCAAATACTTAAAGTATTTGACATTGGTATAGTTTTTTTTTTAAATGATTGTAAACTAAATAGACAGTAATTTTAATATTAAATCTTATCAGTTTAACAATTGCTAGGAGACCAAATAAAGATAAAATAAAATAAAACTTCCAGCAGCAGTATTTCCGAACCGATACGACATAATAACCTTCAAGAAAAGAGCATATTCCTTTTTAAAAGGCCAGCAGTACACCTACAATGCCGCTGGTGTTGCGGGTGATCATGGGCGGCGGTAGTCATTTACCATCAGGTGAGCCGCATGCTAGTTTGCCCCCTGTATTGTAAAAAACATCTGTTTTCCCCATTGCACATTATAATTTTTAGGTTATTTTCAACGAATTAATGCGAACAGTAGGGAAAACCATGACTATGTATTGGGTAAAATGAAGTAAAGATCTAGCAACACTGCCCAAAGAGTTAGGTTTTTAACTAACCAGTAAAAGAGTACATACTGCGTCATAATCAATCTATTTACTACGAATTACTTTTATCGTAACCTGCGTCTTTTATTTTCGTGCTTATAACATTCAATTCATTTATACGAAGTTTTTATTTACATACATATACAGTCACGTTTGTTTCACTTTGAAATATTTTGATAAATATCTACAACGGAGTGAGGTAAGTATGTAATATACCTAATCTTGTTCGCTTGTTAGTTTCTATATATATATATATATATATATATATATATATATATATATATATATATATATATATATATATATATATATATATATATATATATTACCATTTATATTACCATTATATATATATATATTACCATATATATTACCATTTTCACCTATCAAAAAGAATATATATATATTCTTTTTGATGGGTGAAAATGGTATGGTAACCCCACCTGCGCTAACGGGATACGCTGGCGGAGCACCGGTGAAGGGTGACAGATGAGAATGAAAACAGGCCAGTTAGCCCATCATGATGAATTCATCAGGAATTAACCATGATAGTTTCCAGGGAGAATCGCGAGGAGGTGGACCTGGTGGGGTATATTGCTAACAATGGGATTCTCAGTCTCCATTACTAACAATCCCTTTCCCCCCAGTTTCTATATATTACCCTGTATATAACTGTAATTAGCTAGCACTAAATGTTTAATGTATAATTAATATGTATAATTAATTAATATACTAATATGTTTTTTAATGGGTGAAAATGGCATTGTAACTGTAACCCCGCCTGCACTATTGGTATACACCGGCAAAAAAATATCAAAAAGTTATAATAAAAACAATGGAAACTTGTTTTTCCCCTTTCATTTAAGAGTTTCCTCCTGTCGGTGCAACTAATTCATGCATTCTCTTCCAGCCACCTCTATCTCAGGCTATATATTCGACCTCCCTATAGGTACGACATGACACCTAGTTAATAGAAACTATAATTTTTTTTTTAATTTTGTCTGTACATATTTATATTTATTCTGATATCACGCGAAAACTATTACACCAAATTGAATACAATTTTCACAGAATTGTTCTTTACAATATTACTTACAATCGCCTATATTTTACCTTGAAGGCCCATCTGAAAAGTTTTTTATTACATTGGTTTTTCGACTAGTAAAGTGGACGCGCACGAAGTCACGGTCAAAAACTAGTTAACCCTTCTTTGTATGATT